TCAAAATTCATGGTCTAATATTGTAAGTTATATAATCATCAGTAACAATATTTCAACTAAAAAGATATTAATAAATATTTTGTTACGTTAGACAACAACTGGCAATGTACCTCATCTACTATATGGATATTCTTCAATATTAAGTAAATTAATTATTATTATAATTATTTAATTAAATATATTTTTTCAATTTATATATAATATTTATTTATTTTAGCACCTGATGGAAGGATAATTGTGTATGGTGGTACTTTTGAACCAAACAAAATAGCAGTATTGGATGTAACAAAATCTCCTTTCCAATGGACAATTCCAACAAATATTACTAATTATCCTGTTCATCTAATTCATAAATTGCATGAGAGTCATACTTCAAATTTATATAAAAATTACATGATAATTTCATTTGGTAACTTATGATAATAATCTTTGAAATTCATTCATAAATATATTATTTATTTATATTAATTATATTTATATTCAATAATAATAATAGGTATTGTCACTGGTATTGTTGACTATCACAATATTTTAATGTTAGATATTAGTGACAAATATAATTATAAATGGCTAGACACATTTGATCCTAACACTTCAACAGATACAACAACCACCAATGCACAAACTACTGGTATAATTATTGGATCAATTACATCTGGTGCAATCTTCATTATTGCTTTTATTTCTATTCTTATCTTATATAGAAGAAAAAAGAAATCTAATAAAATTTTTAATAATGATGTTGTTTGTGATGATGAAAAGACAGAGAATTAAATCAACAAACTCAAAATGAAAATGAAAATGAATTTATTAGTAATATTGAAATCATTTCAAACAATGATAATAGCTACAAATATACCAATAGTGATAGTATGTAACAATTTACATTTTCATTATGAATACAATGTACAAATAAACATTAATGATGGTGAACAAATTAATTTTATATATTAAATATTTTTGTTTAGTAATATTCAGATAAATGTATTTTCTTATCATTATAAATATGTTATTATTTTAAAGGAATAAAGAATAACTTATATTTTTACCACAATTAAAAGTATTTGTTTGTAGAAAAGTGTTTAATTTGTTTTGAAGTAATTCTTCACAAATTCACATTACAATATATTATTCAGAAAAAAAAAAAAGCAGTGGATGTTTGCACACGTGCACACTTAAGGTTTCTGGTCGAAACTGCTTCTATTAGTAGCCGAAATTGCCCAAATACTTTGGGCAAAAATTATTTTTTTATAAGCCCAAACTACTTTTTGTTATTAGCCGAAATTGGGCGAAATTATTTTAAAGTTGTTTAAGTTAAAACAAGTTGATTCATATAGTTTTTTAATGTTCATGCTTATAGAAAATGTTGAGAAACCCAAATTGCCCAAACTAGTTTGGGCTTTGAGAAAACAGTTTGGACCAGAAACCTTAAGTCACACATTAAAAGTTTTAATTTTTGCATGGCCTTGGTATTATTATTACTCAGGTGATGCAATTGTTTGTTATGCCAATAAACATATCATTAATCCATGAAGAAAGAATTATAATCAATTATATTTAGAATATATGATAAAAAAATTGCCAGTGCAATTTTATGGAATCCAAGACTGTACCAACTGTACCACTACATTACAAAGTTATTTATGCATATACATTTGTAATATTAATATAGAAAATAGGTTTGTACATGATTTAAAATTCTTTTGTGCTGATCTAGAATCCATCTTTCTTCATTTATATTATCTATTTTGTGGATAGAATTTTACAAATCAATTATTTATTCTAAAATAATATTCATTATCAATCTGTAGTTTAAGTTTCAAAAAATAAAAGGGCTTTTCTAATGTTTCCTGATTAATAGTTGTGGAACAACTCTCACCAGGTTAGTTAATTTGATTGTGACCTCTTTTTTTTTTATAAAACTAGTTAATTGATTAATAGCAAATGCCCTATTATGTATAAAAGCAATATATTTTGGTTTATATATTATTTAGCAAAATTATTTAAGGGTAGAGTGAGCAATTGAATTTTACTATGGATAAATTTTTTTTAATCAAAAAAATAAATCTGTGCATTCAAAAAGCATGCAAAGATAGACAAGTCAAAAAATATTTATATATTTATAGTGCAAGTCACTTAGTCGCTGAACTTTTTATTGGCTGTGTAGATCCTATATCCTCTCCAAAAATGGAAATGTATGACCAAAAAAACAAATCATAGAATTAAAGCTAAGACCTTTCTCTACAATTCTATGATTTCATTTTGTTGATATGCCATGTTACCATGGAGGAGTGACACATTAAAGTTCTCAAAGTTTCACGAGTTTACTATGTTAACCCCCAAAAATGACGTGTTACACGCAAATTTTTTATATTAAAAATGAACGAATTGGAAAAATTGAAATTTTCAAAATTTTGTACAGCCGATCTTTCATCACGTGATAATAATAATAATGAGTGGAAAAACAAGTTTACAAGAGAACGCAATCACTTTGGTCAAGATAATAGTCTATTTGAAACATATAAACAGGACAATTGTCCCATATTTTTTTGTAACACCAACATAGAAACATTCTCTTGGGCCATTCTAGATACTCTTTGGTGTCATATACATATTTGTTTGGAGTGTCAAAATTAGCACTGGATGCGAAGCATTCATGATTAATGATGCTGTTTTTAATAAAATAGACCATTTCATGGTCAAAAAACATATAATGATAAATAGATCAAAAAATTGCAAGGGTTGAGCAAGTATTTGTGATTTGATTTTTACAATGTAATAAAGATATACACATATTTATTAATTAGATAGCATGTAACAATAATACACCAATTATAGAACAAAGAGATGATAATAATTAATCATTTTTTTAAAGCATCTTTGTGGAAAATGCATGGTCCCAGGAATTCTGAAGAGGGTGAAGCCCTCTGCATGAGTGTTCGCTTCCTCACGTGAGGAAGAAAAAAAAAAAAAAAATCTAAAACTGTCCAAATGCTGAGAAAAAAGATTCAAATTTCCATAGTTACAATCCCTTATTACTTAAATAAGAGAGTAGCTGTAGCAGTGCTTGATAATGAAAAAAATGAAGATAAATGATGCTGATGAAAAGAAGTAATTGGATAAATCCATTTACTATTTTCTTTATACATAATATTGTTAGTTTCAAGTATTTTTAATATAATGGAATAATTAATATATTTGGATAAAATCTGTATTTGACAATCTTTGAAAACATGTGATTGTAAAAATTTTATTGCATTTTTGATTGTAAATTTTTTTCTCAAAATTGTCATTGTAGCACAAAAAGTTCAGTGACTAAGTGACTTGCACCATAGTTTAAAAAATTTTAATAACTTAATATTCATATTTTTTTTTCAATATCTCTAGCCAGTGTAAATCATGATCTTTGTGCATTAAAACATTTCCTTCAGCCCCACTTGCCCATTTAATTTCTGGATTCATCATAGGTGTATAACAATCTTTTTGATGTATTCCAGCCTAGTCAAAGTCTATAAGCATTACTTGTAACTTTCCATCAACCTTTTCTATCATTATGTTTGAACTACGTAAGTCACCAAAAACAATATCATTAGTGTGCAAAGTGTCAATGGCCTCTTGTATATTTTTTAAAACATCATTGTATTCCTCTTTTGTAATCTTTGCAGTCTGTAATGTTTCACCATTAATATATTTCATTACAACCATGTACCATCCCCAAATTGATGTTGCTGACACAAAAAAGTTTTGGTGCAAGGTTTTTTTTTCTCAGCACAAAGATGGTGTACTTTAGCATTATATCTCTGAGTAAATTTGATAACAATTTCACATCTATTATAAGTTTTTCTTTCCCTTGAATAAAAAGCTTTGATTTGTCTTCTGTCAACCAATAAATATCTACACAATATTTTCATCCATAATAACATTTTAAAAAAATGCTTATTTTCAATAGTGAACTTTTTTGTGGATTGTTAATTGGACTCCTTCTTGGTTTCTTGATTCACCATAAAACCTACCAAAATCAATTCTCTATTATAAATCAAAAAATTGATCAAATAATTGATAAAATAGAACCAAGAAGGAAACAATTTAAAAATAAAACAAACCAACTTACTAGTGATAAACAATATTCACAAGAAATAGAAAATCTATGGAAGGATTTCAAACAATTATTTGACAAAAATACTGGGTTGAATCCTGATTTTTCATTTAATGTTGAAATTCGCCAATTACTAGGATATGGAAAAGGAGTTGCTGCTTCCACAATAAAAAACTTTTATCAACGAAAAACCAATCCTAGAAGTAAAATGATAGAAGCAATTCAGGAATGGGTCAACAAAGAAAAGAAGAAAAAAGTGGAGAGTGAAGATTATGAAGAAGATAATAAAAACAATGAAGATACAAATATTAATAATATTATTATTGATAATAGTAATAATAGCAGTAGTAATAGTGAAAGTTGAATTTTTGTCAGAGTGCCCAAAGAATAGGTAATACTTACAAATGGCTTTGGGTCCGAGTATTTTCCTCCCATGCAAGTGCTCTGACAATTCTTTAACTTATATTTTTATAAATTATTTATTTATGTATTTTTCTATTATTTGTTGAATTAAAATAAAAATAAATTTCTTTTGTTGTTTAATTCATTTGTCTGTAAAAAAAAAATTTCAAGTCATGTGACCACTAATTTATCATTGGTCCAAATTATTTATAGAAAACAATTAATTTGTAACAATTACAATCTAAAAAAATTCATTTCTAAAAATTTTTTAATTTCAAAGAAAATGACAACAACAAAAGAAGAAATTAAAAATGAATTAAACAAAGCAGAAGCAAGGTTTGACAAGGCAGTAAAGAGGTTGGAAGATTGGGAGAAGGGAGAATATAAAGGGGTGATGTTGAACGAGTTGAGGATGAAGTTATACAATAAAAAATGGGAGGATGAAGAAGAGAAGGGAAGGTGGGAAGAGATGGTAAATGAGTTGAAAGAGGAGAAGAAGTTGTTGGTGGAGGAAGAAGATTTTTGGAGGGGAGAGGTTGGAGAGTGGCAAAAGAAGTCTAGGGAAGTTGGTGGAAGGGAAGGTAATGAACTTCATTTCATTTATTTATTTACCATTTGTATATTTTTGACTTTTTTTCTTTTTTTTCTCTTTATTATTGCAGCAGGTAAAGTGTAAATTATTCAACTTTTCAAATAGATGATCTTTTTATCCATTCAATCCATTCACTTTGTTCTCTGAATTTACTTTTTATTTTCTTTTAATATTGTGTTTACAATAATCAAAATTAGGTAGAAGGCTTTCTTCCATGACAAATACATACCCTGAAGAAACTGAGGATGGCCGTGATAGCTTGATGGTAATGGATCCTGAACGTCTCAAAATATTTGTTGATTATATGGAGAGTCACCCTGTTGGCCTTGTATGCAGCCCACCACATTCAGGAAAGACCACACTTGGCATGCAGTTACACAAACATTACCTCACAAACAATTACAATACTGTGTATATTAGTCTGGCAACATTGGAAAGCAATCCACATGCACACAGCTATGAGGGCTTTAATGAATTCTGGATGTCAAAGACTGATAGTTCTTGGACAAGTATTAGTAGCAGCATAGTGCCAACTAGGATTATTGTTGATGAAGCACAGGTTATCTATGATAATGCTGGGTTCTTTTGGGGCACTTTAAAGGAACTTTCATCAACCCAGTACAAGCACAACATCCGGGTGCTCTTACTAGGTACACATCATCCAACTTACAAAATTATGACACCAATGACATTCCCAGATTCTCTTGGATTATCATCCCTTCATTTGATAGAAGATGAATTTGGATGGTCACAAGCATGTATGTCCAAAAGTGACAAAGGGGACAGCTCTTCAGCATTGCTAAGTCTGTTGAGAAGGTTATCTTTAACTTTGCTTGTGGATATGTTGGAATATGCCGGACAACCTTGACAGACCTGTATCAGAAGTTTCCAAATGGTGGATCACCAGAGGATATGCTGAAGCATCTTGCTTCAAAGATATTTCTGAATCATTTATCGAGTTCACATGCTCTTTATTGGGTACATAACTGGCAACCAACAGATCAGGAAGCCACCTTTCTGCATAGATTATTACTCAAGTGTGACCCTGACTCAACTTTTGAATTTATTGATTGTATTGGAAATCCAACAATTGAAATATTCCTCAAGATTGGCATTATCATTGAAGACTATTCCTATGAAAAAATGTATTTTGCTGCTCCCATTATGCGGATTGTCCTGAGTAACCAACTATTTACTGCACCTGTCAACATGCAAAATTTACCTACAAAGACATTTGATGAATTATTGGTGTGGACAATTGAGCGAATATCATCATCTGTCTTGAAAAACTCCTTTGGACAGGGGTATGATTCCTACTTGCTTGAACAAACTTGGCAGATGGAATGGTATTGTACTGCAAAGAGTGCAATACCAGAAAATCCAACAATTAGTCCTGATGTTAGGCATATCTTTGGTTCAGATGGGTTCCTTGACTTCTATGACATCAGGAAATTTTTTCTGACGCGGATTTACGTAACTATTACACTATTTACGTAAGTTTATGGCGGGCCTGTAATATTATGCAAATAAGTATACAAAAATTATGCAAATATTACATTGAGTGTAAATATTACATAATTTTTTATGCAAATATTACAACTTTACATATTAAAATTTATGGACATAATATTGTGGCGGGGAAAATTTCCTGATGATGTTGATGGTAGTTACAGTTGGGGGATTGAGCTGATACAGGAGGGGAAAAGGCTGGGAGACCATGCAAAGTGATTTGAACAGGGTGGTCAATATGAAGTAATTCCAATGAATGATTGGGCCATTCTTGACTTTCATCATCACTCTAAATGTGTTCGGAATTTAATGCCTAACTTCTGGTACATACTCTACTCAGATGATTATGAGCAAGTTACGATTGTGCGTCATGACAAAGAAGATTGTGTTCTTCACCTAATCGGGGATGATTTTAAGTGATGTACTCAAGGCCTGATTAAAGTTGTGTAAACATTAACATGTGAAATTGTTCCAAGATAGAAAAATTATATATCATAATTTGAATTGCTTTGGTGTAGAAATTTGCTTGAAAATCTTAAACCATTTTACAATTAGTGATCACTATGGATGTACTTAATAAATATTGCAAAGTCATAATAATAAAATTATGCATATATGATTACCTGTATATGGAAAGTTACAATTATAATGGATCAACTGAATATGAAAAAACCATGTACTTCTTGTTCTCAAAAGATTCTGAGAGAAAAGTTTGCCAAATTATGTGAAGCATTTCAAGTGTAAGAAATTAAATTCTGCTGCTACCAATTTGTAATAAATTACAATCTCATTGTTATTAATTGTAAGAGTTTATATTTTCTTTATGAATTTTACATTCAATTTTGCAAATACAATCCTAGAAGTCAATTACTTCTAACAATCAATAATTACATTTGATTATTCCTAGAGAATAATTATTTCCTATGTTATTCATATGTCCCTCTTTATTGATCTTTTCATTTGTATATTTATATAAAATTACAATAATTAAATATATTAAATACATGTTATATGCATGTATCTTATGTTTCCCAGGATACTTAGAATGAACTTATAAGGAAACATAATTATAGCATGTAAGAATTAATGTCATTATTTTCTTTATATTATACATGTTAAAATGTCAATTTTTAAATTAATAAAAAATAGTATATTTACAAATCTTGTAATAAAAAATCTATTAATTATTGATATTTTGAAAATGTCACGACTATATCTAATTACAGTATTAAGGCTATAATAATTTACGGCCGAAATCCAGTCGCGACTCAGTCGACTTGAAAAATTTCTAGTCGCGGCTAGATATATATAAAATATTTAGTCGCGGCTACGACTAGTTGGTTAGCAGCACTACTAATAACCTGCCTATACTTGCTCAATTCCTCATTCTACCTTTATTTGGGCGACATAGGACATATAAAAGTAAAAAGTAACATTATCAATATCATATTCTTATTTCAGAAAGTGTCCGGCAACCTGAACATGTTGAAGTGAAAGTGGAAGTGGACATGAGCGAAAAGAACCAGTTATTCCCATAGAATAAGAAAGGAAAGTATTTGAAACTCCAAAAAAATTCCTGTAACAACAATAATTAGCTACAGAAAAAGACGTTAAATATGTTGGTGAATTAATAAATCATTTAAATAGTTCTGTAGGTTAAAAACAAAATTCCAATCCTTGTTGTTAAATAATGATATTAAAAATAAATAAAATTACTGCTTGAGCTATATCCCACAAAAATTCCGGGGATATAAAGAGGTATGACTGTATATATGATTTATTATATTTCTTCGAATCAAACTAGGTGTATGCACAAGAATATATATTTCAAATTTGTGCATTGCATATTTATAAACAGTTATAAGCGGAGATGATTTGTTATATATGAATTTATATTGAATTGGCATAATAATTATTTTATTTTTTTATTTTATTAAAAATTATAAAATTTTGAAATAAAAATATAAAAATAAATACATGATTAAAAATTATAAATTACACATTGTTAATAATAATAATAAATAAATAATAAATTAAGAAAATTTTTGAGTTTTGTTGAATTTTTGAAATTTTCGTTTTTTCGAATTGCTTCGATATTTTCTTTACATGATAGAGCAATAGTTTGTAGCATGTTCAGGTTTTTCAGTGGTACCTTTTGAAATGGTGGCTGAGCTGACAATAGTTTGAGCGATAGCTTGAGTTGATTTCATTTTTGTAGATTTGTAAAGTTTGGTTTTTAAATTTAAAAAGTTGATTTTTTTTTATTTTTTACTCTTCAAGAGATATTTTGTTTGATTTTTTTATTTTTATTTTTGTTTTGGTTTTTTGTATTGGAAAAAAATTTTGAGACGAAGAAAGACTGCATATTTATAAGAATTTACAAACAATAGTTAATTGTGACGATACCAACATTAAGCTTATAAATTTTGTTTATATAACATAACCCTTTTTTTACTTGTTTCAAAAATATACTCTTATTATTATTATTCATGAAAAAAATACGAGTTTCGTAATATAATATGAACACAAACAGGACTCTGAAAACTATATATTGTCCCAAAAAATTTACTATTATTAAATAAATGTATTACAATTCAAATCTCGATTCGTGATAGTAACACAATTCAATCTCGATTCGATCTTAATATTAATATATCAATATTATTCGAATTATTCGTAATGCCATTCAATCCTAATATTAATATTATTCGTAATCTGTATTAGACTCTTTAATTTATCTTGAATATTCAGATTATGTAACAATATTTGATATTAACTTATTTATTATAAGAAATTCAAATTAGAATTATAAGAAAATTATGAAACTTACAAGAATTCAACTGAAAATTTTTTAATTGGATTGTGCATATTAATTACACATTGTTATTATTCGAAACTTTTGCGGGTCAAACCAGCATAATGGAAATTTGAAATGTTACACTAATTTTTTATATTGTGCAACATAGCTTTACAATACACAGCAAACATTCTGGCAATAAAAAGTAAGTGATAAACTGGATTTGAATTGGATCTGAACTTGATCTCCAATTTAGAGAGGTAACAACTATATACTGGCGAAGTTTCAGAAGCAATGAGTTCTGTATAACGTTTCGTGTAACAACAAACTTCCACTATGCTGGTCAAACCTTATAATTTTATATATGATCGACAGGGTTAGGATGTCTGTTACACAGACAGACTCGATAGGTCAGCCGCATAATTTATACCATTGAGTACTTTAAACAATTGATTACTGCGGGCTGACTTATCGAGTCTGTCTGTGTACTATGTTTCTATAATTTTTTAAAATTCTATTTACACACAATGACCTAAATGAGCTCGTCTATGAACTACGTATGCTATCATATCGAGGTAATAACCATAATGTTTGAATTCGTGGTGTAAAAAACTTACAAAAAATTGATCCGAGTAAGATAATACAGTAATAATAAACTACTTTCCGGTTAAAAAAAAATTTCTCTTAACATTCATTTTTTACGTCTGAAATTTTAGTGCAGGATTCAGCGGAATAAACATTTAATTGAGATGGTCCGCCTGAAAAATATAAAAAACCAAATATAATACGTAGCAGGATAAAAGACAGTTAGAATTTCTCTTCGTAATACAATTTCTTATATTAATTCGAATTATTATTACTATTATTCGTTTTATTCGAATAAACTTTCAATGTAATTCGAATACTAAATTCATAACGAATAAAACAAATAATTCGAATAAACCTTATTCGAACAATTAAAGGCGAGATATTATAGCAACAATAGTCAATAATAGTAATAATAATAATAATAATAATAATAATAATAATAATAATAATAATAATAATAATAACGATGATAGTAGCAATAATAATACCGGGAAGCTTAGGGCCATCTGAAATTTTTTTTCATCAACCGGGATTTATTTAAGTTCTTAGCCGGCTAAGGTTTTTCTACCAGCTAGCATCGCTAGTACAATATCTTGAATAAAAAAGTTGGATGGAGTTGCATGCATTTAAAAACATTATTATTAGGAGTATTAGGAGTATTAGGAATTTTAAGAATTTTTGATATTTCCTTTTCATAGACCATAAATAGTACCACGTTCAAAATCAGCAAGCTCTCTTCAAGAAATGGATTCAATTTGTTTTAAAAAAATTATTATTTCTTTGTATACTGTGTATATTATATATGTTAAAATTTCAATTTTTAAATTAATAAAAATAGTATATTTACAAATTTTGTAATAAAAAACTCTGTTAATTATTGACATTTTTGAAAATATCACGACTACAGTCATATTAAGGTTATAATGATTTACAGCTGAAACTCAGTCGTGACTCAGTCGACTTGAAAAATTTCTAGTCGCGACTACGACTAGTCGGCTAGTAGCATCACTAATAACCTGCCTATATCTGCTCAAGTCCTCATTCTACCTTTTATTTGGTGACATAGGATATATAAAAGTAAAAATTAACACTATCAATAACATATTCTTATTTCAGAAAGTGTCCGGCAACATGTTGAAGTGGAAGTGGAAATGCACATGAGCGAAAAGAACGAGTTATTTCTATAGAATAAGGAAGGAAAGAATTTGAAACTGTAAAAAAATTCCTGTAACAACAATAATTAGCTACAGAAAAAGACGTTAAATATGTTGGTGAATTAATAAATCATTGTAGATAAAAACAAAATTCCAATCCTTGTTGTTAAATAATGATATTAAAAATAAATAAAATTACTGCTTGAGCTATATCCCACAAAAATTCCGGGGATATAAAGAGGTATATGCTCAAGAATATGTATTTCAAATTTGTGCATTGCATATTTATAGGCGGAGATGATTTGTGATATATGAATTTATATTGAATTGGCATAATAATATGCGTTAATTAATTTTTTATTTTATTAGAAATTATAAAATTTTGAAATAAAAATATAAAAATAATAATCAGTGTATAAAATTCAATGTGCGGAATGTGCGGGTATCACGTTACACATTAGTAATTTTCTGCAGATGATTTCTAAATTTGTAGAAATCTGCATTAGTTACACACTGAAATTTACACACTGGTGGCGGGTTTTTTAAAATCCAATGTGTGGATCACATAATATTTCAGTATAGATGATCCGCACTGTAATAGGGGGAGGGGGTTAATTAAAGGAAATCATGTGATTTATGGTGTTCCCTAGATATCAAAATTGTGCATGTTGTGTAAAATATATAAATTCAAATTATCTCACTGCTTGCACTATTTTTAAAGGTAGAATGGAGGAGAAATTAAATTACTTTTTCCCATATGATGATAATGTAGAAGTATAGAAAGGGGATCTCTTTGGGGGTTTAATTTCAAAACAAATAAATAACTCAAACAATAAATAATTCTGTCATTTGGAATAATAATAATAATAATTAATAATAATAATTTCAGTGATTTATTCATTTATTAGTTTTAAACGTTTATATGTTTTATGGAAAAATGGCATCATTAGGTAGTAAACCAAAAGGAATACTTAAAAAACCATCAGTTAATTTTCAATCAAAACAACCAAGGTAAGGAACGATTTAATTATTATTATTTTTTTTAGGGAGAAGTTAGAATTAATAATGTTAATAATGTCAATAATGTCAATGGTACTAATAATCATTACAATATAATTACAATATAATCGTACAAAAAGATTAACATGGGATGAAGATAATATTCAATTGACTGAAGGACAAAAAGATTCTACAATGAAAATCACTGAACCAAAGACACCTTATATTCATTACAATCAAGAAACCGATGAAATAATGACAGATCTCGAAAGTAACTTGACATTTTTTTTATAATAAGGAAAAAAAGTTCTATTATAACATTTACATTATTATTTTATTTATTTTTGGGGCAAAAAATATTTATAGGTTTAGGTTTAGCATTAGGAGGAACAAACAGTTTAGGAGGAGAGGGAAGAAGGTCGTCATCTAACAGTATTTCACCTGATGGGTCACTCTTTTCCACGTCTCCCTCATCTGCGCATTTCCCAGATTCAATTAAAGGTGAATGGGATTCTGATACAGAGGAAGATGAAGAAGGTATTATTAATCATCTATCTATTCTTACAAGAACGGAATATTTATGATGTTAATATTAAGTATCATCATCATGATGATAATTCTTTTAATTTATATGTTTTGTTTTTTTTTTGTTTTTAGCTAGAGAAAAACGTCGTAAATTCGCACAACTTCGAGCCAAACATTATAATATGAAAGAGGCACTTAAATTAGGACTTAAATTAGTCGAGGAAGATGTTGACGATGATGAAAAAATCACCACTATAAAAAAAAAAAAAATAATCACATCTAATAAAGATGACGACGACGACGACGACGACGATGATGGTGATGGTGATGATGATGATGATGATGACGAGATGACAGGTGATAAAGGAAAAGAGAAAGAACAAGAGGAGGTTGATAACAACAGTAAGAATATCAATAATAGTAGTAGTGATAACAATAGTGATAGCAATAGCAATAGCAATAGCAATAGCAATAGTAGTAGTAGTAATGATAATAAAAGTGATTATTATTATATTAATTCATCGTTAAATGGTGATGAAACTGTTCCGATGGAAACATAAATGCATAAGATTTTTATTTATTTATTTTTTTGATATATACATTTATTGTACAATTTACTACTATAATCAGTGTAGTTAGTTGTTAAATATTATTTTAACTATTATTAGCAGTTTTTAACTAGTATTTATAATAATAAAATAATAATAATTTTTTTGAAATATTTTTAAGACACGCGCATACTACGAATCATATGAAGTTTTCGAGACTTGGTTATTCTCGAGAAACTGGGACAATAAATGTTACACATATTAAACTATATTTTGATTAAACTCGGCAAAAGCCTATAAATATATGCTATATATTATAAATGCGTGTATAATTGATTGGTCGATCGATGATGAATAAACTAAGGAAAAATTTAATCTTTAAGATCTTTTTTTTTTTTGTTATTGGTATATAAATTTTTTTTTATTACTATAATTGAATATGAAAAAAAAAATTTTTTTAACAATATAATAAAAAAAGCTGTCAAAAAATTTTATGGGATTTCAGGCCATGTGTTTATTCTAAAATAAGGAATTTCATATGATTTCATCTTACGTTATTATTTATTAATACATTAAAATATCATTAATGAGATTTTTTTTTTAAGAGAAAATTTTTTCAGATTTTCAGTATTTCGACTCGTATCATCAAACTCTCATAAATATCAAACTCTCATCAAATTCTCAGAATTTATCAAACTCTCACAATTGTTAAAACACTCCATAGTTATTATAATAATTATTGAACACTCTCTGATAATTATTAATTATTAAACTTGTAGTGTACAGCAAAAAAAAAAAAAAATGGAACAATATTTAAACAACGATTTGCAAAATAATGCTCGAACATATTATCGTAATATTTGTCTTAAAGGTTTTTATATATTCTTTCTTTTTAAAATTAAAAAAAATTCAAATAAATAAATTTCCCAAATTCATCCAACAATTAAATAAAAAAATTTTCCAGTTGCACGTTTTCTATCATATTTGGGTAAATCACTTGAGCCATATTCAACCCAGAATAAATTATTATCATTTCTAACAACACCAACATCAACTTGTGATAAGACAGTAATTCTTCATTTACCAAATGATATTAAACAAGTTTGTACAGTTTTTAAATTTGCCGTCACAACTAATAATAAGCATAGAGATGAAGATGGAGATGTAGCTACAAATAATGAGTTATATGTTGCATATGTGGGACCTTATCAAAAAGAACTTAGTGATGCTAAAAGATTCTATTCTTATATGAAAAAAAATAATAATATTATTAATAATAATAATAACAGTAATAATAATGGCAATGGTGGTGGCAGTAATAGAAATAATAATACGAGTAGCAATATTATTAATAATAAGATTAGTGAATATTATTACAATTATTCGAGCAATTTCAATAATTTAGAGAATATACAAGTGCTTGTCAATCTAAAGATAGAGCTACATTATGTTGATCCATTAAAAGAGTATTTGGTTGTGGTATTGAACAAGGAAAATGGAGAAATTTTGGAAATTTTCACTGACAAAGGTAATAATTGATTTGATTATAAGTTAGATATCTTTTTGGATCCTTTGGATTTCTGAGAGAGGAGAAATTAATTATTCTAATTAATAAATATATAATTTTAATTACCCCTCCCCTCCCCCTCCCTTCCCTTAATTGTTATAGGAGAGGATGATCGTAATATTGAACCAACATTTGAAGATGTGATGGTTTCATGGATGGCGGTTATGATTTGGTGTGGTCAGATTGTAGTCAGGAGTTTGTTGACGTACAGAAAGCCTATTAATAGATACAGATTATCTCATAAAATTTATAAGTTAATTAAGCAACGTTAAAATTATGTATATATATTATAAAAAGCTTTTTGTATATTATTTTTTTTTTTTTATCTTCAATAGCAAAAGGGCTGATTATCCCTTAATTTATATCACATGATCCAAATGCACATGACCACATGTTTTCCCGCTCTCCTTCGCCGATCTCTCCATATTCCCAAGTAATAATGATAATCCCAAGTTTTCGTGTGTGTGTATATATACAGTTAGACTCCTATATAGTCACAACATAGTATAGTCACATTTTTTGTCAATTTGAAAAATTCCCTGCTACTAATAATTAGTCATAGTAAAAAAATGTCCTGTATAGTCACGAACACTTGTAAAATTTAGATCTGACACTCACTAAAATATGTACAGGGTTAGCACTATTGTATAGACATTGGGAAAATGTCCGTCGTGTTCAATGTCAACCAGTATAATAATAAATTTATTTTTTTAATACGAAAAGGATCTGCACGATTAGGAAATCCCAAATTTGGAAAAAAAAGTTTTTTTAGTCTTTTTGTTCATTCGCACGTTCATTCATTCACTCATCGAGAAACAACATTTAAAAATCGATCTATAAGGTCATAAATAGAAAATCGTAAAGGAGGAAAAAAATATGTGATGATGATGATGATGCATGTCACTATAACTATAGATCTTTTACTGCTGGCGTAATTGAAATTTTTTTACCATCACCATAATAAGTCTTTTACTATCACCACAGTTGCAAGTGTTTTAGTATTACCATAAGCGTAATCTTTTGCTTCCCGGTATGCGTAAATATAATTAATTAATTATTATTTAGGAAAAATTAAAAATAGTCTGAATTTAACGATATATTTTCTAAATTCGATTATTTTTTGTCATAATGAAAATGAAACAAATGAAGCGAAAACTATAGGATCTATTGTAAATTTCCAAAATTTGTTTTTTTTTTTTTTGTGAAAGAGAAAAGACAAGCCAAGTAAACAAACAAACAAACAAACAAGCGAACACACCATCCAATCTGTTTCTATTGCTCATAGAAAAATAATAAATAATAATAATAGAGTATGCAAGATTATTATTTAAAAGATTTTATAATAATAGTAATAATAATAATAATAAAAATAATAAATATAAGATTTCGACGAACTTGTAAAAAAATATTAAGCTATAGCAGAAATTAAACTATAAATACAGGCTATATTTATAGTCGTAGATTAATAATATTAACATTGATGATATATATACACGTACGGAAATTCCGAAACTTTAAATTTTTTTAACAAGGCAGAGTTATAATTAATATGGAATTGGCATTGTGTGTTAGAAGTAGTTTTAAAGTACACCAAAAATAGCACTGAAACCATTGTTCTAACTTTAAAGTTTGATATTTATAAAAATAGTATAAATAAATATCATGCAAAATATTATAAATATAAAATGAATGAAAACAAATTGAATTTTATTAAAAAAACAGTCTGATAACGACGAATTTGCCGGTGTTGCAAGGCGTTTGTATTACATAATGACAAAAATCAAATTTCCCGTTTAAGTTTTTCAACCTTATTAATTTGATTGTCTATAATAATAATAGAAATGATAGTGTGTTTATTTTTTTTTTTTCCCAAAGATTGTTTTTTTGATTGATAAACAAATAATAATAAATAATAAATAGTAATAATAATAATAATAATAATAATAATAGTAATAATAATAATACAATATACCAGTAATATTGCGTTAACATATGAAAATATCATTGATTGAAGATGATGGATGGTGAATGGATCGATGTGTATGGATTTTCCACCAGTAATTATGCACGGGTTTATGTAATTATATGCAGGTGAAGTTTCTTTAGTTCGACGCAAACTTTAAGGAAACATAAAAATAGAAGATTTGAAGGATGTATTACATTAAATTTTCTAAAAAAGATAAATAATAATAATAATCGAAAAGTAGATGATTGCAAAGATGACGTCCAAGTGAATTCACAAATGTCCATTGCTATCTATCAAGTATCTCCATCCATCCATCCATCCATCCATCCATCCATCCATCCATCCATCAATATCTATCTAAAGAACCTGTCCAATCAGGAATATGATGATGTGTATTTTCGTGTGTTAGTATTTTGTAAGAGTGGAAAAATGGAGAGTAGGAAATTCCTATAATCCACTATGAGTGTCTGATTGTCTCACAAGACTTGTTGTATTCAATTCGGATAAATAAATAAAAAATAAGTTTTTTTCCCATGTCAATTAATTTAATTAATAGTTAATAAAATGTTTTGATTTGTTATCAAATTGACAAGGTTGCAACCTTAATTCTCATTGATATGATTGATTAGGGAAGGAAAGGTTCAAGTTGAAAGAATTAAAAACTCAAGCCAAATTCCCAATTGATACAAAAAAAGGCATTTGGCCACATACTGAATTTGTTGCAGATTATTGCCAAATCTAGACATTTTATTCTAATAATGAAATTGTGAAAAAAGAGGGAAAAACTTAAAAAAAAAAAAAAAAAAAAAAAAGAAAAAGAATACAAAATAAAAAAATAAAGTTTTTTTTTTTTTTTTTTGATGTCCATCGTGTTACGATTATACGATGATATTATTCCACCATTCTTATCACTTTTCGCTAACCTTTCTAATTTTTATCGTGGCACTAACAAAAGATAACAATTTTTGACATTAATACTAATTCCGGGTTGTATATCTACCGAAAGAATTATTTTCTTTTGAGATGTGTTTCTTTTTTTAGAATGCTTATTAACGTATACAACTAGTTTAAATCAGGTAAATAATTTTTTGAAGTGCTGTTTTAATGTTTGGAGAATCGGAGTTGACTATGCGGCCCGATACTACCATAAATCACATACTATAATTGATTGTATATGATTGCTACAATGATTTTCTAAAGAAGAGATAAAAATACAACGAAGGAATAATTTTTCCAGACAATAACAATCTAAAAAAATTAAAATGGACGATATAAATAATAATTAAAGTTTGGGATTAACATAATAACAAAAAAGAAAGTGTCAAAAGCGGTAAAGACGTATTTTTTTCCTTGTGTCAATGAAAATCATCGAACTGGATTTGTGCCAAGTTCTGTTATCTCACACATACACAATATCATCATTGTAATGATGACATTCGAGAAAAAGAATCACAACTTTTAAAAAATATAGTTTTTTTTAATTTCCACATCTTTATATTTTGTTACGCCATCAAAAAAAATTAAAAATTAAAACGTGAAAATTAGCAAACATGACGCGTCCATTAAATCGATTAATTAAATTGGGTAATCGAGAGAGAAAGAAAGAAAAGAGGGTTGGGTGGCGCGATGGAGAAAGAGGGTTGGGTGGTGAGATATGCATTAGCATATACGTCAATATCTATTTATTAAAATGGAAAATTTTAAAAATAAAATAAAGAATTGGGAATAAATTTGTTTTGTTGCATTATCTGATGACATCAGTGATACATAATAGAGAAAAAATTTTCATTCATTCATTTCTTGTGCGTGTGTGATAATTGAAACCCTTTTCTCTAGAATTATCACTTTACATTAATCGTTTAATCACATTTGAAAAAATATTCGATATTTGCAATTTTTCTCGTATTTAATTTTAATTTTGATAATAAAAATAACGGACGGCAATGATCGGTCAGATAGGCGATAGTTTCTTGTCCATTATAAGGGCATCAATTCTTGTTTATTGTCATTATCATTATCATTATCATTATCATTATTATATTGTCATTGTCACTATCATTGCTACCATTACTATCAATAAACTTTTCGCGTACATTGTAAGCATTGTTTTTTATGTGGTAATACCACATATTGCATCCATTAAAGTTTAAGGGTGAAAATAAGCGAGATAGATAGGTGAGATAGACAGAAAAGAGAGAAGACGAGGATTTATTTGTTAATATGTGTGTGCGAGTGCGTGATATATATTATTGCCATTATTAATTGATATACATATATTGCAAGTACAACGAATAGGAATAAATTAATTATTATTATCACTTATTATTCGTCTATCTAACAAAATTCGGTTTTGTGGTGAAAAGTGAGCGTGCGTGTTGATATGCGTGAGAGAGAGTAGTAGGTAGTAGTTAGGTATATATGTGGTGAGATATGGGAGATGTGGGAGATAATACAAAAAAAAAAAAAAAGAGTACAAAATTTTTTTTTTGGGCAAATCTTTTGGGTAATAAATTACTTCCAAATAAAGAAATCTTTCCAAAAATAATTTCTATTAATAAAAATGAAATCATTTATGGAAATAAATATAAAGCATGTGAATTATTGAATGGGTAATTATTAATAAAAATAATTAGTTAAATTCATAAAGTATTATTACATAAAACGTACATTAATTTATTGGATTTAAAAATAGTTTTATTTTAAAAGTCAGTAGCTTAAAGTCTATTTAAGTGCAAAAGTTTATTAATAGTATATAAATTAAATTTATTTACTTACTTACATACCTTGAGTAAACCCTTTTTTTTATCCACTCCGTCCCCCGTCCCCGTTTCCGTCTCCCTGGTTGATCCTTATTTCTTTCTTTATTGGCAAAATATTAATTTCGTTTATTGTTGTTGTTAATGTTAATAAAAATTGTGTAATGGATAAATAATAAACAATTGTTAATAGTATTTATAGATTTATTATTTATTTATTTATTTATTTATTTATTAAATTAATTATATATATTTTATATTTTTCTCTTATCTAAAATCTGATTTATTTTATATGTTTAAAATAAAATTTGTATAAATATCGAATTAATTTCCCAACATTTGTTTTCTTCCCTCACCTTTTTTTGTTTTATTTTAATAAAATTATAATTCAAAAAATCGTAGGAAAAATCAAAAAATATAATTAATTTTATCTTTTTTTATTTTTTATATTAAGTAAAACAGAAAAGTTTATTTAAGGTCATTTTTAAAGTCAAAAAAAAAAAAAATCTATTTTTTAAATTTTTAAAGAAACGAGCAACGACGACAATAACAAATCTTATAGTAGCAAAGCAATTATCAACAACAATTAATTCCAAAAGAATTTCAAATTTATAACGAAACGACTCAAAAAAAAAAATTTTTTTAAATCAAATCAGATTCTCTCACGATAAAATTATATTATTATCACATATAAAAATGATTTCAAATATTAAAAACTATTTTGTCCTCAAAACCTATCAATCAGACATAACGACATGTCCAACTATTGAGATATATGATGGAATTTTGGTCAGTTCACTGATAGTAGCCAGTTTAACGTTGTTTTTATACACCGCTTTCACTCAATTTCATGAACAAGGTGTATATGTAGCTGCTACCAAAGTAACGGAATTTCACCACACTTTATATTTATAATTATTATTATTTTATTACAAAAAAAAAAAACAAAACAATTTTTTTGAACAATTTTTACATTTTTTTTACATTTTTTATTTTAATATTATTATTTGATTTTTTTTTTTATTACGAATTTTTTAAATTAATAATATTTTATAAATATTATATAATATTATATATGTACAATTAATGATTTCAAAAATTTTTATGTGGTGGCAAAAAAAAATGACGATATTAGTGTAGTTTTTTTATTTTATTTTATTAATATAATATAATAATGGTTTTTTTTTTTTTTTAATTCGTTTTGGTTTTTAAAAAAAATATTAATTTTTTTTTGTAATTTTTTTTTATTCTTTTGTAAATTTTTTTTTTTTTTCATCAAAAAATTTCATATGGATTCTTATTATTGATTAGATTTTTAATTATAATATCAAATTAGAAAAGGGTTACTTATATTAATTTTAAGTTTTTTTTTTTCGATCCTTTTCTACATGTGTGTTCGTAAAAAATTTTCATTTGATTATTATAAAAAAAAAAAAAAATAATAAGAATTTTAATTAATTATTTTTAGATTAATAATATATATATATATTAATGATATATATATATATATATAATAAATATATACGTAAACAAATATATTTTAATAAAAAATTTCGTGTGATTAAAATACATTTAAAACAAACACATTATCAGAAAATTTTTTGGTTGGAAATTTTTGATTATAATAATATTCGCCAATTAATCATTTTTTTAATTTTGATACATATACACACACACACACACACACACATATATATAAATACATATATGTTTTGTTTCGTGATGATGATGATCTTCTCAAATTAGTTCTCTTTACTCGCTCAATTTTTCTTTCCTTATTGATACTTCTTTAATTCAATTCCACTCCACTAATTTACTAATTACTACATTACTATTACTATAAAAAAAAATAATCCCAGCCACGTTTTTTATTTTTAATGAATTTACGTGTAAAAATGGAAAAAAAAAATTTATTAGTTTGTTACTCCGCATTTTATTTATGTATTTTTTTTTCCCATTTAGATTTATTGTTTGTTATATTATAATTTGCTCTTTCATTATCTCTTATAATCATAATCGTGGTTATTTTCTTTCTTTCGATTTCATTTATTTTTATTTATTTCATTCACCAATTAAAAAAAAAAGAAACCATATATAGTCATTGGTAATTTAAATCATCATTATTATAATCATTAATTTTCATTTGATTGTATTTATTTATATGCATATGCAATCATAAAATTTATTTATTTTATTATTATTTATATTTTAAAGTAAATAAAAATTTAAATTATTTATTACTATTATTATTGTTGTTATTATTTTTAGAATTTTTTTTTGCGTCAGATCTGGCTGACTTTTTACTTATTATTTTATTACACCATGCTAATATTAATTAATGGTTAGTATTAGTAATTTTTGACAAATCACGTGACAAAAACAACAGTTATATTTAGACATGTCCAAATGCCAATTCATGAAGTCATAACTTGTCTTGGCTTTTTATAAAGTGTTAATTATAAAATTACACATATATATGATTATGATTTGTTCCACATTTCTATTTAAAGGATCTGCAACATAAAAGTTTTAGAAATAGAATACAAGTACTTATTATTATTATTATTAAAAGTCAGAAAGCATCAAAGTTACGCCTATTTAGGTTTTGTTTATTATGTAAACTAATTAGTTTTTATTGAATAATTAATTTTGACCATTGCTTTCCCCATTTTTCAAAGATTTTAAAAATAGATCACACACAGATTTTTTAATTTATGAATTTATTAAATTTAATAAATGTGCAGGATTTTTTGTCCCAAAAATCGTAATTCGATTTCCATTATTGTAAAGATATTCACTTTAAATTTGGTATAGGAAATGAATGAGTGATTAATAAATTCGACAATATTCAATTATGCGAAGCTGGACATCCCGTTTATATCCATCTACCATCTTATCTATCTTATATATTTATATATGTATATTAAAAAGGATTTACTCCAATAAGCATCATTGGATGAATAAATATTAAAAATGAAGAAAATCTTCCCAATCAATAAAATTGCCATCCATATTTTTTACTCACATCCACCTGTAAAGTTCTCTTAAAATTACAATATAAACAAATAGGTTTGTAATAGAATAGATATTTTACTATATAAAAAAGTCTTTGTCTCAAATAAACCTCTTGAATATTCCAAAATCAATTTGTCTTTTAGAATTGCAAATGATCTCTTTAACCAGTAAGCATTCGCTATAAAGACTTTGCTTCTAATATACAACTTTATGTGTATTGACGGCAAAAGTTTGAACTCACCTATACTAAATTTTATATAGAACTTTTTCTTTTTCTTTAATATGGGATGGAATTATTATTTAATTTGACAAAGCGAAAGAATAAATTTTTTTTCTGCATATTCAAAATGGGAAAACCGGTTTATATATATATATATATATATATATATATATATATATAATTTTTAAAATTACAAGTCACACACACCACAGCAAAGGGTGGTGTGTCACACGATCGTTGAAATGAAAGAAAAATATGGAGTGAATAATGAATGTTCAACTTGTAAATAGATATAATACCAATTATTTATGTGTCAATTGAAGGATACGCTAGTGTCAATAAAACACTTTATAAGTTGACGACTTATCTTCACTGGTTCATCTCATAATGATTTCTTTAATAAATGTGCATATATTTGCGAATGGCTTGTTTTAAAGATGGAAAGATGGATGGATGCCTCCAAGATTATTTAGTAAGATTTTAAAAGTTGCAAATGGAAGAGCAAATTCATTCATGATAAGGTATTTTTCATATATTGCAAGATCATCAAACAAAAGTGTTATATATATATTTGGAGCGTTGCTCATATGCTGCACCAGAAATTTCAAGATGTGCAATGGCATCCATCAGATATTTATATATCGTTTTAGAACTCTGATGTTTGTGGTATCAGGTAATACTATGTGGTCTAGATTCTCTCAACATGTTGAATTAGCATACACGTGTATGCTCAACCGCTGAAATTACATTTGATTCAACAATTACTGTGACAATTAATCAGTTTAATTAATTATAATGGTAATTATCATCATTTTAATTGGTTGTTTTTGTATTAATTTTAAAGCTTACAATCCAACATCAACATCAATTATATAATAATTTCTTAATGTCAAACATCTTTTTTAACTATACCAGATGAATTTTAATTTTATATATATTATCGATTCGAACATTTGCAAATACTCGTATCACGTGATTAAAGTATAGCAGCGTAGCCCTTGTTATTAAAAGATGATGCAAATGATTTTTGTGAAGGCGCAAAACATGTGTTTTCTAAATTACATGCTAGGGAATTTGATCGATCTGTATTTTGACAAAAATGAACCTTATCGACAAAACGAAAACAAGCCTGAGCAGAAAAAATCTAAATCTTTATTGAATATATTTATACTTTTGTGCTTGTTACCATATGGGGGATGCCGAATAATTAATCATGAATGCATAAAACAGGAAAGATGAAAAGAAAATGGAACATTATATTGATGGTGTGTGTTACTTTGAAATTTTATTTGTTCAATTTGTTGTAATATGCATGCCCCCATACCCACCATTAAAGAATTATATATATTTATATATATATATATAAAATATAAACAATAGTATATATATATATACACACACACACACACAATAAATTGATATTATTGAAAAAATGTCATGATGAAAAAGAATTTGCAACCTTTTATTTTGTCTTCTCTGTGAACTCGATCGAATTTTGCCTTTTTGTTTTGTTGTAAAAATTTACTAGTACTATTTTGCGAATATTAATTAATAATCTTGGCGGTTGTGGTAAAATATCAATCAATCAATCGTCAATGCGTTTATGTAGGATCTACTTATATATTGTGAATTACATAAAATCCACGAGCGCGTGAATTTATATAGAGTGAAGTTAAGCTGACTCATCACACATGTTTCGGAATAATAATAATAATAATAATAATAATATTTGTTGTCAACTAAAAGTATATATATCAGTCATTATTCCTCCAATGAAAAAAGCGAGAGTATGAAAATATTAAACTATTGTAATAAATATGTATAGAGTGAAGAAAAGATCTCTTTTTTGCTTTTTTTGATTTATATTTTTTTTTTTTTTAGATTGTAAATGTTTTTTATATTCCTAAAAACTAAGATTTTTTGTAAAGAGAGAAAAAAAGATTTTTTAAGTTTTTACTCTTTGCTGAGGAGGATTAGAATTGTAATTATTGGTATAGTTATAATTATTAATGTAGATGTTATCATTACTATAATTATTATCATAACTATTATTAGTATAGTTGTTATAGTTATTATTACTATATCTATTATTATTGCTGTTGTTGCTATTATTATTGTTGTTGTTGTTGTTATTATTACTATTACTATTACTATTATTATTATTATTATTATTATTATTATTATTATTATTATTATTATTATTATTATTATTATTATTATTATTATTATTGTTATTATTATTATTATTATTATTATTATTATTATTATTATTATTATTATTATTATTATTATTACAAGTATTATAGTAATAATTGGTAGTATGATGATGGTTGTAGTGGTTACTTTGGTTACGACTGTTATTACGATTACGATTGCGATTGCAGTTGCGGTTGTTATTATTATTATAATTATTCAGATTATTGTTATTACTATGGCTAATGTTGTGACTACTACTATTGTTATTATAATTACTGTGACTAATACCATAGCTACTATTATTGTTATTGTTATTACTATGGCTAATATTATGATTACTACTATTGTTATTATTATGATTATTATTGTTGTTATTATTATTACCATAATTATTGGTATGGTTATTGGTATGGTTATTGGTATGGTTATTGGTATGGTTATTGGTATGGTTATTGGTATGGTTATGGCTGTAATTATTATTGTTATTGCTATGGTTGTAATGATTATTATTACCACTGTGTTTGCCATAACAAATATTGCTATTGTTACGATAGTTTTCTTGATTATTGTTGTTGTTAGTACAACAGTTGTAATATCTACTTACAATAAAATTGTTACCGCTAGCATTATTATTACCACTATTACCGCTACTAATGTTTCTATTACTATTGATGTTATCATAACTACAGCTGGTTTTGTTATTACAACCATTCTTTCCTCTTTGATTGCTCATTTTCTTGATGTAACCCGCAGGATCACAATCATAAGGGCAGGGTGGTAACTTGGTTCCACATTTGACCGGTGGATGAGATGTTATACCACCACATTTACTATTTTTTTTTATTTTTTTTTAAGAATTTTTTTAATTATAATTAATTTTGAAATCACAAGTGAGAAAAAATAATCATAAAATAATTTTTTGAAATAATTTACCATGTAAGTGCCTTTTTATAATAAATCTCTATAATATAATATTATAAAAATTATTACTAGTTAATAAAATAAAAAAAATAAAAAAAAAATATAATTAAATTATAAAAAAGCTAGCAACTACCTTTACATGGACTACAATCATCTTGATGACAGGTTTTATTACAATAATGATTGCCGCATTGTAATATTTTGCCACATACCTTTTTACATATATGAAGATCTTTACAGACATTATTACTCATACTATTATTGTTAAATCTCAATCTATTGGTTGCTGGACAACATACGACATTACACTAAATAAACATTAATGTAAATATTAGCATTATTTTCCATCAATTCGCCGTCAATTTGCCACCACCACCACCACCACCACCATCATCATCAATTATGCCACTACTAACCTTATGTGTACCACAACTTTTTAGATCTTGACATACTTTATTACATAAAAGAATCTGCCCACTGTTTTCATGCACCTCTGAGCACAGTCTATAAAATTCCGTTCTACCACATCTACACTTTACTGGTATTCGTACCTTACAAACACATCCATCATCATGTGAGCAAATATCTTGACAATGATGACCGCACCTATATTATAAATGTAAGCTTGTTAATAATCGACAAACTATTTTTTTCTGAGCGAGTGGATGTTGATACTTACTTCAAAAGTGTGTTGCATGGATTCGTACAAGGTAGACAAGGTCCTGGGTGGCATTGCCTTTAAAATATGTAAATATATACATATAGAAATCAAAAAATTATGTTATTTATTTACGCGTGTAATTTAATTCAATGAACAACAATAAAAATTGCTCTGTTACCTTTTGCAAGTATATGTGCAATAATTATTATCGCATTTCTTACCACAAGGGTTACCACAACCATGTGGTGTTATGGTTTTCCTATTTGTTGTTGTGTTTGTGGGTTTTATTGGAGTTTTACCTTAAATAAAATAAAAAATTTTAAGAATAAAATAATTAAACAAAATTTTAAAATTTCAAAATTTGAAGATTTGATTATTCATGCATACCACAAAAACATTTGTAAGAGTTAGGAAATGCATTTGTCGGTAAATCACATCCTGGACATCTCCAAAAAAGATCTCCATGATTAGAAGTTTCCATAAGTTGACTTGTTGCCAACCTTTGAATACAATTGAGATGAAAGATCGAACAACAAAGATTACATGTCCAAGTTTTGTGATAAGGTTGGATGCGTTTATAGCAGACTTTACATTCGTATTGCCCAGTTTTTAAACTATCAATTAAAGTTGCAACATAATTGTTGATTTCACTAGCCGTATATTTATTCAATGGGAATTTTTTAAATAGTTTTTTCCTGTTTATGTTATTTTGTCTGGTGAAATCTATTATAGTAGAAATTTTTGACACACCAATAATGTTGTTGTAATTACCAGAATTTAACTCAACATCACCACGCTTATTGTTACTTCCACTATTTCCAGATGTGTTTTCACCTTCGGTTCTATTAGTTCCATTATAATCATCATCATAAACTTCTTCTTGCTCATCGTCATCATCATCATCACCATCATTATCACAATAATCGTCGTCGGAATCATCATCGTCAAGTTCAATGATGTATTGCGGATTTTTGATATGTGTTACATGTGTCAAAGTATTGCAGCGATAGAATCCACCCAAACTCCTGTTGTTATTACGATTAACAGCATTGTTGACATTATAATTCGTAGCGTTTGCAGCTATATTACTATGATTATTGCTATCGATGGTATTGTTGTATTGAGAGGTATATGTTAATTGTCCAGCATTTTGATAGTTTCCCGATAAAGAAGTGAAATGATTATATTTATAATGTTTATTATTATTATAATAATTACTTTTATTCTTACTGTTATTATTGTAATTGTAATTATTATTATTATTATTTACATTGTTGCAATTATTAGTAATAAAATAATGTTGTTGTTGTTGTTTTTGTTTTTGTTGACAGTTATTAACTGTTGTTGAAGACATTTTTTAACTGTTTGTTTAATAATTAATGACGATCTGCGAATTTAATCGGAGTCACATATATAGTGATCTGCGAACAATAGTGACTAATCAAGCAAGCACATTTAGTCGTACCATATTTTTTGTTTCACCACATGATGCATGCATGCATGACATAATGTAGTAAAAATTTTAGAGAGCATTTTCTTTTACTATTACTTAAGAAAGAAAGGGCTTCTTGTATATGACACATTTGGAGGTGGATGGTTTAACGAACTTCAGATTTATAAAAATATGTATTAATTCGTTAAACATACATTAATTACATATGATAAAAACATTGAAGGTTTCATCAATTTCTTATTTATAAAAAATAAAAAACAAAAAACAATAGTTTTTCTTTGTATCAATTAATAACAAGAACAATAATAAAAAATTTTACTTTACATTAAAATTAAGGTTCCATTTCCCTTGACCAAATATAGATGGATACCCACGACTTATTTTTGTTGGTGATAAGGATCATTACCAGTTTCTGATTAATAATGAAGGCTAATTTCCAAAGGCATATTAATTCTCCATTATTGTTGTGATTTCATCAATGGCCCTTTTAATTTGGTCGAATGAATTTCTGGAGTGAATCAAGTAATATCTTTATATTTGTTATTAATATCAAATGATTTGAAAATAATAATAATAATAATAATAATATTAATTTTAATTTTGAAAAAAAAAAATTTTTTATTTATTTATTTTTGTTTGTCAATCAAACATTCTATATTAATAAAAAGATCGACATTTCAAATATGAAGGAAGATCAAAATTATTGGTTAATTGTTATTGAATTAATTGATGTTTCTTCTACTAATATTATGTGTGTGCACTCTAAAGAATTATTATGAGCAGAGAGAGGTTTACAAAATCTTTAATTAACCATACAGTGTCAACAATTAATTAATGAACATTCATTACTAAAACATTTAAATATATATATATATTATACACATATATATATATAATTTTATTATAAAATTTTTTTTTCTTTTATTTTTTGAGACTTGATTACAAACAAAATTTTAACTAATCTAAACTAAAAAGAGAATATTAATTGATTTCTTTATGTTTTATGAAAACATTAAAAACAATAAATAAATAAAAACCTAAACCTATCTTAATAATATTTGATATACTTCATAATCATCCAGTAATTGAATTAAATCAGTATTTTTAAGATTTAGTTTATTTGCATAAACATCATTATAAAAATAATAGTAACAATATAGTTGATTCTTGACACTGCTGTATAATCGCAAATCATCAAAATCTACAAATGACTCATTAAATTGTTTCTTCTCAAGTTCTATGTTGAACGGTGTACCATTATGAAATATTGCAGACTTTGGAATTTTTACTCGACTTATTATCGAATTTTTTATTTGATTTGTGTCAATACTAAATATGAAGCTCTCATCTGTCTCAACAGCATAATCATCATTCAAAAATCTATTTGGCTTATCCCAACAAACCGGATTGTAGCCACCAATCAGATCACCAGTCTCCCTAATTTTCATTACAATCACTGTATGAACAATATGATTACATAAACTATCAAAAATTGATTTGGAAAATCCATCACGTGAACCACGAAGAATCAGCTTGAATTCGTAAGGTATGTTATTTTGATTATATACATTTTCCTTGTGATTGTCAATCCAACTTGATAAAAGACATTCAGATTCTAATCCTAATAAATATTTTGATCGTGGTCCTTTTAGATGCAATAATCTTGGTTGCCGACACTTACTTCCCGAATAAAAATCAAGTATCTCATCATAAAAATTCTTATCAATAATCCTCCTAAATGGCGTAACGATATTCTTGTGAAATTCATCAACGCTGATTTGACAAAATCTTATCAATGGTATGATATCATCCAGTGTATATTTTAACTTGAAAAAATCATTATCACTCCATTCAGATATGTCCTTGTCCAAAAAATCGATATTTTGAGTTATTCCCCATTGAATAACATAATTCCAAATAACTATTTCCTTCAATTCTAAATTGTCTCGTTGTAATAACAACATGAGCATCGACTTATCAATAATTGTAAAATCATCTGATTGAAAAAATAATTCTGGACTGTGCGAGAGTAAATTATTGCAATAATTCTGGAATATGATAAATGATTCATGTTGTATTGATATTTTGTGAAGATAATTTAAATTTTGTAAAATCCATTTTTCATTTTGTTTAATAAAATATTCTTGCAAATCTTCCAATAACTCATTGAAACATAATTCATCACAAGCTTCAATTATTTCAATTATTTCATTTGGATCAAGATTATTAATATTAATAATTCCACTATATATATATCTGGAATGAAGAAATAAAAAATAATTAATAGTGAATATTATATATAAAATTATTAATAGATTTATAATTTATATTATCACAGTTTTTGATCATGGTCGACTTACTCTAAAATGATTCCAAATATTTTTGGGGAGACATTGCTTTTTTCGAAAATAATAATACCATTATCCATTCTTTTGATCCAATTGTTTGACAAAGCCACATTGAAATATGACGATCTTGATTTCAGGATGGCCGAGTGTGCTTTAAACGTTTCAAGATCTTGTTGATTTAGTCCTACTTTAATTTCCACATCATAGAAGTTTGGTTCATTTAAAAGTTTTGAAAAATCATTTAATAGTTTGCTAATATATTTCAACGGTGATGCGTCAATATTAGACGAAACTATATTATCAAGCAATTTAGTAATATTTTCAAGCGCTGAAAACATTTTTATTGTTTGTATATATATATAGATTTACTATTTTGTGTGTGTAGTAATTCTTTTTTTCAGGTAATTCGGACATTTTCCGAACAGGCAAAACCTTTATCCATTTGTCATCATGGATAAAGGTTTTGCCTGTAGAGGGATATATTATAATTATCCTACCCATGAGTTTGTCGATCATAGAGTGAGTTATCCGGACAAAATCCCGGAGATCAACATCAGAAATATCCATGCCACACACCCCGAAAGGCAGAAACTTTATAAAGGATTTGCCTTTCGGAAAATGTCCGAATTAGGTGCAGGCAGTTTTTAATTTATTTATTTTAGGGGAGTGATTATTGAAAAAGAGCAATTTAATTTTAGCAAGTTTGTATCACGATTTTTTATTACACAGAATTAGAATGGGTGATATCTACTATTTATCCTCCTGTGACTAGTAGTGCGGGTGCTATATGAAGACCCTGGACAATCAACATCCTTCCATTGATAAAATACTAAATATAGTTAAATGTTACCAACAATCCTGAATATAAAGAGATGATAATAATAAATAAATTCGTTATGGTGTGATTTACTTGATCATTACTATAGTCAATGCAAACATTTACAAAAATTAACGGCCAATTATACATGTCTATTTTTTGGACAAGCTATTTAAAGTGCATGAGCATTGATTATGGGCACCTTTAGTGGGATTATAACCATCCCAAAGTATGATTGGTTTGCATTTTCGTTGTACTTTGAGTTATGACGAGTTTACACTTGTGTCGTACTTTTAGGCTATATAGAAGAATTCATGTTTGTTTTTTTTTCATTCGAATCCGCATAAGTTGATTTACCCATTACTTCATTATTATTAATATATTTTTAGGCATCATATATGGGTATCAACCAAGTATAGGGCATTCGTCCAAAATAAAATGCCAATAAATGAGACTTCATATATATGCAAAGTGTTGGTTGACACGATTATTCAATATAGCCATGAGCGAGATACTATAAAATGCAAAGCTTGGAGTTCATGGTTATTGTTTCTTTTTTTATTGATTAAGCTTTAAGTGTAGAGTTCGGTTGCACAGTATATCATATGGCAAAAATTTAACAAATTGTTTGTATATACATACAAAAGTCCATGTGACTTCGCCTAACTCGCACGAAAATCCTTGAGAATGTGCGGGCTATTTAAATAATATTAATGAGTTAAGTTAAATAAGTAGTTTGAGATTCAAGATCAGTTGCCAATCCTATAAGTGAAGTTATTAATCCTTAAAATGCACTATATGCGATTGTTAAATTAGGCAATATTAAACAAATTAACTTATTATTATTTTTTATAATAATAGAAACATCTAAATTTTAAATTTTGGTGGTATGAACATTTCTATTCGCCAACACCAGCTATAGTAATAACATCAGGAAATTTCTTTAGGAAATAAATATTGAGATACATCATTTATCGATATTTATCTCAATAAAAAAATCGAAATTAACGAAATAAGATAATTTTCGATAATTAATTATCTTACGATATTTAACATCATCGAAATTAATTACAAAGATAATTAACGATAAAGATAATATATGAAATTAATCACCAAGATAATTAACAACAAAGATTATATACGAAATTAAATCACTAAGATAATTAACGATAGAGATTATATACGAAATTGAATAGATTGCTTGCTTATTTCCTTCATGTCTGTTAGATTCTTGTTATGGTGTAATTATGTACTTTCTGTTTGGCTCCTTCAGCCACTAGAATTTGCACTTTACTAGCCGCACTCATAGCACTTAGTTCTTCAAGTATTTTATTGCTGATTCTCTTAACGGTTGTCCTTCTAGGGCTATTAAAATTAATTTATTTATTCTTTGTAAATTTTGTTATCTTCATCTCTCGATTTTCAATTCAAACATGGTGTTCTACTAATGCTTAAAATTCCTTCATGCTATTTAATCACAGTTATTCTTTATCAGCATTTTATATTTCCTAATTAATTGTAATTTATTTTTCTTTTCTTTATAACGGTCACTTTTTTTTTGATTTTTTCTAGACTTTGTTTTGCAAAACTTTGATCCTATAACGATCACTTGTTTTGACGTTTCTTCCTCCTTGCATTATTGCATTTGTTCTTCCATCAAAGATCCTATTATCCTTTGGTATCCATTTCTTTCTTTATTTCCATTCTTTAATTAAAACTTTCCGAATGTATTATTTTTAAATTTTCGTAGGTCCAGGCCTCTTTTTTTTTTTTGAATTATTATTTCCCGAAGACTCATTCTATTTGAATTGAACAGGTTTATCTAGTCATCTGGTTCGTTTATGCTTTGTTTATATTTTATTTTGCTAATCATAATGATTTTGGTAATTGAATTTTCATGTTTATTCATGTTCCGTCTTCTCTCCTAGGATAATTTTTCTGTGACAGGGTTTCTGATCAATTCTTCCATATAAAAGGGTCGAATTTTAATCTTTTTGAATGTTATTAAAATTTTTAAAATAATTCCTTCGACCTATTTTCAGAAATGCCAGAAGAAGTAAATTGCCTGGAAGATCTAAAAATCCCAATTATACTGTTTTGTCACATATGGCTTGGGATTTTTTTTTCAATACAAGCAACTAGTGTGTCAAATGAGTCAGCTTTAGCATAACTAAACACACATTAAGCCCAGTTCATGATAAATTGGATCCTGAAAAGGCATGAGCAAGTTTATGTCTTAAAAATTGGATTGAAGCAAAGATTGTTTCAATATAAAATATATTAAATATATTTTTATATTCACAAAATTTTATAATAATATATAATAAAAGTATATAATAAATATTTTTATTAACTGTTTGAAAAAGTTTGGACTTTTTCTGGGACTTTAAGTCCCAGGACCGATTAACATCTCTACTTTTTTAAAATACTTCTAATAGTAATATAATTCTTGGGCTCCATGGTAGACCTAATATAAATTAACTTCATATTAATTATTTTTATATAGAGGTAATTCTATATACCACTTAATATTAAGAAAAAAACAAAGATAACAAATGAGAATAATCACATTATTAAATTTTGATTCCTAAAATTCTTGGTAATACCAATGTTCACTTTGTCTGGTTTTGTTGCAGTATACCCCATATAAGGTTGCTTGCTGAAACCTCTTAATGACCGCTGAAACTCTGTCAAAGCTCTAATAACCAATTGGTGTGTAACCAACTGTACTTTGCTGATTGATTTCTGAGAGAGTTTTGGCAAGCAACCATAGCATCTCATGACTTTAAGCATGAATTGATAATGTGCAATGTTGACTTTCTACTTCTGATCTTCTGTTGTAATGTTGCTATTTTTGAAAAAGAAAAAATCAATTATTGCCATTTTTGTTATTTTTAAATAAAAGTTAAGACTTACCATAAAAATTGTTCACATCCATGCTTCTGTAAGTTTTATCATTGGCAACATAAGAGGAGCAACATGCTCACTTAAAACTGACTCAATCCATAAATCAAACAATGTTTGAGGAACTTGTGAATCAAATTTTGCATCCACAAAGATGCTTTTTACCATGCTCCCCATTTCTTTAGGAATCTCTACATTGTTTCAATAATCATCAACATCCTCTCCCTTTTCTCATATTTTTTCCATTACAGATAAAAATTCTGTAACTTGTGAATCTAATCTTGTAAGTATCAATGGTAATAATAATACAGATCTGAAAATTGAAGCCCCAATTGAAGATTTTTTATAAAATTCTGGCACCACATATGTTGTTGGTGTTAATATAGGAAGTGCACCAGGTTGTAAAAAATTCGTGATTTTTGAGATTTCTTTGACATTGATCAATGGTTGATTAAGATGTTTACTTAACCTTTATTATTGTGGCCATTCTTGGTGGTATTGGTGATAGTGGATTTAGATCATGAAATATTGACTGTGCAAAATTATCAGCATAATCAATTATAACTGTGTATTCATTAGATTGTTCCCCAAATATTCATATGCAGCCTTCTTGACTCATTTCAGTCAATATATTTATCAGCATTCTGATCAATTCAAAAGTGGGACAACTAGATATGAAAGTTGATCAATTTCATATATATACAAGTTCTTTGCCTAGTCATCAGAAAAACCAATTCCATATATTCTACATATAATTGCCATGTGTGGGGTTCTCTAGCAAAAGGCAGCTTAAGTGCCCCCTGACCAAAATTGAGTTTTTTGCATAATATGCATTTATATTATAAGGATTATAACTGGTGAAAAAATCAGGTCATGTTTACTTAATAAAAAAAATGAGTAAATGATTTTTTAAATTAATTTGCAAAATAGATTTGAATTGATCTACAACCCCATATTTTATTTGTTAAACGAAATTCGATAAAAAAATTATATATATATATATATAATAATAATACAATCAATATAAAGTCAGAAATATAAAACAATCACTAATAAATTATAAAATACCTTTTAGTTTTTGCTGAATCCCATCTACAAAAATTCTTCATGATTATTAAATTTCTATAAAATAGTTTTTTGTGAACCTCTCTAAAACTTATTAACCAATACCCCCCATAAAGTAATAACCATATGAAGCTTAAAGTATTCTACACCTTCTCATTTACTATCAAGTCTTTTAAAGCAATATTGAGCTTTGAAGTGAAAAAGTAATACCGTTTTTGAGTAACCATGAATTCATGTAGAGAGATATTTTAAAAAAACTTCATGTGACATGAATTTCAAATTTATTTTCACATATAGAAAATCAATTGATGTGACATGACTTTTAAGCTTAAATTCTAATGAATAAATTTTGAACTTAAATAACAGACTTTCAAAATTATATTTAAATTAAAATAACTTCTTAATCTTTCTTTGTAATGGGCTTGTGAATGGTTTTATATAGAAAGATGTGACAATTTACTTGTAACAAACCTCATCACACAAATGGCAATTAATTTTATTACCATATTTGGTAATAGAGGAATTCATTTTTTTTATTATTCATGTTAGTTAAAAATACTTAGCAATCGGGATATTATTATTTATTATCATTATTATTTTTATTAAGGAAAGTGGATATTATATTGTTATATTATATTGTGGGGAATATAATTATATTATTATCATATTTATATTATTATTTAACCAAAGAAAGTTATCTTAAATTATGATCATACTTTCCGGGAAGTCTATAAGCTTCCATACAATATATAGATTATATATTTATTTATTTCCTTATGATTTATATTTATATTTTAAGAATTGTATTTTTATTATTTAAAGATGTAAAATTCAAACAAATAAAGATAACTTTTTATATAATTTTACAACAATAAAATTATCAAGTTCATTAATTGTTAAACAAATATCTAAACATTACTAATAATTGTGATTATTATTTGAATGTTTACATTACTGCTAGAAAGAACAAAAATATCCTTTTTCTCAATTGCATCAAAATTTTTCCATTTTTTTGTAACACGCAATGTATATACTTGAAATTATTTATATTAACTTGAACAGCAACATCCAGAATCAAATTCACATCCAGAATCAAGGTATTCATCATCTTTCTCAATTTTTTCTAAAACAATTTGTGCTGCGAGTTTTATTGCTATTGTATCACTCTTGGAGCTTGCTTGTCCAACTACAGAATCATAAATTGATAATGTGCAATGTTGACTTCCTACTTCTGAATCTTCTGTTGTAATGCTGCTATTTTGAAAAAAGAAAAAAGTAATTAATTATTGCCATTTTTGTTATTTTTTTAAAAAAAAATAAAAGGTTAAGACTTACATGTTCATATAAATGCAATTTTTTTGCACTTTATAAAGCATTTTGTTGCAAATGATTTTAACACATTCTTTAGTAAGTTTACTCATGTTCACTTCAGAAGAAACATCTAATCTAATGAATCACCAAGGATTTCAAGACACTCATAATCCATTTCCATATTTGCAGATGAAGTAGTTAAGGCTGACAAAATAATATTTTAAATTATCAGCATAATCAATTATAATTGTGTCATCTAAAGACTAGTGTCATAATCCAAAAAAGGAAAAAGTGTGGTTGCAAAAGTGGTCACAAAGGTAATTGTGACCACTTTTTATATGCCATAAATACAATACTACCATCACCATAATTTATGGCACTAGTCTTTAGTGTCATCTAAATTCATTAGATCAACCTCCAAATGTTCATATTCAGCTTTCTTGACTTCATTCCAGTCAATATATTTATCAGCATTCTGACCAATTTGTGAATGTGGCAAAAGTGGAGCAACTAGATACAAAAATTGATCATTTTCATAAACAAGCTCTTTGCCTAGTGTTGATGTAAATAAACGTAATGTAAATTTGAGAAGCATTTCTAACTTCTCTGCACTGATGTTGATTGATTCTGGTGTGAATACACATTCAAGATTAAAGATTAGTGCCGTATTCCAAAAAAGGAAAAGGTATGGTTGCAAAAGTGGTTGCAAAGGTAATTGCAACCACTTTTTATATGCCATAAATAGAATTACTACCATCCTCATAATTTACGGCACTAGTCTTTATTCAAGATTTTAGTGCTTGAATTAAAAAATAATTCACTTGATTGAATTTGGGGGAGTTGTTTGTGACTTAGCAAACATAAGGTATGATAATGCTCCCCATCATATTTTTCATTATCCAACTCCAATTTTATTATTGCAATGTATAGTTCCCCTGGAGTTGCTTTGTCATCAACTGACCACAGATCTGGCCTTTTTATGTTATATGTTGTTGAATGACTATGTTTGCGTCATTTAGGGGCTCATCATGTCACTATTGCTATTTTTGTAGTAAAATGAGTTAAAAAGTATAGAGAGTTGATAATAAAATAATAATTCTCTAATAATACTTACAAATTACTTTCAGATAACTGGGCTAGATTTTTAAACTTCTTTTTGACATTTTTTATATTAAATATTAAAGAAGATAAAGAAAATTTAGCGCAAAACAAAAAAAAAAAAATTTTTTTAAGGAATCTATGTTGTACAAACCCCTATTTTAAAATTTTTTGGACGGGAGATGAAGAAAATTGGGTATTCAACAAATGATTTGTATATTTGTTTTGCATTAACATTATTAACATTAATATTCAATGATCATAAGTGTCGAAGCAAAAAGAACTGAAAATTGCTCTTTGGACAATTGGGGAAACCAAGAAACGAATCAACATGTAACATTCAAACATTAACTGCCTTCCTTGAGTGCATAAGGCTAATCAGACCTGCTCCTCCCGTGATACAACAATGCAAATAAATCCCAATGGAATGGGAATAATCCTAAATGGGGGGGGAGCTTGGCCCTGGGATTTATTAGGATTACATTGTTGTGGAGTGTTAAAGCCTCTTGCTCATCCAAAGTCTATTGGCATGTCCAATTCCCCTTTCTCTTGTGGAAAAAATCTCATAGTGCTGAATTGTGCATAGTGATTGCATGATTGTGAAAGGAAAATTTTATCAAATGATCAGGGTTGGTATTGGACCATACATGTTGGCCAAAATTACTTTTGTTAGTAAATGATCATTGCCAAAATAGTTTTCAAAGTAGACAAAAATTAATTTTAATAGTGGCCAAAATTATATCCAAAATTATTTGAATTCTTTGATTCAATAGCTAAAACTCTGGATGGTTTTTTTATGACTATTAATATAGGGAATATGGGAAAGCCAGAATGTTGCCAAAATATTTGGCACATGCAAAACCAATCTTGGTTAACATGTATGTATTGGATACAGATACTATCCAATGCCTGGAGCTTCGAATCCACCACCACCCTATACATTGACAATAATATTAAGTATAGGACCAATAACAACATCACAAACAACCATGTACAACCTTCACTCAAGCAATTCCATCTCTGAAAGTCAAAACCTTGGCTGAAATCTAACAATTAATTTCCAACACCTACTCTGCCTGTGATCAATATCAGATTTGTTCATTCTATTTTTTGGGATTTTGAGAATGATCATTAAGGAACTCTCCAGCTTGTATGAAATTGGAAGGAAAAATAATTTTATTCCAAAAATTATTTATTTATTTATTTTGGTGTCCTGGATAGATGCACATTATTATGTGGTCTTTTTTAAAATTGGTTCTTTAAAATTTTCATTTCTGCATGGTATTATTACTCAGGGCGATGCAATTATTTACTATGAATAATAATACAATCACCATTAATAGACATGAATAGTGATGGCAAAAGCATGTGCATTCAAGGAAATAATTAAATAACAACAAAAAGATAAGTAATGTTTGTTTATTTTGGTTCAACTAAGAGAAAGATACATAGTAATGATTTTAATTAATTTATATATATATATATATATATAAATATTAAATATTAAAAAAACATATAAGATAAAAAAACCACCAGGGCAATCATATTGGAAACTATTAAAGAGAATATAAAATAAGTTTTTTACCTGCAAGTATAATTACTTGATAATAATAATAATGATACAATTCTGACATACAAGATCACAGAAGCCTTAAACTTTTACTTCTAAGGTAAATTATTGATCAATTTTACCAAAATATAAAGAAAAGTTAAAGTGATATATATATGTTAATTAAAATATAAAATAGATTTTCCATAAAAATGGGTTTTGTGCACAGTCACAAGACTTTTTCTATTTTAAATTGATTCCGTCACAACTGATAAAACGAATGCTTTACATGAGCTTAAGAACTTAAGAAAATTGCATTATCAAAATGATCAAGTGCATTTTTATCATGTGTCCAGTCTAAAAAAAATGTTTACAGGGAAGATGATTTCATTTTAAAAGGTAAACTCTGTGACGAAGTGATTTGCATTGTAGGAAATAGATTGGGGCACGCTCCAATTCATTCATGAATCAGTGATTATATATAAAAAGAAATTATTTAGTTATCGCTTATACATTGTCAAGTCTTCTATCTATCTACAAAGTCAATTGAAATATTTATATCACAAAAAATAAAAAAACAAATAGTATTTATACAAGCTTTTTGATAATAATATGAATATATATAACAAATGGACTGATTAAAAAAATAAATATATAAAGAAAAAATAAAATTGATAGATATATAAAGAAAAAATAAAACTGATGATGATGACAATGATGATGGTGATGATATGATTAATAACAATAACTTCAAGAAACGTCATTGTCTATTAGTTCATCATCATCTGATGATCCTTCAAAATATACAACTTTAATAAAATTACCATATGCAACTGCAACTCCCTCTTCACCAACTTTAACAACTTGCCGTATATAAGCAAATGGTAATATTTCATTCTTATCATTTTCATCTTCAAAATTTAGCAAGCTTTGTTCACTACCATTATTATTTCTACTTTTATCATTATCTGAATTAACCTTATTAATCATTACACTACCACATCTTTTTTGTGCTTTTTGAATATTCAAGTCGTCATCATCATCATCATGGTGATGATGATCATGGTTATGATGATCATGGTTATGATTGCTCAGATTAGAAGCAAATGCTTTATTAGTGATTATAGAACTACCATTATTATTATTGTTGTTGTTGTTGTTGTTGTTGTTATTATTGCTATTATTGATTGTAATGTTTCTACGTTTTCTAACAAATCCTTTAAGTTCAACAGAACTTGCTTTTTCTTGTAATTTAAGTTGTTCATTTTTATGTTTTTGTTGTTCTTCAAATAAATCTTTCTCGTTAACTAAAGAAATTGTTTGAACTGATAATTCAACAAGATCATCCTCTTCATCTTCATCTTCATTATCTATATCATTATTATCACCTGTACAAAGATTATTTGATTCGATAGCTTGAGGTTCATTAATATCCAACATCCATACCTCCCATTCACCTTCAGCTCCATGACATTGTTTATTCTTTGAATTTTTAACTTTTCTTACACCAACCACATGTTCTCTAGCAAGTACAATTGCCGAACCACCAAGTTGACTTATATGTCCTATGAATTTGGATTGATATGATACAACACCATTCCATTCTGCTACTTTTTGATGATTGTTAAGTTGATTTGAAACATTATTTTTGAATCTTGTTAAATTATCATTTATATTATTTGTTACAGATGTTATTGATGATGGCGATAAATTTTTTTTATTGGCTTTATTATTAGAGAGATGGTAATCAAAATTTAATGAAATACATGTACAATCCATCACATTACGAACTAATTGCCAGACAAGAACTTTTTCATCAACTGATGAAGTAACGATTGTGAAACCACCTGGTTCTTCAGTATTGCCACACGGACAGCTTTTTTCTTTAAGTGGATGAATTATTATATTTGTTATAGAATCTTCATGTGACAATTCATCATCTTCACTATCATCTTCATCTGTATCATAATCATCATAATCATCATCATCCCATTCTTGATCTGAATATGATGAATTTTGAAAATGTATATTACCATTAATTTTGCCATTACCATTAATAAGACCATTACTATCAAAACGATATTGTTGTTGAAGCAAAGAGTGTTTTTGTAATGTTGGTTTTTTATGTTTTTTTTTAGATTTCTGTTTTGCAAGTAAACCTTTACTCAATGTTACAATAAGTTTACTTGTTCGGTAATCATATACATTAACCTGGCCATCAGAAGTACCAGTCACCAAAATACCAATACTATCCTTTTTAATTATTTTGGTTGCAATACATGTTATAGCATAATTTGGTCTTCCAGGTATTGTGTATAATAGATCCCATCGAAACTTATGTGGTTGTGATGATGATGAATCATTACTGTTATTGTGATGATTGCTTGGAGTTGATTCATTATTATGAGAATAATGTATATTTCTAGCCCAACATTTTACTGAACCATCTCTAGCACCAGTGAAAACCACTAATTTATCGTGATTATAATCTTGCTTTTCATCTTCACCCACAACACAAAGATAAGTTATGCCACCTTTTTGATGTGTGAATATTGTATGTACAACTTGACCAGACACAAGATCCCATTCACGAAAATAACCATTACGATATGTTGCAAGCAAAATAACAGATGATTTGTTATTTTCCAGCGAAGATAATGAAGAAGACCTTGACATAAAAGTGTTTGAATAGTTATTATGATTAAGATTACCATTATGATCATCTTCACCATCACAGCTGGATGATGATGAGTTGTGAGGTGGCAATGAAGGGGAAGCAATGAATTTTAGACAAGTGACACGTTCTTTTGTTGAATAACTGCTCATTGTATTTATAAGTGACTCAACATCTTCCACAGTATCTTTTAATATAAACATAGCTTGACCAGAATTTAAGTCCCAAACTCTCACAACACCATCTTCAAAACCAGCAGCAGCCAAATCAGTTTGTTCACTCATACACATTGCTCTAACAGGCCATGATATACATTTCTTTCTTCCACCAGTAGTTTTACACTTACATGTGTCACACCTCCTCAAGTAACGCTCGAGCTTTTTTAATGGAATGCCACGTTTTCCATTCCATGAGGTAATATGTTTGTCAATCCCTGTTGAGATTATCTTATTGTAAGAGTTAGCACATAATAAGTCCACATCAGCAGAATGACATCCTCTCAATGTGACAACACGAGGAGTAGCAAAATATTTAGTAGATGTTGAAGTTGTTTCTATTGATAAGCCATTGATTTTATTAGCATTATTATAATTGTTGTTCTTACTATTATTGAAATTTGATGGCAAAGAAATTCTATTTTGATTATGAGATATTGAATACATGGATTTTAACTTGTCAGTTTGATCAGATGTTGATACTAGACTACTAACCAATGAAGAAGTTGCAAAGATGATAGCAATAGCTGGGGCAATGATGAATTTTATAAACCAAATAATATACTTTAATGTTATGATTGAAAATGATTTCCAATTATCGAAATTCATTATTAAAATATTTGATAAAAAACCATTATTGTTGCTTTTTTGGTTATTGTTTGATTGATTGTTGGTATCAGCACCATCAAAATTTTGAATTATTGAAATAAATTTCATTGGACGGAATTCAAAATATTGATCAGATTTTTGAGGATTAACTATGTCCCAAAATTTATCAGTAGTTGTAGCAGTTGAAGTTTCCCAGAGCGTTGTATTTAAATTTGATTCTGGCACAGTTGAATTGCCAAAAAAATCAGATACAAATGTCAATGATAATAAATCAGTTTTTACTTTGTAAGCATTTGTTAAACTTGTAATTATAAGTAAAGCCTAATTTTTAAAGTAAACAAAATATAAATGTATAATTTATAATATTATATATAGAATAAATAGTGTAAATAAATTTATAAATTACCATCATAAAACTTGCAATTTTATTTCGACTATTAGAAATTTTGGAAATAATTGAATTTGATTCAACAGAGACACTTAATTTACGAATGTTGTTGGATTTAGTGATAGGCGTAATAACTTTTCGGTTATACAAATCTGATATCTAGTGAAAATATTATTATTATTAGAGAAGAAATATTAAAAAAGAAAAAAGAAAAAAATTTTTTTTTTAAATATACCTCTAATCTACGAAGATCAATTGATAAAATGGTGATATAGAGTGACATTTGTAACAAGTAATCAGTGATCATTGTCACAGAGATGAAGATACAAAATTCTTGAAGAGAATCAACATTGATCACACATGATAATGGTAATAATAACAATCGAGTTACGACATTTTTGGTTATTGAATTTCCAACACCTTCAAGTCCTATAAATATATCACACATATAAATGTGCTGTATTTTGTAGATAAAATAAATTAATATAAAATAATATAAAATACCTTTAGCAACTCTTTCTTTAACTTCTAATCCCATTGAAGTAGAAGTAACAGCCTTTGTCAAAGTAACAACATTCTCCACACCAATAATCATAATTACAAATGGTAACATCTTCCTATTATTGACAAAAAAATAATCACGTTAATAAAAATAATAAAATAAAATGAGTGATTATTTAATTAATTAACTACTAACCATGATAGAAGAGTTAGAGTGATATCAAATAATGAACAAATACTAAGTGAAATAATTAGTGAGGCAAGTAGTTGAGCAATTGTTGAAAAAGCAAGACCAATTTTAGATTTAACAGAATTTAAACGCCTAAGTGATAATGAAATATATGAAAATAATATTAAATATTCAACAATAAGAAGAACCACTTCAGCGGAAATATTAGATCTCCCGGAATCAAGGTCAACAGCTGAATTATTATTATAGTTGAACTAAAACATTAATTATTTGATGAATTAATTTATGATTAATTAATTATTTGGAAATAGTATTATAATTATCAATAACAACAATAATAATATCAAATATCAATCAATATAACATCAATAATATCAAATATCAATAGTAATAAAATATTATTATACCTCATAAAGTAAATGTTTTGATTCATCATGAGAAGTTGAAATGTCAATTGCCTTTATCCTCGAATTTTCACGATAATGAGAATGACTGTCATCCTCAGCCATTTTCTTCCATAACATTTCCCAAATTGCAATGGTCTCACCTTCATTACAATCATCGCCAATATCTTTAAAGAAATATGTGAGGATGATTGAATCTGCAGAGATAATTTTACCAGTTCTTTTATCATAAACAGGATTACCAAACACAGAATCTATTGGAATTGGTATGTCGAAAGAATTGGTTTTATTTGCTTTTGATATTGTATTGAAAATAGAATGATCCTTCAATAATCTTTGTGCATTGTTTGACCAATATTCAAGTGGAGAATGTATCAGACAGCGGTTATCATTAATAGGCTTGAAACAAAGATTTGAAAGCGTGTAAGGAAGAGGATCTTTTTTTGGATTGTTTTTGTTGTTGGCTTCAATTAAAACTGAGGATATTAGTGGAGAAACTGTATTATGTGGATAAGTTATGGAAGTAGTTGATAATTGCTCTTGCAAATTTAAAGTCCATAGTAACATGTCTTTTTCCAAGACGTTTTGTAGTTTGTTATTTTTCGTCGTGCTTATTTTAATTTGTTGTACACGTAAAGGAGGCTTAGTTCCACATTTTTCAGCAAAAATTTCTTCAGTGATTGGAGTTCTTGAAGAAGGGGATTCCCAGAAGAAAGATTTACTCGTGTCTTCTTTTATAGAGTTTAGGTAATAAGTGTCGAAAGCTGGATAACAAAGTGGTATTACAATGAAAATTGTTATTACCATTACAGAGACTTGGTGAGACGCACAAAATTTAGCATGTTGATAAAATACAGGAGACAATATCTTATTAAGGAACCTCCAAATCATTTTTTTTATAAATAAAATTTTTTTTTAACAGTGAAATAAAATATTTGTTGAAAATATGCAGGTCAACAATTTAAAATTGTGATACCTAAGAAATTTGATCAGCGAATATAGAGTTAATTTTTAATTTCTAAAGGGAGATTATTACCCTACAAAATGTTTTTTATGTAATTATTTATAAACATATATATATATTAATTCATTTTGAAATATTCTTTATTAGTTTTTTCAATATAAAATACAGTTAACTCTCAATAATGAAACTTCTTGTCAGATATGTATTTTTGAATGTTTGTTCATTATAGTAATATGGCGGGGCTTCACTTAGTAATTGTCCATTATAGACAAGGTATTGGACAATTTCAGTAACATCCAGGATGTCATGATATTGGCCGCTGCGCCCAATAACTTATTTATATATATGTAGGAGTCAAATGTAGGAATAGTGGATTTTTGGACTTTAGTTATATTGTTATAATGGTAAAGATAAAAAAAAAATACGTTTCAAAATTTATTTTGTCATGTGATTTATAGTACTTTTTTTTTTCTGAAATACAATCGTATCCGCCCACAAAAATATCCGATAATAATAATAATATTGGCGGGCTAGGCATCAATTTGGGGATTTTTGTGGACATTTTTAAAAGCCAAATTACTAAATTGGGAAAAACACGCAAATGACGAATTGCGTACAACAGAATTATTTGTGAGAACATTTTATGTATTTAGTAAGATTTTCAAGTATTGTTTTATATGATAACGATTTTTGAATTTTGGACAACAAATCCACTACTAAAATCATCCTTTTGCAAGCTGCAAACCTCCAGAAATGACTAAATTTGAAAATAAAGAAAGCTTCATGAAATCTCTAATTTTTAGATAATCGTTTTTCCGCAATTAATACTTTTTAAGCAGCTGCGTAAAAATTTACCCCGTGATTAGTCTTGGTGTTTTCCCGCTATTAAACTCGGTATTTTTTCCGTTTATATTAATAAATTTTCATAAAAATGGAGGTTTCACCGATATGCATTTAATTATATATTCAAACAAGTTTTAGAAGACCACATCAACGGGACCGGGAAAACTCTATTGAATGTGACCGCCAACACTACGATTCGAAAGTACTTTTAAAAAAAAATGTGACCGCCTCACCATAGATTCGCATTGATAGAAAACGGAAAAGGTCTCCGTTTTTATATTAAATATATTATCGGTTACACTGATTCCCAGACATAGAAAAATAAAAAATGTCATCGGTTACACTTATAGATGGGCGTCTAAATTGTTTTTGGGTTTGTTTAAGGTCAAAACAGTATTTAGACAAAAATGTCTAAATGTCAGCATAGTAAAAATTTGTTGTTACACGAAATGTTATACAGAACTCATTGCTCACCAGTATATTAGTTGTTACCTCTCTAAATTGGAGATCAAGTTGAGATCCGATTCGAATCCAGTTTATCACTACTTTTTATTGCCAGAATGTTTGCCGTGTATTGTAAAGTTACATTGCGCAATATAAAAAATTGATGTAACATTTCAAATCTCCACTATGCTCTAAATGTCTAAATTAATATAAAAAGTAATGATTTGCTTTAAATACAACTAAAAGTCACGTGTATATAAATGTCTAAATTAATTTATACTGACATTGTCTAAATAATTTAGTTTAGACACCCATCTATAAGTTACACTTGATTCGCATTATTAATAAAAAATGTTATTATCGGTTACACTTGATTCGCATTATTAATAAAAAATGTTATTATTATCGGTTACACTATAATAAATAATTCGCTTTATTTTATATTCACAATAATAATAATAATAAATACATATTAATATGTACTGATAAAAAACTTTAAAAAAAATTTAAAAAATGTCACTAATAAAAAAAAGTTATTTGTAAATGTGGTCAAATTATTTCACTTGGAGTCAATTATCAAGAGTTATTACGTTTTATGAAAAATGTGGGCAAGGACATTCATGGGTAGAAAAGCCGGCAGGATTTTTGGATCTTCCTGTATCACAACAGTATTTTTCATGTGAAATTTGGCAGGAGACATTACAATTCATATTACACCACGAGAAGTAGTTTATTTTTTGGGAATACGTTCTTATTCTAATATTAATTCTTCTTTTAAATATTTTAGTCAATAAAGATAATTTCATATGTCCTCGGCTATTTTAATTCGCATTATTAATAATTTTCGCATAATAATAATTATTATTATAAAAAACCAAGAATTCGCATTAATATGATTTGTCATTTAATTTGGAGGTCACATATATACAATAGAGTTTTCCCGGTCATGTTAATATATCAAGTTCACGTTTCACAGACAACAAATTTCATTGGGTAGCTAGTTCGTGTAATCATCACATTACACGAGCATTCAGCGTGGAATTTTTTCAGGAATTTAAAAATTTAATGCATCACGACTATTAATTACATTCAACTTTTTTACAAAGCATATTTTCTTTTACAAAAGCCGCCCCAGAAATTTTTAATTGGGAATAATCAAAATCAAGGATTTGCAGTTTTTCCAATGAGAGAGCTTGACTCATTGCAACATACACTTGTCCTTCAGCAAACATATTAGAAAAATTGGTTCCAAATCGTTACGTTTTTTCCTTCACACTTTCAAAAAGGCATGATCATTTTTAATATAATAAAATTAATTTTGAATTCGTTACGTTTTTTGTTACATTTTCAAAAGGGCAAGAATATTTTCAAAAAAAAACTTGATTTCTTTAAATTTAATTAAATAATTTTTTTAAATAATAAATGAATTAATTCCAAATTGTTTTCTAGTGGCGATGCTAATACTAAATCAATAATGGATTAATTTCTTGCTGATATTCTTAGTAGCAGGAAAGGATCTTTTTCAAAAAAGCTTAATTAATTCCACATTTTTGGAAAAGGCTCGATTTTAATCAAATGATTTCTTTTTACTTATAAATACAACTTTGAACGTTTTAAAAAAATTTGGGGGAGTGATCAATGATCAATTTTGTGAAACGAAAATTTTCCTTTTCTTTCGAAAATTTCCAAAGAGAGATAGTATCGTTGCCAATCTTTTCTAAATTGTTACAAAGTATGTTGCACTGATTTGATTGAGTTGTATTCTTTCGTTAATAAATACGGGGGGGTTTTTTTTTACACAATCATCAAGGAGGGGAGACAGGCGACCATTATCATTGTTGCTGTTGTCAGTATTATTATTTATAACATTTGTCATTATTGTTGTTGGTGTTATTACTTATAATGATTGCAACGATTGCAACCCATTGTTATTCACAACTTCCAATCTTTTGTATTCTTCTAAGGCCGCTCTAGAGACTGTTAGCTGGGAATAATCAAATTCCAAGATGTGCAACTTATCCAGAGAAATGGTTCGGCTCATCGCAACGTATGCTTGACCTTCTGCAAACATGTTTTCGTCGACATTTAGCGTTATGTGTGGTAAGGCTAAACCTTGGGTTTTGTGAACCGTCAAAGCAAATACATTTTGGAGAGGAAATTGTTGCCTTGATGCACTTTTGCCATCAATTTCAAAGTGGTAAATTTCCTTTCGCACAATTATTTTGCTTATACTTTTCAGGGTTGGGAAATCCTTTGAAAATGATGTCTTTATAAATTTGACTTCCTTTATCACTCCTGTATGTAGCGGTTCCATCGATAAACCCGCAATTCAAAATTTAACAGAAGACAGTAAAAATTGAAGTCATTTTTGGTAATAATTGAGAAAATAAGATGACGATGATAATGGTAGTGATATTTTTAATAATTATAAAATATAAAGATAGCAATCAATATATGTGTTTGAAACAAACAATAGTAAAGATAACAGTAAAGGTAATAATTAGAGAGTTGAAGTTAAAAGGGACAAGATTTTCCTCTTAATATATATTTAAACATTGCTTCTTCCCAATTTAGCATTAGAATGACAATTAGGATCGTCTTTTAAAAGTCACAATAACACGAATATTTTAAACATCGACATAATATTAATTGATCGAAAAGCAACAGCTCACAATTCTTCATTTATCAAAGAAATTAATAGTTTTGTTAACCGAAAAAGTAATGGTTTATTGTTTGCTAAGATATAATTGATAAACAAAAACAATTGTTTGCTAACATCTCTTTCATTAATTGGTCAAAAAGGTAATAATTCTTTAAAATATAACGATTTTACTTCGGTATAATAGACATAAAGACAATAATGCATTTTTTGTCTTCATGACAAAAAAAAAATTGATCTTTTCTTATTCTTGTAAATAATAATTATTATTATTAAATTCATGTTGGTCTCAACACAGAAGAAGATGGCAGTGAAAATCAAGCACAAGCTAAAAGACTAACAGGAGAAAAAAATGCAAGATTGTCAGGTGTCATTGAAAGCAGAAAGGTTTTTACGACTTTGGAAAGAAAATAAATTGATCTGCAAATCAATTTTTTACACGTAAAAAAAAAAATGAACATTTGCAATTTAACATTTCCCAAAAATAGAAAATTCCTTCCCCAAAAATCAAGTTTAACAAAAGAGAGTATAATCACAACGCAACAAACTTTGTGAAACTGCAAATTCCTTTTTATAGATAAAAGACATTAAATCATTTTAAAAAAAATCCAAAAAAATCAACAATTAAACCTTGAAATAGAGATTGAACGTTGCACCGGATTGATTTCGTTGATTTCTTGCGTTAAAATAAAATAAAAAATAATGGATAAGGTTCGGATAAATTACTGAGCATTTACTGAATAAATTTAATTACATAATAATTAATTAATAAAATGGATAAATTGTTGAATAAATTTAATTAATAAGTGGTCTACTAAAAATGGCTCCTCGATTAATTGCGACTAGTTGTAATAACTAATTGCAGATATGAAAATTGAGTTGCGGTTCCCATCTTTAATTAAATGTTACTAACATGATAAAATGGTGAATTTTGAAAGATTATGGATTAGTAATGTACGTGCTACATCACCCTTGTGATTTGACAACTTTGAGTTAATCATCAGTCCATGCTCTGTTCTGTTTGAAGTTTTCCATATTTCCGGGCAGAATTTGTAATTGACTTGAAAGTAATGTACGGTGTTAAGACTAGTCTAGAAATTTTTTTAAATTGAAAGCATAAATAAATAGAAATCTTACTGCAGGTTGGTTTGCATGTTCCCTTTCTAAAATATATAGAATAAATTAAATTAATGTTTTATGAAAAGAATAATAGTAGTCACATATAATAATAATAACTAATTGGTTGTCGCGTAATAATTCTTTCTGATAGCACACCAGATCTAAAAAAAGTGGGTAATAATTAATAGTATAATTGTTATTACAGGTATATATATATCAACTAGAATTTTTGATGTTGAATTTTCTAAAAATAATTAATTAATAAATAAAATATGGTCGCGTAAACCACCAGATCTAAAAAAAAAGTGATTGATAATTTGGTAGTATAATTGTTATTACAGGGGGATATATCATAATTAATAATAAATCATATAACAATTCTTTCTGATTTCGTTTAACCATTAACCTTTGGAAAAAGAAATCATGTAAATACCTTTTGATTTAATCATTACATTCCTAAATATATGAAAAATATTAATTAATAATAACATAAAAATAAATAAAAAAAAACATACCTGGGTTTATAAAACTGTTTTTTATGAATCTCTAAAACTAATTAACCAACACTGGAGAGATCTATAAAGCTTGGAAAGCAAGTTTTATAAAATATACTCGATGTGTGTTAGAGGTTGGGATCGTCTAAAAAATCCTTAGTCGACTACTAGTTGGTCAAAAATTTCTTTAGTCGATTAAATTTTTTTTTTATAATAATAATATTTTTTTTTTAATTTGTAAATTACGAATTCATTTCCATTTGAATCTTTCACTTTTTCAAAATGCTTCCACACAAAACTATGTGTTACGATTCGTTTTTTTAAAGGTCTCCTGGAACCACCGCTTAAATCATTGGAGCTTGAGGCCAATGAACTATTGGATCTTGTATTGGAAGTGTTTATTCATTCACATGTAAAATTATCATCAACAACACACTACTATTGTTGTCATCATCATATTGATGGTATTGATACTCTTCCACATAAAAATTTTCCATTTTGAATGATAAAACGCAAAAATCATAATTGGTCAGACAATAATAATATTAGCAAGTATTGATATTGGTATTAGTATTGGTATTAGTAGTATTAATAGTCAACTATTAGTCATTCAAAAAAAAAGTTTAGTCAATTAAATTAGTCAACTATTTTAGTTGATTCCAACCTCTAATGTAAAGAAATCATACTTGGTTCACAACTCTCAATAATATATGAAGTCCTGTAAAACATGGTGTATAAAATGTGTATCCCATACTAAATTTGATATTTCTATTGTTATTGATATTGCATACCATAAGGGAGGGAGATGCTTGTCTAAAAAATATATCAATCTCACTCTCCACTTTTATGGGAATGTAGTAAAGGACATCAATGGAGTTTAAGTCTTGCATGTGTAAGAAATTTGGATACTTGGTATCCACATTGTGCAGGTAATGCAAAACTCTCTATCAAAGAGGAAAGAAAAATTGCGACACAAAATAATGGATTATGTCTTTCCAAAAAGTATAACAGTGCACATGCTAAATTAAAATGGCAATGTGGACAAAAGCATGGTATGCAAGTCTCAATCATGTAAAAAATTAAGAACATGGTGTCCTTTTTGCCCTCGGAAGAGACAGGAACTTTGCTGAAAAATAGTAACTGAATTATTGGGTACACCCCCATCCAATAATCACAGACCTGATTTCTTGAAAACAGATAAACACCCATATAACCTCATTGCAAAGTAATAATATCTCTGCGGATAGTATTTCTACTAAAAGTCTCAACAATATTTAGTATGAAGAAAAAGTATGGAAGAAAATAAGATTGATACTAATGTGTCAACTCACGATGATATAGTTAACTCTATATCTGAATCCCTAAAAGCTGATACTGAGATCAGCCCCAAGGTAGATAGATAATGAAACTGTTATTAACAAAATTAGTGAGGATATTATACCCCAATCTCAGGAGGTAAAAAATGTGACTCCATATCTTACACAGCAGAGGAATGATATCCCACCTCTGATTGAATCACATTCTCAGATTCCAATAGAAGGGATGGGAGCAATTCTTTATTGTGGCAAGTACTTTGATGTCACCTTTATTGGCATATGTATTACTTACCTTATTGATTATTGCTGTTATGTGGTTTGTTATATTGAGATGTACATGGGGGTTAGAGAGAAAAAGTAATCAGCTGCATGGTATTCACTTTGTTGCATAATTTCTTCATTACTCCCATAGTTATTTTAATCATTTCGGTCCAATACTCTAGTGTTGAGATCGAATTGTTTCTATATGCCAAATCACATTTCTTATAATTATCTTTGGGGCAGGAGAGATATAATGAATCAGTATCACCATATTGAATTTCATATCCTTTTTTTAGTATGCATTCCGCAACAAGCTTGATATTAAACTGACCTGATGAAGTGATGGCTCCAGCAAGGTGGTGTAAAAAGAATGGGGAAAGACTATCACCCACCTCACCATAAAATGTATTCATGTAAACCTTTACAGCCTTTTGCTTTGAATCCAAACAGATATGAGCAAAACACACAGAATCATATTCTATGATAAAATCACTATAAGACTCACTTATAAAAGGAATCAAGGTTCCAGTTATTATCAGCATGATTTTCTTTAGATATGATAGCATCCTCACTCTGTGAGTCTTTCATGTTTTTTAGGATATAATCAATAGCATCTTGCCAGTGATAAACTCTTCTTTTCATTTTACTAATTACCAATTCCATACACTCCTTTTTCTTAGACAGGATTGCGAGATCTGATTTCATTTTATTTTGTTTATCCAGTAATTTTTCAAGAACTAATTATTAGTCTCAATTTCTTAAACATATAACAAAATTTGGGAATTTTCAAAATCCTAAGGCTCTGCCAATTTTTAGTTTAAGAAAATCTAGCCAATAAGTTTTGAAGCTTGAGTCATGAACTTTTTTAAAATGATATAAAAATTTTTTGTTTTAGTATTTTGGAGCTGACCAATTGTTACTATAAGCAATTAATTGATTATAGATGATCTACACCATATAAAATAGCATTAAGGTAGAATTTACAACTTTTTATGTTCTCTTGCATACCAGTTCAAATATAATTAATTATCCGAGGTCCTCGTCATATCTCATATCCGCCGCATCTCTTATTAATGCGAACATAAGGTGGGCAATGACATTTTTAAATTTTAAAGGTAGAATATGCGAGTATTAGAAATCTGCACCAGTTACACTGCGCACATAACAGGATAGTTTAGGAAGATCTGCAAAATAATAAAATCCGCTCGACATTATAAATAGTAATAGTAAAAAAAATGTCTCTTGTTGCGGATTATAGTTCAGATGTTTATAGTAGTGGAGAAGAAGAGGAAAAAACGACCACAACAAGTAAAAACGAACTTTCTTCATTACTTCCACCACCAAAAAAAAAGAAAGATGGTCCTGTAAAAATAGTGATTGATTTACCTTCTTTCACCAAAGACGAAGAAAGTGAAGAAGACGAAAAAAAAACTATAAAAAATAATGGCAGGGGTGGTAGTGATCTACTTTCTTTATTACCTGCACCAAAAAATTTAATTAAAGATAAAGCATCAAATAAGCCAAATCTTGCCAGTGTAAAACTTAATGTCTCATCAACAATTGAAAATTCTAATATATTAAAAACTGATTCTTCTACTACTACTTTCTCTCCTTCTTCCCATCTTAATCCAAAATCGTTATCAAATGAATTTTTGTCTAATGAACATTATAGTTATAATAATTGGGAAGGAAGTAGCACTAGTACATATACAAATAATCAAGTTTATTATCACGATCAATCCATAGAACAACAACAAATACAAGATAATAAACAAATACAATCTGAATGGATACCTGATGATGAAGTGGTATTTATTTATATGATCTTTCTTAATTTTTTGCTATATATTATTATTATTTAAAAATTCTTTTATTTAGATTCAAAAATTAGGTGGCAGAAGAGGAAAAGAAGGCCCGATCAAAATCAAAGAAATCAATGCAGCAGACCAAATGGCAGATGCATGGCAAACACAAATGGCAGATATAACAAAACCTTCAAAAGGAACTGGAAGTGGCCACTCAGTAAATATTTAATTAACATCATTGTCTTTTAAATAATATATAATTTTTATTAAAATATATTCTATTATTATAGAATTTGAAGCCAAGTAAGGTACAAAAAAGAAAACACAATTTAATGTATTTGGCATATCAAGCAACTTCAATGGAAAATGATTTAAAGGAACAATTTGCAACTAATAAAAAAACAAAGAGGGAAACTCAAGCAAAATACGGTAATAATATTGACTATGTGATAAATAATATTGTTATTTTCAAAAACATTTTTAATTAAAAAAAAATAATAATTTTAATTTTTAGGATTTTAATAAATGCATAGATGATTATATTAAGGTTTAAAAAAACTATTATTGTTATTATAACAATGTAGATTATAATATAGATATATATTTTCATTTTTGTCATTCATTAAATTTATTTAGTGCAATCAATACCACTTTCTCCTCTATTAAAGTTGCTAATGTTATACTAGATATTTTGCTACTACTGTTTGATCCATCAACATTATCACCACTAGTATCATTTTTGCTGCTGCTGCATTAAGACAATATTGTATCTGGATGTTAATTTATAAAACAATGGTAGATTATCAATTAATTATTAAAAAAATTTTTTATATTTATTTAACTAATCAAGTATTAAATATGCATCCTCATATAACTAAAAACATCAAGTGTTGCTCCAACCGGAACTTTTATCTTTAATATTACTATTACTATACACATGAAATTCAGTGCGGGATTGCGTTACACAGATAAAATTCTTTTGATTAAAACTTGCAGGATGACCCGTTTCGGGACCCTATTTTGACAAACAGGTTACTGCTGCAGCTGGGTCAAATTCAGTGTTGGCAATTTAACTGGTTCAAATCTTTTTTTGAACTATTTGAACTTTTGAATTGTTAATTAGTTAAATAACATGCTGATCATTTGAACTTTGCTGAGCAGTTATTTGATAAAGTTCATTACAAATATGGAAAACAGTATCAAATATTGTTATTATATGTACTGTTTTCTGGATCCAGAGTTAATAACTTTGATTTTAGGAAAGAACAATGTTTATTTACACCTTGGTTTAAAATTTTATCAATTCTGTACACAGGAACAGCTTAGAGGAAATCATATTTTACAATAAAAAGATATAGGTGATAGAAACAAACTTGTGCATATTATCTATAATTATTTGCAGATAATTTTCAAAATTGGTTGATGGTTAGTTTTGATAAGCATCAAAAATTCTGGTCTGTCAAAGTCAGCAAATCAGTCTGTCTGACACATTGGAATCGAGATGTTAATGCTACCTGTAACGTAAGGAACTTTTTTTTTGCACATGGAAAGAGACCTGATCAACTTATAAGGGACTTACTGACCATTTTAATTGTGACAGGATGTGTTTAACTAGTGGCAATAGCAACGATGATGATTTTTATGAAGCCACAATTAGCTATAAATATAATAGATCATAATAAAACTCGATTTTCTTCACCATATTCAACCAGTTAAAAAAACAGGTTATATCACAGGTTTAACAATGTTATTAGATAATGTGATTATAATTTGTTTTGATTTTTGTATGTATTTTCCAATTTTATCTTCCATACATCATGACCGAAACTTCATTTAAACAACGTTATAATCCTTGTGGGAGGCTGGAACTCGTGATGCCGATACTTTTCATGATTTGACTTCTATTCCACTTTCCACTATATACAAATACATCAAAAATCTCAAAGATGATATTCCTTTGGACCCTCTATCCCGATCTGGCAGGCCAAAGAAATTTTCTCCTAAACAACGTCGTCATCTCGGTCAACTCATCTCAGCAAATAAATTCTCTACAAGCACTGAACTCACAAATATTTTAAATGCTCATCATCCTGATCTAAATGTCAGTAATCGGACAGTGCTCAATGAGCTTCATAACATGCAATATCGCAGTATAGTTGCAAAATCTATCCCTCTTCTTACAGCCAGTCACAAACAAAATCGAGTAACATTTGCCGTAAAATACAAGAAACAAAACTGGAACAAGGTTATTTTTTCTGATGAAACTACGTTCCGAAATACTCAAGAGGTGTTTTATAAGGTCGGCACACAGCCTCCAAGTAAAGCTATGGTAAAACACCCATATAAAATTCATGCATGGGGTGCCTTTTCAGTAAAAGGTCCAGTTGACTTCTTTCTTTTTACGGATATTATGAACAGTGCCCTTTACCGTAAGATTTTAACTGAAAATTTCTTTGACAATGCAAATGCCATCATGGGAAAAAATTGGATGTTCCAGCAGGATAATGATCCGAAGCATAAAGCTAAGGAAACCATGGAACTTCTTGTGCAATGATGTCCAAAGATAATGGAATGGCCATCCAATAGTCCAGATATTAACCCAATTGAAAATTTATGGGCAATTTTAAATGGTCGTGTGGAGAAAGAAGTCAACAAATTATTAGTTAAAAAAAAACCAGTTACTACAAATTGTTTCCTTGAGATAATTCAGAAAGAGTGGGAAGGAATCAAAACTAAAAATTTTGTTAATTTAGTTCGTAGGATTGGAGGATGCAATTGCAAGTAATGGTAATAAGATAAACTATTGAGTACTTAAGTAAACTTATTTATCGTATCATTGACAGTATATCTGTAAAATTTTATACACTTTAACCTTTTCTTGTCGTGCAATGAATAAAAATGTCATTCTCATTACTTTTTTCGCGCACTGTAGGTCTTATTGATAGTAATAGGTTTACTTGTTAACCAATAATAATCAAGAATTTAAGTAAATAATTTGGAATAGATCCTCCTCCTCCCATCTAAAAAAAAAATTTAAAAATGAGTAAAGATTCTAAAAACGAAGCTAATACTCAAACATACGAAAATGTTTTATTCATTAGGAATTTATCTTTTGATGCCACAGAAGAAGAATTAAGCGAAATGTATTTAATAATGTTAATATTATTCATTATATTTATAATATTATTTATATATTTTATATGTTAGATTTCTTCCATACGGAGAATTGGTTTATTGTGTTATAACAAGAGATAAAGAAACTGGACATTCAAGAGGCACGGGCTTTGTTAATTTCAAAGAAACACAAGATGCGAATAATTGTTTATTGGATGTGCAGAAAATGATGAATGATTTTCAAAATAATCATAATGAGGATAATAATAATAATCAAAAGAATCAAAGGAGGGGGGATGCAAATAAGAAAAAAGAATTGACTTATCATAAATCAATTCTTACTCCAGATCCTTCTGATTCTAAAGTACAAAAATTCACTTTACAAGGAAGGGTTTTATCAATTGTTAAAGCTGTTGATAGAACTGAGGCAAAGAAATTAATGGAAAATAACAAAGTTAAGAGGCAAAGTCAAGATAAAAGAAATCTTTATTTAATGAAAGAAGGAGGTTAATATCAAATAATAATGATTTTTTAATATATATCTTTTTTCCAAAATACCCTTAATCGTGATCGTAATCACAATCACAATACTAATGATTAATATTTTATTTGATCAATGTTTAAATAGTTATATTTCCTGATACATTTGCAGCTAAAAATTTACCAAAATCAGAATTTAATAAGCGATTTGATTCGTTTACATATAGAAAAAATCTGTTAACCAAGAATCCAAATCTTTATATATCTAAGACAAGATTATCAATTCGTAATCTACCATTAACAGTTGACGAAAGGCAATTAAAAGAATTGGCAATAAACAGTATTCAGAAATTTAAAAATGAAGTCAAAAATGATGAACGAGAAGATTTATCAGCTGGTGAGAAGAGTGAAGGATGGAATAAAAAAGTACACATTATACAGGTAAGCTATTTATATTATAAATACCATGTATTACCTATTATACTAATAGGTTATATTAATCTACTGTTATTCTTCCTGTGCAGGCTAAAATAATTAGATCCAAAGATAGAATAGATCCAAAGACACAAAAGCCAAAACCAAAAGGTTATGGATTTATTGAAACCACATATCATTCACATGCATTAGCTATTTTAAGATATTTAAACAATAATCCTGAAATATATGGTGATGGGAAAAGGTTAACAGTGGAATTCTCTATTGAAAATAATTTAATTATTAAAAAAAGAGAGAGAAGAATCGAAAAATCAAAAAAATCCATTCACAACAACAATAGCCGTTATGATGATAATGCTAATGCTAATAATAAGGATATTAGTAGTAATACCAATCAAAATATAAAAAAGAATATGAAAAATATTAAAAATAATTTAAAAAGAAAGGTAAAATTATCATTGAAAATAAATAATATATATATATATAACAATGCTTTTATTATTATTATCATTATTATTATTCACTAATATTATTCAATTTTATTATTTACATTTCCCAGCCAAATTTAGATGGTGATGATGATGATGGGAAAGATAATGGTAATAATGGAGAGAAAAAAAGACCAAAAAAGAAAGCCAAATTTTTAGTGAAATCAAAAAGACAAAATGTCTTTAAATCAAAAACAAGAAAAACAAAATAATTTAAAATAAAATTATTTAAATAAGTCCCTATTCACATTCATTTTAACTTTTTTATATTTTTACTAGTAGAATATTTAATTAATTACCCACCAGAAACAGGTGGAATTATTGCAACTTCACTAGATTTAACCGCACTCTTATTAACGTCATCAATCAACACATTCCATATTAATTGCAAACATATTTATAATTTCTTGAAGAGATGTTATATTATTTTTATTGTTGTAACTATTCACAGAAATTACTTCTGATGACAAATTTCTCGCCGTTGCAAAATACATAATCCTAATTTCTTGCCATGAGTTAATTGATCAGTTAGAAATTTATACAAATTAAATAAAAATAAAAATATTTACCAAATTCGACATTATTTATAAATTTCTTAATAATAAAAGTTTGTGTTTCAATTCCTATTTTGATGGCAATTAATTAACGTCTCTAAATATAATGCTGATATCCCTTCTCTAACCCTTAAAAATTGTTATTATTATAAAATGAATAAGATTGATTATTCCTTAATATTAAATGGAGGGAGATTTTGAATTAAAAAAAAGGTGCATATTAAAAATTAAGGGACCAAAAGTTATTTGTGCATTTAAACAAAATTTTACATGGAACCTTGTATGTGTATTTTTGCGTAATCAATACATTTAGGTGCCCGAAACTTTTGCTTCAATATTTTTCTTTAATTCTAAAGTAAAAAATCTGTTTATGATCAATAAATCTTATATTATTAACAATCAAAGTAATTTATGACTGGTCCAGATTCCACTTTTAAAATGAACGAAAATCAAACATGAGAAAGTCATATTCCTGAAAATTATATCAAATATTATTTATTATAATTAAGCGATAAACACAAACAACCAATAATTTTAAAGAGTGTAAAGTATATATCTTTAAGATGTAACTACATCAAAGAAATTTTATTATAAATAAAAATAAATTTTTTTACCGTCGGTTTAAAATTGTCAATTGTTCCGATAATCGCCTTATTCTAAAATCATAAATTTAAGCTGACATACATGTTGCAATTTATTATTATGAAAAACATACTTTAGCGATCAGAATTTCTTTGGCATTTTTAAACTTCTGTCTGAGAGGTATTTTAATTGTTATCACTCCCTCCCAAACTCTTCCCTCCTCATTTAAAACATATTCTTCTATTGAACCTAATTCTCAGCTCGTACCATTGCATCTTCACCCGAACTGCTTGTTTGCATTTGTATTGTTTTAATCACGGTTATTTCTCTCGTTGGATGCTCTTGGACATCCTTCTACGCTGAAAGATAAATTTTATATATATATAAGAAGGATGTAGAAATAAATGAAAGATTAGGAAAATATAAAGATAACAATGTTTTACCGGATGAATTACAAATTCAAAACTTCAACAAGGCACAAATCGACAATGGAGCTCCAACAATTACTCATACGCCACCAACATTCTAAGTGCAAATTTGTAAAATCTTTCAGATGTAACTAGTATCGGCAAAAAAATCATTAGTTGAAAGATTTTGATAATATTTACTCGATACACATCCAAATACTCACAAGACTTGATGAAAATAGTGGTAGTTGTAGTGTTTTTTGGCACCATAACCTTTATTCAATCCAGTATTGATCATTTCACGCATATGAGAAGCCTCAAACTAAAGGATAAAAGAGAAAAGCTCTGATTTATACGCATTTCTTATTGGACTTGAATAATATTTATCTCACTATATTTAATTAGATGGTCCAGGAGGTTGTTATCAATTTGTAATTCAGATGATAAATTATGAATAATTATATGCAGTTCACTTTCTCTATAATGGACCATTTGGCTTACGAAAAAATGTCCATTATAGAGGGATGATGGTCGTTCCATGAGATTATTGTCAATTTGTAATTCGGATGATATTTATGAGTAATTATATATATACAGTTTATCTCTCTATAACAGACCATTGGCTTATGAAAAAATGTCCATTATAGAGAGAATCGGTTGTAGACAGTAATAGTAATAGTAGTGACTTATAAGACATATAAATCGGGCTTAAACTCTCAATATGTTATAGAGTCCTCATCATCAAATAATTTTTTGTGTTTTTTTATCACCAGAGCTAATAATAAAGCTATGTAAATTAATGAACAAATTTGTAAAATCAGAGAAATCAACTACATACAAATCTCAGAAATTAACCTTTCATAATTTAAATTCGAATAAAATACCCTCTTGCAAACTTATTTTGGATGGCAATTTAAAATTTTTCATTCACCATTTTCTTATAAGTTCATCAATATCTAAAGATGATGATTATGATGATGATTCTTCATTCTCCTGCGAGTTTGGAAATTGAAATTAGTATTTATTAATTGAAAACAAAATGGACAGTCTTACCCATTTGAAGAGAATATACACCTTGTACAAGGAAATTTTACATCGTACATATGTATGTGCGTACATACAAAGATACAATGTACCAGGAACGATGATTTTCTGAGGTAATAAAATATTATTTTGTATAATATTAAGCCATTAACCCTATTATTATTACTATTACTATAATTAACAAATTACCAGGTCGCAATACTACTTGATTATCAGAAAAACCTGATTATCATGTTAAACCCTTTTTTATTATATTATCTGGTACATGATTATTATTATTAGTAGTAGTACGTGTATTATAGTATAAATACATATTCCGCGATTTCTATTTTTTTTTTTCTATGAAATAAGAAAAATTACCTCTACATTCTTTTTAACTATATTATAAATTCAAAATAATTAATATTAGTATTAAAAACATAATCATATCTTCAGCTATATACAGTAGTTAATTCCACAATACATATTTTATTCCAATGGTTAAAGCTTTGAAAGATTACATGATGAACTTTATATCGCTCAGTGACAAGTTCTGATGGAAAATAGAAACTTGAGATTATATTTAAAAAACAATATGCCGTTGTCCTTTTAATTTTCAATAAAAGTATTTCATGAAAATTTTTTTGACGAATTTTAACATTACAATTGATCAACCAATAAAAAAATTGTCATAAATCACATGATATGCTCGTACGTGAGTAAAGTTCGGCTTATCGAGGTTTGACTGTACACCCTAAAAAAAATTTGAGATGCGAGATTTTTTCAATGATCTACTTATAAATTTTTTTAGATAAAATGGAAGACAAAGAAGCACAAGTTCAAGTTCATTTCACAACCAAACAACAACAATATGCAGTTACTGAATCTGCAATACTAGTTCCGACTAAATTACGTCGATATGGTCTTTCTGAAATAATTAATCATTTGCTTGGCTTTGGTAAATAATGAATACAGTTTGTCTTTGATCATAAATTAATCTTATTTATATTTTTTTTTTTTGATGATATGATATTTTAGATAAACCAGTACCTTTTGATTTTATGGTTGATAACCAATTTTTAAGAACAAGTTTATCTGAATATTTACAAAATAATGGAATATCATCTGTAAAAAAAAATTCTATTTGAATGAATGAATTTTCCCTTTTCAATATTATTACTAATGATCAATAAATATTATTATTATTATTTTATTACTCTAGGAAAATATAATAGATATTGAATATGTTGAATCTATGCTACCACCAAAACCATTATCCACATATGAACATGATGATTGGGTCAGTTCAGTAAAAGGTTACAATAAACGGTAATTTTTGCTACTTTAAAAAAAAAGGAACTAATAAAGTTCATGAGTGCTGTTTAATTGATTAAAAAGTAATTTTTTTCAAGATTTTTTTTAACTGGCTCTTATGATAATCATGTTCATATTTGGAATACTTCTGGAATATGTGTGAAAACATTAAAAGGTCATAAAGCACCAATAAAGAGTGTTGCATGGGTTTCAGTTATAGGTATTACTATATTATTATTTCAATCAAAATATGCATAAATAAAATTCTATTAATTTTTATCAAAAAAAAAAAGATGATGAGGGTATAATTTTGTCTGCATCACAAGATCATACCATTCATGCCTGGAAGGTTTGTTTTATCTAATATATATACTTATTACTATTCAGTTGTTTTATTTTATTTTATTATTTTATTGAAAATCTAGGTATTGTTTGATAATGATGATGTTGAGGAGAAACATGAAATTTTATATGAATGTAAAGGACATAAAAATAGCATAGAAAGTGTTGCAGTTAGTCCATCATGTACAGAGGTGAGTACATATAAATTTTAATAGATAAATAAATAAATATCAATTTTTTGAAGTAATTTCAACACATACATTTAGTTTGCCAGTGCATCTTGGGATTCAAAAATTATGTTATGGACAACTACAGAACCAAACTCAGATGATCAAGAAGGTATTGATTATCAAATGGAAAGCACAGTAAAACGTAGAAAAATCAATAAAAATAAAAAGATAAAGGCATGATGAATATTAATTATTAAATCATTAAATAGGAAATGTAGAAAATTTCAATTTTAACAATAATTGTTCTTATGGTAGTAGACTCCATTAGCTGCACTAAATGGCCATGTTGGGCCTATATCATCAGTAGTATTTGATTCTAAAGATACAGGAAAATTATATAGTGGTGGCTGGGACCATTCAATAAGAATTTGGGATATAGAGTCAAGAGTTAATACAGATACAAAGGTAAATTTAAACAAAACAAATTAATATTGGATGAATTGGATGAATTCTGAACTTGATCATTTTCATTTTTTTAGAATTGTGATAAAGTAGTTTATGATATTGCATATTCCAAACTTTCTGGTCTAATTGCATCTGGGCATTCTGATCATCTACTTAGATTATGGGATCCACGTGCAGAAGGTAAATAAATAAGTAGTCTATCTGTTAAAAAAAGTCATTTTTATCACTTACTGACAAATAATAAATATATTTGTATATTGGATGTACAGATACAGCTATTGTTAAATTGACACTTGATTCACATAAAAGTTGGGTATCTTGTGTATCATGGTCACCAATATCACAATTTATGTTGGCTAGTGGATCATTTGATTCTACTTTAAAAATTTGGGATATTCGTAGCAAGACACCTTTATACACTTTTCAACAAAAATCAGATTCATCAATATCAGAAAAAAAAATTTTATGTATTGACTGGGATCAAGATTTAATTCTAAGTGGTGGAGAAGATAATCATTTGCATATTTATAGTGCTAATAAAGTTAATACATAATCCTTTTTATTGCAATGATTTTGATACAATACAAGAAAAATCCTCTTTATTTTCTAATATGAATCAATTAATAAATTATATAGATCACTACCTAAAATAGAATAAAACTTCATGCCAAAATTTCAAAGATTGCATTGTGACATACCTAACTAATATTGATTTGATATCAAGATTACTTGAATATGCACTGTATTCAATCCACAATAAAACCCTCATTCTATAACTAATTCATTGCTTGGAATTTATAATTTAGTTACTGCACAAAAATTCTTTAACCAGTTAAATGGTTAATTTAATTGCATGAAATTTTTTTTCCTACTAGCAAATAGTCATAGTATGGCTTCCATTCAAATAAGAATTGATTGTTTTATTCATTATGAATTACATTGAATGTTTACAAATAATTTGAACTAAGATTGGGTTGTATTATGAATAATTCAAATAAAATGAATAAACGAATAACGAATAAAACGAATAACAGTCAAACGATATGTCACAGGAGGTGTAATTACATATATAAACAAGATTTTTACAATTTAAAAAACGATCAAGTATTAATTAATTTACTTATGATTATTACAATGATGTCGATCCTTCCCGTTTATCTTCGATACGCGCCTAAAAAGTATTGCATTTTTTTCTTTATTAGTTTTATGTATTATATACGACACACCCCATTCACGATCAAAATCGAATATTTAAAGGATCCATTTATCTGTGATTGCGAAAAATAACCAAAATTCTAAAAAATAATTGGTTTACTAAAAATTTTTATAAATTCCTTAATTGCAATACAATTTGAAAAAAAAACGAAATTTGATAAGAATTAACTGAACAAATCAAAATGAAATTCAATATTTCTCTTCTCTTTTTGGCTATCTTTGCTGTTGTTGCTTTAGCAAGACTAATCAATGATAACAATAATTTGGAGGAGCGAGGTATTTCATTTAACTATTGCAATAAACATCATTATAGTCAAATATCATTGTTTTTGAAAAAATGCTAACTATTTGGTTTCATTTTATTTTAAATAATAAATAGATCCGTAAGTATTTTTGTACTATTATTACAGTCAATATCATTGTTTTTGAAAACATATTAATTATTGGTTTCATTTATTTTAAATAATAAATAGATCCGTAAGTAATTTTGTACTATTATTACAGTCAATATCATTGTTTTGAAAAAATATTAACCGTTGATTATTTTTTGTTTATTTTAAATAATGAATAGCCTGTAAGTATTTTCATCATAATTATTATCATTATTTTTGAAAACATATTATTAACTGTTGATTGATTCTCATTTTATTTATTATTACGGTCAAAATCATTTGTTTTTGAAAACATATTTAACTGTTGATTTGTTTCTCATTTTATTTTAAATAATGAATAGAAAGTAAGTATTTTCATCATTACTATTATTAAAGCCAATATCATCGTTTTTGAAAACATACTAACTGTTAATTTTTATTTTATTTTAAATAATGAATAGGCAGTAAGTATTTTCATCATTACTATCATTAAAGTCAATATCATTGTTTTTGAAAAAATATTAACTGTAGATTATTTTTTGTTTATTTTTAAATAATGAATAGGGAGTAAGTATTTTCATCATTACTATCATTACAGTCAATATCATTGTTTTTGAAAACATACTAACTGCTAATTTTTACTTTATTTTAAATAATGGATAGGGAGTAAGTATTTTCATCATTACTATCATTACAGTCAATATCATTGTTTTTGAAAACATACTAACTGTTAATTTTTACTTTATTTTAAATAATGAATAGGGAGTAAGTATTTTCATCATTACTATTATCATTGTTTTTGAAAACATATTAACTGTTGATTGATTCTCATTTTATTTTAAATAATAATAGAAAGTAAGTATTTTCATCATTACTATTATTACAATCAATATCATTGTTTTTGAAAACATATTAACTGTCAATTTTTACTTTATTCTCTAAATAATGAATAGGGGGTAAGTATTTTCATCATTACTATTATTAAAGCCAATATCATTGTTTTAGAAAATTCCTTTACTATATACAAAAGGAGGGATCAGCATCAACGTTACATCACCAATGAATTGATTTCATTGGTCGATCGATCTTGATCTTGTAATACAATAATAAGCCAATGATAGAATTTTTCCATTTATATTATTTTTTTTTTTTTTACAACGATATAATATGGAAGACGAAGAACATCAACATCACGATTTTGATACTTCTGGATCAGGCGCATCGACCACTTATCCTGTTCAATGTTCTTCCCTTAGAAAGGTAATTTACCCAATTAGGCCGTATACTTATAAAAAACAAAGTAATTTATGCGAAAGTGCAAATTTTTTATATATTTTAGAATGGATTTGTCATGCTTAAAGGTAGACCATGCAAGATTGTTGAAATGACTACCAGTAAAACTGGTAAACATGGTCATGCGGTAATGATAAATCTTGTAAATCTTTTAATATAAATGTGGTAGTTTCATATTAATAATTGATTTACGATTTTAAATTATAGAAAGTTCATCTTGTTGGTATTGATATTTTTACAGGGAAGAAACTTGAAGGTAAAAAAAAATCATGATAAACAAATTCATTGGAGTTAATTGGAGTAATATTTCAATGAATAATAAATTTATCAAATTTTAAACCTGTTATTAACTAATTTTATAAAAGATCTTTCTCCATCTACCCACAATATGGATGTTCCAAATGTCAATCGTAAGCTTTAAAATTTTTTTGCGCAGTTTTTCAATATTATCTTTACTATAATCTTTGATATTTAAAAAAAAAAGGTACTGAATACCATCTTTTGAACATCGATGATGATGGTTTTTTGAGTTTGATGACTTCTGATGCTACTACCAAAGATGATGTTCGTATTCCGGATGGTGAATTGGGTGCAAAAATTAAAGCTGATTTTGATGATGGTACTCTAATATATATATATATATATATAATACTAGATCAAAATTTTAGAAGTTTATTATTAAATTAATTTTTAAATTATGATTAGGTAAAGAGCTTCTGGTTACCATTCTTAGTGCAATGGGTGAAGAGGCTGCTGTTTCTTATAAAGAAGCACCAAAATGTATGTATTATCGAATTATCATTTAAATTTAATATCATTTTTTTCATCCTGAAACTAACTTAATTCTATTTTACAGCCTGATTATTAAAAAATTATTCGGTTTCAACAAATAACATTGATATATTTTCCTTTTCCTTTTTAGAAAACAATATTTATGAAAATTTTTGATTATATTATTTTAATATTTGATACATAGTATATATAAAAAAATTGTGTCTTTTTAATAATCATTTTAATAATGATAATTAAAATCATTCTTAGCGTACACAAATATTGTATATCTCAACAATTACACAATATAATCGAATAAATTCATTTACTTTATTAAGAATTCTTCAACATTATTTTTTCATGATGTACCACATGTTCTCAATAGGATTAAATCCAAAAATGTAAGTTGTGTGCTTCTAACTTCGGATAAACCATTTTTTTACATTGTCCTTTTCCTTTTGAAATTAAACTTTGCAAACATTGGTTATCATGTAAACAAACCTACCCAATCATTTTTATCTTAATAAATTTATACAACCGTGCCCTTTTTATATATATGTGAAAAGTGGTGGTTGTAAATGCTCTTTGTACTTGCTTTGCCCGAAATTATGCTTATCCTCTCATAAATTCTGCAAATTTTCTGTAAACCCGATTCATTCATTCAACCTTTAAAAGGCCAAGTACGTAACACTTGACTAACTGTTAGTCATAATATGCAAAGTTAATTGAACACATTTTTTCGCACAATTATCTTTTTTTTCTTTTTTTCTCTCTTCACCTAATGATAAGCATGACGAATGATACGAATGAAAAATTATTAAGATTTCTTCTGACACTGAAAGAAATACCAAAAAAAAATTTAAGTGAGGTCCCTAAATATAATGATAATGGACATTGGTTGCTCTGCAGTCGTGAAAAAAAAAAAAAAATCAATTGCAAAATTGAAATCACACCTTGCAAATGAGTGTTTACATTGTCCTGAAGATGTCGGCAAGTATTAGAAAGAAGAATTTGCAAGTGAATCCGATATTTGCAAAAATCTTCGAATAAATAGTCATCATTCACTACTACTGATCCCACTGCTATTACCAACTTACCACAAGAACTAGTCAAAATTTTTGTTTCTCGATGAATTAATCGTTCTTTATTAAAGGATCTGGGTGATGGTTAGAATTACATCCTTATAAAAAATTTTTATCGGAAAACAGTATATTTGCCACATGCTTTCACTTTTATCATATATAAAGTGTACTGACTGAACCTTCCAATGAAAGAGAGCCTTTCCGTATGTATTCTGTACGTATACTGATGAGGAAAAAATGAAGATATTGAAAATCAAAAGAGAAGATATGCAAAATACTATAATCTGAAATTGAAAAGGTTTTATGACAGCATTTTAGAATTTTTGATAAATACTTGAATTCAAGAAAATGGGATGCGCAAATTAGAACAGGCTTTAAATAAAATTATTGAAGAAAATATTTATGTTAAAGATTCCAAAGTGATAAACAAAAATGAATATTTTATCTTTCTACGAAAGTTTAAATTAAATTGATGGTATCATTTACTTTGGATTTTGTTAAAGAGCCTGAAGAAGAAGATACAATAGAGACGAAAAGACCATAATGAATAGTTGAAATCACTGCAAAAAAAAAAACAATTAAAAAACATAAGAAAAGCAATTTAGAGAAAAACAAAAGACAAAGAACTTGAAATGCTTGTTTATTTGCTGGCCTGGAATTTAATCAAGAACAAAACAAAAAATTAAAAAAACTAAACTAACCTATAAACATAATAACAAAGATCTAGAATCATGAAAGAAAAAGCAAAGAAATTTATAATGACATCCATAATAAACACAGGAACTTTCTATGAAAATGTTGCGATTTGAAATTTATTAATTAAATTTTGGGGCGAAAATATCAAGAATCAGAGGAAATTTTGCTACCTATTTTGGTGGCAATTAAAATTTGAAAAGAAGTAGCTTCATTAATCAGAATAATTGAAGGTGAATTAAAGGAAGTCAAAGAAGAAAATGACGTATTAATTGAGATAGGAAATAAATTGTATATTATTTAAGAAAATTATCTGATTAATCAAAGAAATGATCTGATGAACTCTAAATCTTTGAAACAATGTTATTGTGGTGGCATCCAACCTCCAGTAAAATTATAAAAAGACCAGGGCCCTTTGAACATCAACATTACTCAAATAAAATGATCAAGAGAAGAAATACCTTGGTAAGGCTCCGAACGAATCAATGAAATTCGAACCGATTCGAACAGATTCGAATATATAATTTGATTCGAACGGATTCGAATTCGGATTGGTTCGATTCGATTCGAACAGATTCGAATATATAATTTGATACAATTCGAATTGATTCGAATATATAATTTGATTTGAACTGATTTAATTTGATTCAAACTGACTGATTCGAATCTATAATAATAACTGATTTGAATACACTATATATAATAAATGAAAAATCTTTATTTTAATGTATATTTTATAATTTTATTTACAAAAATATTTTGTAAAATTCAAAAAAAATATCATCAATATTAGTGCTTATTATTTTAGATTTAATGGATTGTACAACTGTAAATCGTTATTTTTTTACTCATTAATAATATAGGTCACCCATTAATATTAATATTAATATCAAGAAATCCGTTATTATTAAAAATTCGAATAAATATCATATCAAGAAGAATTTTATTATTCTTAGACTTCAATCCATTAGTATTCATTAAATGGAGGCACACTAATTGAGATTTACCGTGTAATATAAATTTAAATTATCAAATTAAAAATATAAATTTATTATGACGTTAAAAAAATTTTAGGAATCACTCTCGCGAGGTTCACTTCACCAATTCAAGAAAACAAACATTAATAAGGACTATACATGAAGCCGAAATTAAAACCCAAAAGTCGAAATTACATTATACAAAAAAATTAATCAAAAATCTTCAAATTGCCATGACTCGGTCAATATCCGGCTGTTTTGGATAAAACAACTACCGTTCGAAACCTCTCAATGAAGTGAGTGGTTAATTCATAAAATTTGAATCACCAATTATTGAAATATTTTAGTTTGTTATATCTTATTAATTATGATAAATTAATTCGACTTCATGTATAATGTTAATATCAACTATCCAAATTATAAATTTTTAATGTATAAAATTTGTTTCTTTATACGAAAATTACATGTTTATAGTTTATTTATAGATTTAATTATTTGTTATTATTAATTCAAATTATATATACAAGCTTTAAGCTTATTGGAATAATGTTTTTCTTTTCTTCGTATTAAATGAATTTTGGAATTTCAATGTATGTTAGTTAGTTACGCTTACTATTTAAACCTTTAATCGACGGCCAAATAGTAAAGTCTTCTTTTTGTCTATCAAAACAAGAAAGAAAACTAATCCGAGATTTTAGGTTTATGATTTTCCCAGGCCCGTTTAATTAATCACTTCAGTTTATATAGACACTGGTTCTTATAGATTTATAATTAAGCAAAATCCACAAAACAATTCAGCCGTAAAGGCAGGACATTTTTATTTGAGAATTTGAGTTATGAAAATATTTGCATTTTGGTTTTTTTATGTGAAAATGGGTTTATTGGTAATGCATTTAACATGGGGCAAGTTGTAGCATCTATTACATTGTTATCTGGTGGTGAATTTACAGGGAAACATTGTATTAGTGTATATATATATGTTTGAAAATTGAAAATGAACGTTATCTACCCCACATTTAGTTATATGATTTTTCAAGCAACGAGGGTGTGCCAAATTTGGTCAGCTGAGACATGTTGCAAAATTTGATCAATCATATGTAAAAATCATTAAAGCTATCTCTCTTATCTCTCTATACATTAAGTTTTTTTTTTTTTTTTTTTTTGAAAACAATGAGTGAATTAATGAATTTTCCAAAGAACTATTATTATATTATATTTATATACATGTTAGTTTTTAATAAATCATAATTAATCATCCAACATTCGGAGCTAAATAACCGTAATATGATAAGGTTTTTAATTAGTAATGTAATGATAAAATAAACAAAATAATATTAATGATTCTTTTATTACCAATGACTCTATCCCTTCTTCATCATCTGCTGGAGGTTGTGATTCTGCTGCTGTTGATAATGATAAAAACTAAAAATAAAGTCATTAATAATTTGAAATCCTGATAGAATGAATGACAGTTTTATTTTATTAAAATTATAATGTTACCTCTTCTGCTTCTGATTTAGAAACAGTAGAATCCATAGCTTCTTCAGAACTAATCAAGGTCAAATGATCTCTCACAACCAACGTCCAAAAATCTGTTTTTGGTGGTGAATATTGAACGCACAAGTTTTTTAATTCTCTAAGAAAGTTATTATAGCTTTCAACTTCATTTTCCTTTTATAATATATTTGAAAATCAAAAGTAAATTAGTAAATTAGCTTATAAAATAAATTAACATATCTTGGCACTATTGATTTTAATTTAATTGATTACCCGTGAAGCAACCGTACGTAAGAGTTTTAAACATTCTAATGCCTTTGGATAATGAGAGTCCCAAAATGAAATTTTAACTAAATCCAATATGATTTTAGCCATTTGCGAAACAGCTAAAATGTAAATATAAATAGTGATATATAATATTTGTGTGAATGGATAATAATAATAAATTTTATGAAAAATACTATTATTAATCAAATATTATATTACTGTTGTTATTACTACCTGTACTGACTAAATCTTCCTCTCTATATGAAATCATATTATTAAAATCAGATATTGGATCTGTTGCACCAACTTCTCGAGTGACATCATTTTTATCTTTTAATAAAGAATCTACATCAATTTCAGCTCTGGCTCTTTTTTCAACTGTTTGTTCTTCACCATTAGCACTTAATAATTCACTTATAGGAATCTCTGCTTCTGCAGGCTTATTGGCCTCGGCAAATCTACGCTTAGCAGTTTTTCCTTTTTCTTTGGCTGTATATGTTAAAAAATATTATTTTACTTAGTATTTTGCCAGTTCAATCAAATAAACATACAAATATATAAGAGTGCGGGAGCGTGGATGATATCTTTTACCTTTTTTAACATTAAGAAGTTTTTTTAATTCTTCAACAACAACTTTATTTTTTTCTGCTAATGTTGGTAACAACTTTGTTTGTGAAATAATTTCTGAATCTAATGCAGGTATTGGAGTGTCTGGATTTAATGCTTTATGTGCAATTGCTTTTTTTAGAGCATAGAGAGTCGGATTATAACATTCTTTTAATTTTAAATGTTCTTTAGGATTTCTATAATTTTAACAATATAATTTTTGTTAAGGAATTACAACAAATATATGTGTTTATCATATATATATTTATTACCCGTTATTGTCTACTGCAGCCTCCATAAGATCCATTCCTTTAATAAAAATTTCCATTTTATCCAATACTTCAACACTTGGTAAATTAGGATGTGTGTCAACTCTTCTCCCACTTGTTGTAAATATACGTTCCAAAGAAGGAAGTTCAATGTATTTACGATCTTCTTTGAAAGGGATCTATAGATAAAATAAAAAAATTTTAAACTTCAATAATGATGGCGATACCTCATAAGAATAAACTTAAATTTACCAATATAGATGAGACAATTGATTAAATTGATAACTACTTACAAAGGAAAAGTATAAACATTCTTTTTTTGGTGTGATGTGAGGAGCCAACACACCTAATTTTGGAGCTTCAAAGTTTCTTCGTACATATCTTACTAAAGCATAAGTTTCTTTTTCATATAATCCATGAATCAGAGCAGAGAGATAATTTGCTGCCAAATAATTATTTTTTGGTGGGACTATTGTGTAAACTTTATCAAGAAGATATTCTCTTTTAAACTAGTTTTTAAATTAATCAGACTAAATTAATACTATATACAAAAATACGTGTGTACAAACATGCTATTTTATTTTAGTAACAAAGATTTTCACCTGATTTGATCTAATAAAACCAAGTATAGAAAATGATTGAGTAGTATTCAAACTTAGAACACCTTCTTCAATATTAGTGACAGGAATAAAAGTTTTTCCTAACAAATATGCCTTATCTAACTCTTCTTTGGACACATCAATGATCTCAGTTTTTCCATCCTCGTTAACAGTTATAGAAAATGTTCTAGACATGTTTACTTCGCATGTTTTCCCGTCCTGGTTTGTTGCTGATTCAGCAAAAGTTGAGTATTTTTTTGCAGTTAAACGAGTTGATTTCATCGTTTTTGTGTAAGCTTCCACTTCGATAGCAAGTGAACGTTCGGGATGCATCGAAGGATCGTTTAAAGTTAATTGACCGCGGTATGATGCCACAAATTTTACTTGTCTAATATGTGGTTTGGATAATTGAGATAACGCTTCTGGTAATGTAAACAATGTTCCATTAGATGCCTCACAAAGTTTTTGGAGAATTTCTTCATTATGAACCTAACAAGATTATTGATGGATGCATTTTAACATAATTTTAAATTTCATTGTATACACATCTGAAAGTTTATGATACCTTTTGATCGGATTTATTTTCCCTTTTTAAATCTGAATATGGATCGTCAAAATCTACACCCCTAAAGAAAAATATTAATATTATAATAATGTTTTTCCAATGGCTAATTTTTCTCAGCATAATAATAGTGATAATAATACAAACAATATATTCAATTCAATTTTATCTCTTGATAAAGCATCCAATACATTATCAATTTCAGTATCACTCATTGGAGATTCACCATCAGTTAAAAGATAAATCTTTTTCGTGTATTTTAATTGTCTGCAATGTTGGTTTATCATATTTGATGCAAGTGTAATTGCATCTAATGCTATAAAAAAAATGTTTATTTTCTAAATTAGAATAATAAAAATACTGATTCAGATAAATAATCATTACACTTCAATTAATTAATGAATTAACCAACCATCTGCCTGCACATTTCCCCTGGTTAATTTATCATTTACAGTTCTAAGAATAGATATTAAAGGTTGTGATATAGGATAGAGTACAGATATATTTTTATAAGCTTCCGATCCATTATATAAGTCATTATCAGTTTCTATAACAATATATTTTGCACATGTATAAACATTAATTAAATACTTCATAATAGTTTTTTTTGAAAGAAATCTTGCATTTTCTTTCTTACCATCAGCTCCACAGACTATTAAACTAGTCAAATCTGACTTTAAACCTGCCATAACCTTTTGTTTATTTATTTATTGGGAAAGAAGGAAAAAAAGTCAATCGATATAAAGATCAAGTATCGAGAAAATTTTAATTGAATGCTATAAATAACATGTGCCTTAGCTTCTAACAATCTCAAAAGAGCTTGTTTAGCCAACTCTAAAGCAGTTCGACCATCATCACGTTTAACATGCCACATAGTAGGGGAAACATCAATAATATAAACTGTAGCTTTTTTATCTGCCATGTTTAAAAAGTTGGAAAAATAAAAAGTTATGATTATCGTTTTGGATTTATATAAATGGGGCATACATATACTGCGAACATTTATTTGTTATTGTATTACCAAGGATTTCAGGGCTCAAAATTATAAATGATGAAAGTTTGATTTTATTATTGGTTGTAAGATGTGACAAAATAAAGTCTAGTTTTTTGATTTTATGGAACGTGTGACGAGGACTCCGGAGTAAAGACTGCTTTATCTCTCTGCATTATTCATCCTTTAGATTTGGGAGGAAGACGAGGAAGGAGGACGTTTAAAACGGGGAGTATTTCAAAGTTGTAGACGACGTTAATTGCTTTTTATAATAAATTCGCAATTTTTTACACTAACACTACGATAAATACTTTATCTGTAAAATGGAAGCTTTCTTAGTATTTGTTTCAGCTATAAACTTATTTATCGCATTGTATAAACGTGTAGAGTCTGGCTAGTGGACGGATGATTGCGATAAAGAGAGAGAGAAAACTTTATTAAAATGTTGGATGGATCGTTAAGTGTAGTAGGTATAGATAACACCGAAAGATTAGAGAAGCTCCGTGGTTTCGGAACTGGTGATGTATTGAAACAGCGTGTAAGTTTACAAATTTATAAATTAAGTATGAAGAATTAATCGGTTTTCCTGTAAGGGCGAAAAATGCTCATTAGAGAGGATATCAAAATATATTATTATGCATTTTCGTTACTCCCACCGTCGATATGAATAACACATAAAGTGGTCTGTAGGTAGTGAATGGACCTTGTCTTGTAGTATGATTAATATCGTGGGGCTTGGGCAATAGCTATAAAACATAATTTGTTGTGGTGTTCCATAGCTGTTGATCATCAAACATATGTTACATCAATATAACAAATTATTATTATTATGTGCAGATTTTTTAGTATCTTTATCATATATTTCAACACATTGTAAATGTTGACAACAAAATTCAACTAACAATATATTTTTTTGAAAACATGAATTATAAAAAGAAATTTCTATTAATTTATCAGTTACAATGTAAATTTTTATGGTAAAATTTAATAATAAATCGAATAACTTTAAACCATGATAACTTTTTTTTTACATAATAAAATTAAACAAAACTTTTTATAGTTTTATTGTTTAAGTCTTCTACAATAAAGTTACAGAGAGCTTTTCCCCCATCTCATTTGGTTATAAAGTTTTTCTATTAGTAAACTTTTTTCAATTTCTTTTGAATATATAAAAAAATTTGTTTTATTTAGCAAGAAAACAAACTCTCTGTAATCTAAAAGCTTAATCTATTTACTATAGTTTCCCTTAGTTTCACATTCACGTCTGTATCTCTTTATTTGAAGGCTCTGATACAATTTTTATTTATATAGTTTTTATATTTTTTTAAAAAAAAGTTTGTTATTGATTGGCATTATGTTACATCACCTAATTTTGATTTAATTAGGGCATCTTACACCCCAATAATATGTGGCTTCTGCTAAGGTTACATCTCACAAACAGCCGGCTATTCTTGAAATTTATATGAAAAGTAATACGTCTTGGTATGTTTTTCACATTCACAGTCCCCGGTGAAAAGAATGGTGGTGGGAATGCCTTCTCTTTTTTTGAGCATAGCATTACCATTTTCCAAATGGGATATTTATTTATTGCACTAAATTGTACAGTGGAATGCTATTTCAACCTTAAATATTGTTTTTGTGCTTGTTTTATTTTTTAAAATACCAAGAGGTCTAAGTTTGATAGACAAGCACCATAAGTCAGTATTTTCAAAATTTTTGATATCCTACTTGATAATTTGTCTAGAATTTTTTTAAAAGAATTAACTTGCCTTTCAACTACATTCATTATACTACAATTGTGTTTTGTTATATTGTATTACTTTTGAAGGGCATGCTTAATAATAAAATGAATCAAATATATAATAGTCTGCATAGCAAAGAGTGCAGTTGTTATCAAAACCAGAAAAATGTAAAATTTTCAAATTAAAGATATCTGCAATCTATAAAAATGTTCACATATATTACTAAACTTTTAGCTATGCACTTAAATCTCTTAATGATAGTAGGGACCTGTTTGAAGCTGTTGCTCTAATAGATATCAGAGAAGAAATCAAGTATGTAATAACACCCAGAGTTAACTACCCCAAAAAACCAAGAGCTAAGGCCATTTCATCTGTGAAGTATGCTAAAAATAAGGGAAAAAGGTAGCAGACTGGAGAAGGCATATCATCCCAAAATACAATGAATTAAAGTGCTGCAATTATAACCCTGAGAGTAAGTATTATACCACTGCTAAGATTAAAAATTTTATAAAAGAAATAGAAGGAATCAAAGCTGAAAGTATCCAAGGTAACCAAACCAAGCAATGGGCCAGGGAGTGCAAAGCTGAGATATATAAAAGGCATGAAAATGGTAAATATCCTGCTGACCTAAAATGAGATATGATTTGATTTATAAAAACCAATCATAACAATTATATTAAGCCAGAGAATATGAGAAAGGAGGGAAGTCAGGTATGTATAATGATACAGAAATATGGAAACATATAGATATGCAAGATCCAAATGATTTTGATAATCTTGGCATTGAACTTGAGAGCCATGGAATTTAAATCAAGTTTCGAATTCATTCTCATATAGTATTTTAACTAATTCATCTAGTGATATTTCAATATCAAAAGTCTTTTAAGACTCAATCTTGGGATGTGGTGCACTGACAATAGAAAGAACTCTTTCAATATTCTTTTGTGTCAATCCAAAGATAAATTGATCTCCCCTATATTGAAATGATTTATTAATCTCTCATAGTAAGTATATAGATTCACCATCTTTTTGTTTACAAATATTGAACTCATAGAAAAGCATATTTTTTAATGTTAAATTTTTTTAAGTCTTACTAGGTTAAATAATAATCTGGGTTGGATTTAAATATATTAAAAGCCTTCTAATAGAATCAATGGGGTCAGCTCTAAAGACAATTTCACATGGAAGTGTATACAAATTACTAACAAGAATAGAATCAAGCTTAGAAATATCAACACTGAAATGAGAAAGTAATATATGATACTTAATTGGTGATCCTTCTATGAATGAGTGAATGTTATATAATGATTGGTGGGGGAAAACATCTAATTGCTACCTTTGTTATATACTTTTGTTCCACTACATTGTTATTTTTTTTATGTATATAGATAGAATAAAATACAAAGAATATATATAATTTTTTTTCATTTATACTAACAAAGAAAAGTTTACTATGGAGGAGCCATGGATTCAAAGGTTTCTTTAATATAAAAAAATTTTCTTTTTCTTGTGCAACATATATAGTTCTATAATAATAATAACAAAAGACCATTTGGCTTAATTAGTTCTTGTTATCAGGCAGGTATCAGGTAGGTCTGACATATTGCTGGCAGAAATAAATTTTTTTTCTTTAATTCAAATATATTCTTATTATTAAATGATAAACTGATTGTATCACATGATTATAATAAAGTTGACAATACACTGAAATTAAAATACTAGGAGTAGAAGGTCAATAACATACCCCATAACTGTGAAATTTTCTCCACAGGTTGCGCCGCACACATGTTAGAAGGCTTTGGACAAAACTTTTACTTATTTTCCCCTCAGACCAGGCTAGGCTGTTATCATATGGGCATTGATTGCTGGTAGCTGGTGTTTGTGTGGATGATTGCTGCATGTTATACCTCTCTCTAAAATAAAGTTTGCATCTGCACCTGATTGAAAATTCAGCAACTCAGGAGGTTACAACACAGGTTATTGTTTTGGATTCTCCCTGAATTCGGAATTATGAGTCCTGGGTTGTTGTCTTGTTGGTGGCATGCCTACTTGCCAACAACCCTACCCCCATTCGAAAACAAGTTCAGTTGGTCAAATAAAAATTAAAGAGAAGCAGAAAATGATTAATTTATAACATACCAAAATCCGAACCATTTTATAACTTTTTTCTTGTTGGCCATATTGCTGACAAAGATGTATATAATCATGCAATAATTTTAATCTACATGACAAAGAGGGCTGATTGGGCAAAAACCCAATCCAGTCACCTACCAAAAATTATTAAATTGGTTAGCATTAGAGAAATAGAGAATTTATGAAAATGATTATACAAAACAAACACTATTTTACAACTTTCCTCTTAACATCAGAGTCCAAGTGCAATTTCAGGGTCACCAACCCTGCTCTGAATTGTGACCTCCTGAGCTTGAACGAGTTGCGGATTCTCTTTGCTTTGATGATCTGGATGTTTATGCGCACCTAATATCACAACTCTTCAAAATACTGCAGAGTTGCAACAGCTTGGACACAGTGCCATCCTTACCCAGAGGTGGGATTGTTGCAGGCAACTTTTCGGCTAACATGGCAGCAGCCTTCTCTGGTCTGGAAAGATTAGTGAAAGCATCATTGACAATTGATGCAGTCTCGGTAGACCCCAGGGCCATACTGCCCCCCTGGAATTCGGTTGCATTATCATATCTTTGGGGAAGATGTGAGAATGACTGTAATGTTCAAGGTAGCGTGCGTGTTTCAACGCCTCCTATTTTCCTGTAATCAAACATTGCATACTCGAAATGTTTCATATTCAATGATGTGCTGCCTTGACATCTTGTAATTATAATAATATTATTATATTATTATTAACGATTACGAAAAGCAAAATATTATCAATGAAAATCTTGTAATTATCCAGCAATGATCTGTTCCGCGTTTTCATTTCAATTAAAATATTTATAAACTAAAATAAAAAATAAAAAAAAAGTAAAAAAAAGTACCTCTGGTTAGTTATTAACACGTTTTCTTTAGGAGACTCAAACCAAATCAAACAACAACACTCACGTTTTATCACCTTGGACTGTCAAAAAATCAATTCGCGTCTGTCCTACCAAAAAAAACCAATAGGATAAATAATTGATGTGTACGCGTTGATCAAATCACAACTTCTTTTTTTTATTTCATAAAAATGCCAAGAAATAAAAGAAAACAATCAAACAATGTTGCAGAAGCAACAAGTGTTGTTTATTATGGGGTGGTGGTGGTGGTTATCGTCCACCACTCGTCGTCACTCTAGTTAATTATTTATGAACTGTTTTTTATTTAATTACTATAATAATAGACGGGTGGCACCTCCTTTACCTCCTGAGCTTTTAGCTGAAATATTCAAATGCACTGAAGACGATTATAAAATACTACATTCTTGTACTCTTGTCAACAAACAATGGCACAAGATCAATATTCCAACTTTGTGGAAAAATCCATTTTATTCTTTTAACAGCATTAAAATATTAATTAATTGTTTATTGGAAGAAGATAAGGAATCCTTGATCAGCTTTGAATTAACTCTTAACTATTGGAAAAACCACCATTATACAATTATGCTAAGTTTTATACCAAACTTGATCTTTACAATATTTTTCATTTTTATCAGTTGACAAAAGGTGGAGGATCAAGCATTTTACAAAATAAATCGGTAGAATTTATTTTAGATCATTCAACAAATATTAAAGAATTTAATACTCACAACATAGATCTAGATTGGTAAAAAATTATCATAGATTGGACAATTGTTTCCAGAACCTTAACAAATTAGATTGTAGATTTATTGACAATCCTGAGTTTATTGATAAATTAACAACTAAGGTTGCTTGCCACTCCTCCTCCAGAAATCAATTGGCAGGATTTCGGCAGGTTACACATTAATTGTTTATTAGAGTTTCGGCAGAGTTTCGCATTTTGAGGATTTGCCATTTCAGCTTTCAGCAATTACTAAGGAGGTTTCGCCCACAACCTTATTAACAACTAATTGCAAATCTATTAAATTATTAAAAATATATACTGATATATTTACTGATACATATAACAAGGAATTCAATGATAGTCTGGCTCAGCTAGTTAATGCACAAAATCAAATAAAACAGTTAATTATTGATACAGACAACACTAGGCCAGTCTTCTCAGGAAATTTGAAAAAAGCAATATTAGCACATTCAAATTCAATAATTTATTATTCAAGTAATAGAGAAAATACTATGAATCATATATTAATACCAGAACTTAAAAGTTTGAAGACTTTATCATTATCTTATAACAAAATAAATTATTTGAGAAATGTCACACTGCAGAATATTGAATCTATGGAGTTGCGTATTTATCATCCACCATTTCTATCAGACTTGTCTGATTTTATTTATATTAATGGGAATACTCTAAAAAATCTAGATATTGGTGGTTTTCCAAATGATAATGAATTTTTGGGAAAGTTACTTCAACCAATTGCACTATGTTGTGAAAATTTAGAATATTTGTCAATATTTTACAAGGAATTAATGGAAGTTTTCAATAATTGTTTTAATTAAAAAAGGATTATATTTAGAAAATCTCTTTATATGAATCAATTAGGTGGTGATGGAATTTTAACAGTTTTAAATCAAACCCTACCAGAAAATTTAAAATCAACAATTATTGAACATAAGGTCATTAATATCAGTGACAATTCTTTCAATAATCTAATGAAGAATTGGAGAGGGCCCAAACCTTTTACAATGAAATTTGAAATGTACTCAGAATCTTGTGGACTTGACAAATTGATAAAAAAATATCAAGGTTTAGGATTTTTAAACTAAGTTTTACATTTTGTATATATGTTAATATTATTAGTTAGTTGTTAATACTATCATGATTTTAAATTAAGTTTCACATTTTTTATATATGTTAATATTATGGTTTTTTTTTCCAACTGTTAAATAAAACTCCTTAAATCATTCTTTCTAATATGGTGTTTTTGATATATTGTGATTTTAAAAAATGATGATTTATTTGTTGATTCATTCTTGATGTTTACTCAAGTTACTTTTCTGGGATGTGAGATACATCTACTTCAATTTTATTGATAAATAAAGTTGCATTTATTGTAAATATACATTTTAGCAAAAACTAAATGCAATCAATAAATAAATAACTCGCATACACAAATATTATGGTGTTCATAACTATTGTCAGTATTTCCAAATCAAACATTTAATATAATAATAAAGGGTCTAGATGACAACAATTTGTAATAATAATAATATTAAATATCTTTATTTTAACCAAGGAATATACTAAATATGGAATTTCCAAATATTGTAGTAAATTACATTCTAGAAATCGTGTATATATGGTGCACATAACTGTGTCGTAACTATGAGTTATAGTTCGGCAATATTGCGCCCTTTGTTACACGTATTATAACTATAACATCTATTAAAATAGATGTAATAGCATATAAAATGTATTGTAAATTATGTTATGTATATATACACTTCTATACATTTTTAATAAATAAATAAAATAAATAAAATAAATAATATATACAATATTATATATAATAAAATTAAAAATGATTGTAAAAAATAGTTTATAAAGACAAATCCTATTGAGTTTCTTGGCTCGATTCAGATTCAGATGATGATGACTGTTGTTGCTGCTGTTGTTGCTGTTGTTGTTGCTTGTAATCCTGTTGATTTGGTTCATCTAGACGTTTCTTTTGTTGAGAACTAATCATAATAGTCTCTTGACCTTCGATCAAGTTTAACCTACTATCTTCAATATTATTATTATTATTATACTGATTATAATTATTTCTACCGCTCTTTAAAGCAACTTTACTACTTCTTAATCTTTCAATCCCTCTATGAACACTTTCAATATGAACTTGAATAGGCATTTCAATCAAAGAAGGTCTTGATACTTGTTCTCTTAACTCCTCCATGTCCAATTGAAATGAGGTTAGCGAATATAATGTGGTTTGAATCTGGGATATTGCTACACGTCTTTGGCGATCAAGATCATTTAACAGTGAAAGATTATCTTCAAATTTTTGACGTTTTACACGATTACCACCTAAAAATGACCAAATTTCAGCTAATAATTGAGAATTTCCTAATTTTTGTAATGATTCCTCATGTGCTGTTAAATCATGAATTGATAATAGTATTTCATCAAGTTCAGCTAAACTATTATTTAATAAATAAATTGTTATATTATTATTACCAAGGATATATTTACAAGTATATAAAATTATATGTTCTTATTATACCTTCCAAGAGAATCCTGACCAACAAAAATCATTCTTTTTAAATCATTCTCTATCAAAGTCATCATTTGATTATAAGCTTCTGCCAAATCTTTACCGCTAACTTTCTTATCTCTTACATTTTCCAATGCTTTCAAAGCAAACAAATTATATGTGATCAAATTATCAAGCGAAGATCTAGTCCTTGCTTGTAATACTTGTAAATTTCTACCAACATTTCTTGACTTGTCAACAAATTCAGATAATCTATCTACCAATTCTGAAGCACATGTTAAACTTGAATATTTAATCAATACTCTTAAATCAGAGGTTGCAAGTTCAGCCTTTTTGATATCTAAAGCTAATGAAGATGACGCTCCAGTATGCGAAAGTTGTTGATCCATTATTTGTTCGTAAGTTTCAACTTGCCTGTTTACTAGTCGTGAAAAGTCAGGTATTGGTGTTTGACACATTGGAATAAAGGAAGAAGATAGTGGGATGATGGCACAAACTCCTGTTTTTATGTCATTATTGTATGTAGTTGATAAGAAGTTCATCGAGTAAAATGTCAAGAGTATTGCCAGACATATTGAAAAAATAGGTTTTAAAAAATATAGTGCATCCATGATTACATCTATATTATTATTATCATATGTTGTTAATATTTTGTGATAATATTAAATATTCACTTTTAGTTATTTGTAAATTAATTTAAAAGAATTACCCAAAAAGAAAGATATCAAGAGCGAAACAAAGTTTGTTACTCTACTATGCTCCATTGTCACCGTTAATCAGTGAGAATTAATTTTTTTCAGAAAAACTTGGGCGCGATTATCACTACCATTTTAAAAAAAATTAGAAATTAAATTTTAGCTTAAAAAAGTTAAAAAAAAGAATAGAGCACAATATTGGATCTACAATGTATATTAATTGGTTGTGTGATTTTTTTTTGGGTGACTACTTGCAGAATTTCCGAAATTTTACGTAAAGAACATACTATTTTCCGTTTTCAAAGATATAGGCACCAAAATTTGCACGAAAGCTAGCAAAATATAATACTGTTCTACAAATTCCCTTCGGTTAAAAACCTCAGATATTTTCACGAATAGAACGAGCCTTAGTAATTGAAAATTCTAATAAAACCATCGTTCCATAATGATTGCATTCATGAAATTCATTTAGTGATATTAACCCAATCACTACTGATATCAGTAATTTTTTTTTTGTTGACGAATTGAATAATTTAGAAAAAAACTTATCAATAAAACAATAATAAAAACTGATTCATTTATTGTTAAAGAAGATTTTGAATTCAAATCGATATAAATAGAGAACGAAATCCTTGCAATTCTAGTTCCTGCGCTTCTTTCGTTTGTGGTGGAGACATTTTTTTATGAAGGAGAACATGTCAATGATTGCTGACATGTCTCTTTAATTAATTTATTAAGAGTTTTAAAAACGTAACCTAAATTTTTTTGAAAAAAAAATATTATTTAATATTAATAGAATTTATTATTATTATCCGCAAATCAGGAAACTTCTAATTGGGATTCGGGATGGTGATACGATCCACGAATGATCAATCCGGGGGTTCTTTAAATTATTATTATTCTATTTTATGATAATAATAATAATAATATAAAAAAAATAAAAATAAATTATACAATTAAAAAAAAAAAAAAAAATGGAGAAAAGAAAGGAAGAATTAGAAAAGAAAAGACTAAAACTTGCAGAACTTCGTAGAGCAAGAGAAGAGCGTAAAGTGTTTAGTCAGGCCTCACAAGAGCAAAAAGAAAAATCGGTTGGTAGATTTTCATAAAATACCTTTAAACAAAACCTTGATCATTTCTAATTTTGTTTATATTATATATAGAACCGGAAAGATTTAGATGAATTTGTTAAATCAGTATTACAAGATAAACCTGATCAAGAAGAGTCTGATACAATCTCTGAAAAAACGCATACACGTGCCTCTTCAATTTCTGTATCTACGCATTTTGGTCACAATTCCCCCTCAGTATCAGTTCCTCAAAGGTATATATACATATATTGTATTGAGAATGGGGATTTTAATAAAAATCTATAATTAAATTTTTTTATTTTTAAAAAAGTCCTCAGATTACTACTCCCGCCAATAGTCGGTTCATTCCAGGATTCACAACTTTTGAAGCAATTATTTTAGATATTGCGCCAAAAGTATAAAAAACCCAATTTAAAATGTTAATTATAAATAATTATAAAAAATAAAAATAATAATGATTGTAAAATTACAATTATAATCTATTAAAAATAGGAAGTAGTTCTATATAATAAAGAAGTACAAACTGCAGAAAATTCTTTTGGACCTCCAGTACCAAATGAAGAAGAAATTAGACTAGAAATATTAAAAGAATTGGAAGAGAAAAAGAAGATCGAAGAAGCATCATTAGAATATGCAAAATTAAGACTTGAAGAAGAGAAGGCTAATTCACAAAATTTTAAGGGTAAATAAGAAATTCGCTATTTTTATTTTTTAATTTTCACATGAAGACCTAATCATTCATTCATTTATTTTTCTATAGATTTGTCTGAAGTGGAAAGGAAGAAAGTTTATAATTCAGCAGAGTTTATAGATTTTATTGATCACACAACAAAAATTGTTGAGAGGGCACTTAATGAAAATTACGACTTTATGAGAGACTATACCATTAGTGGAAAAGAAGAAAGGCAAGTCACTAAAGTTTAAATGTTACAATGAATCGTTACAATTATTTCGTTGTAATAATTTTCTTTTTCTCCTTATTTTTTTGTTATTAGTGATGGAAGATCTGGATCATATGTTAAATTTTTATGTTCTTTTTTTGATGACCGGTGGAGTAAAAATCGATCAGTAACTGATGTTAATTGGTCGCATAAAGTAATTCATCAATTTCTAATATTAACACGACTATTTGAAATATATAATTTAAATTCAAATTTAACACAATGGACGAACTAACGAATAATTCTATTTTATCTTTATTTATTTATTTTGTTTAAAAAAAAAAAAAAGAATGCTGAATTATGTGTTACTTCATACAACAAAAATCCTATGGCAATGAATGAACCTGACGGTGTTGTTTTAGTTTGGAATTTACATTTAATAGAACGTCCAGAATTTGTGTTTCATTCTCAGGTTTGGTTTTTATTCTTTATAATGATTAATTTTTATTAATAGAAACGGTTAAATAAAATTTTTAATTTTATAGTCTGACGTCCTCACAACAATGTTTTCAGAATTTCATCCAACTCTTATAGTTGGAGGCACATATTCAGGTCAAATAGTGCTTTGGGATATGAGGGCAAAATCTTTACCTGTCCATAAAACACCACTTTCTGCTGCTGGACACACACATCCGGTTTATTCTATGCAAATGGTTGGAACTCAAAATGCACATAATCTACTTACTGCAAGTACAGATGGTTTAGTCTGTTCTTGGCAATTAGATACGTTAACTCAACCTCAAGCAAGTTATCATCACGAATTTTGTTGTTGTTGTTGTTGTTGTTGTTTTTGTTGTTGTTAATATCATATCATTAATTATAACATTTTGATGCATTTTAGGAAACTTTGGAATTAGTTCATACCGATCACAGTAAAACTAACGAAGTTTCCATTACTTCACTTGGTTTTCCAGATAATGAAACAGCTGCATTTTTTGTTGGTACAGAAGAAGGCAATCTTTACCAAGCAAATCGATATGGACGTGCTGGAGGGTTAGTACGACTATTGGACAATATTCTTAAGATTCTATTTATTTCATTATAATGAATAAATATGTTATATGATTTTATTAATTTATATTAATGAATTTTTAGAAAAGCTGGTATAAATCCTTACGATACTTATAAAGGTCATTGGGGACCAATTACAGGTCTTCACTTTCATCCTTTAGTTGGACCTGTAGATTTTTCAGATATGTTTTTAACTTCATCGGTTGATTGGACTGTGAAATTATGGAGAGCTAAAGTAATATACACTATTGAATTATTATTTTTATCAAGTTTATTCATTATTATATATTTAATAGATAAAATTTTAACTATATATTAGTCAATTTCAAAACCTTCACATTCACCACAAACAATTGCGCCAATTTATTCATTTGAAGGTGCAGATGATTATGTTTATGATGTCAAATGGTCACCTACACATCCAGCTCTTTTTGGTTCAGTTGATGGCACAGGGAAATTTTCTGTTTGGAATTTAAATGATGAAACTGAGGTAATGATGATTGATATTATTCCTATTCTTATGTTATAATTATTGAATTATTTTATTAATCTTTCAATATTAGGTGCCGATTGCAAGTACGCAAGTTGGACAGGGACGAGCATTAAATAAATTGTGTTGGGATAAAGAAGGTAAAAAGGCAGCAATCGGATCATCAGACGGACGTGTGCATATTTACGACATTGGCGAGGTATTTATTATAGTTGACATTTTAAACATCTTAAAAAATATTATTGTTAAATCAAGAATTATTTTTATAATAAATCTTTATTTCTAGTTGCACCATCCTAGAGATGATGAATGGAATCGTCTACAAAGAACAATATCAGAAATGATTGATACTACTACAGATAGACATCATGGAAAACATGCAATATCTAAATAATGATATTAACAAAAGTAATAATACTATTTAGTACTAAAATAATATTTACCCTTAATGAATTTAATAATGTATTACTATTCTTATTATTTTTATCATTATTATAATTAATATATATATATATAATTCGTCATACATTTTATTATTACTATTAATTACTGTTGTATTAATTATTTTAATGTAACATCATGGACAATTATAATTAATTGAACTGGTATGTAAGACATCATATAAATAGTTGTAAAACTTTACCTCGAATATCTCACTAAAAATGGCGAGTAGTTTCCTTTTTGGTTCTTTTAAAAAATCAAGGGTGTCTTTCTCTTGCCCTCATTTCCACACACATTATTTGCCTAGTAGTACTACTACTAGGTACTGTAGATAATTAAGATCAAAACCTCGGGTTCAACCGGTTTGGGCTGAGCTATTCTCATCCCTAACCGGGATTGAATACCCTGAAATCTTTGTGGACTGGTATTTTCTTCTTTTCATTTTATACAAATATATATATATATTAATAATATATTTAAAATGGTAGAACTTTCAGACTCCATCAAAGAACAAGCTAAAATAACTTTTCAATATCAAGATAAACTTCCAAAATTACCTATACCTCCTTTAGAAGAGACACTTGAACGATATCTTTCTACTATTAAACCACTTCAGGTATGTTATGTTAAGATTACAATAAACATAAAAACCTTACAATGCTTATGTTCTTTTTTTTTTTGCCTGAAAAATAAAAAATAATTATGTTGTATATAATAGAGAGAAAAGGATCATCAACAATCCATTGAAGTAGTTCAACAATTCCTTCAAAATGAAGGTCCTCTACTTCAAGAAAATCTTAAAAAATATGCATCAGATAAATCAAGTTATATAGAAGAATTTTGGTATGATTCCTACCTTAACTATACTGATTCTGTAGTATTAAATCTAAATCCATTTTTTGTCTTGGAAGATGATCCAACTCCTGATAGAAATGATCAAATTATGAGAGCTGCTTCATTGATTCTTTCCTCATTAACATTTATTAATGCTTTGAGAACAGAAACCCTTAAGCCTGATTTATTCAGGGGCACCCCTCTTTGTATGTCTCAGTTTCAACGGTTATTTGGTACAGCTCGTTTGCCAACTGAAACTGGATGTAAAATGCACAATGATCCTAATTCTCGTCATATCATTGTATTATGTCGTGGTCAATTCTATTGGTTTGATGTTTTAAATCAAAATAATGAAGTTGGTATTAATGAAAAAGCTTTAATTGCAAATCTTAAAACAATAAAACAAGATGCTCTTGAAGTACCTACTGTGGAGATTGCAAAACATGCTATTGGAATTCTATCTACTGAAAATCGTCGTAGATGGGCACACTTGAGAAATATTTTGGAAAATTCTTCTGAAAACAACAGGAAGGGTTTAAAGTTACTTGATACAGCTTTATTTGTTGTTTGTTTGGATGAAGGAAGTCCCTTGTCTGGTGATGAGGTTGCTACAAATATGCTTTGTGGAACTTATGATATTAAAGAGGGTGTACAGGTTGGTACTTGTGCCAATCGTTGGTATGATAAATTACAAATAATAGTATGTGAAAATGGTTCAGCTGGTGTTAATTTTGAACATACTGGTAAGTTATATTATTGAGGTGATCTTTTAATTTAAAAGTTATATAATATTATTAATATTTGTCATTAATCAAATTTTACATTTGTATATGCATGAACAAATAAAGGTGTTGATGGTCATACTGTTCTACGCTTTGTATCAGACATATTCACTGACACAATTTACCGTTTTGCGGATTCTATTGTTGGAAATAGTTCTCGTAGCAACAAACATCATAATGGTAAAACTTCTAGTATTGACACAACACCAAAAAAACTTGAGTGGACATTGACTTCTGAAGTTCGTACTGGAATTAGATTTGCTGAAACAAGATTAAGTGATCTTATATTACAAAATGAAGTTAAAGTATTAAAGTATGATGGATATGGAAAAAACTTCATTACAAGTTGTCATATGAGTCCTGATGGTTTTGTTCAGGTAATAATTACTACCTAATAATTATTTTTATTTGTAATAAATTAAGATATTTATTGCTAAAATTTTTTTTCATCAGATGGCCTTTCAAGCTGCTTATTATGGCATGTATGGTTTGATTGAGTCTACATATGAACCTGCTATGACTAAAGCATTCCTTCATGGTCGTACTGAAGCCATTCGTTCAGTCACTACTGATTCTGTTGACTTTGTAAAACTTTGGTGGACTGAAGCTTCTACTACTGAAAAAATTAAGGCACTTCGAAAAGCCATTGATTCTCATGTAAAATTGACAAAAAAGTGTTCACAAGGGCTTGGTCAAGATAGGCATTTGTATGCACTTGAATGTGTTTGGCAAAGAGAATCCAATGCTTCTGATGGAGAAAGTGAAAAATTGCCTGCCATATTTAAAGATAATGGCTGGCAAGTGCTTAATCATACAGTGATTAGTACAAGTAATTGTGGTAATCCAGCTTTAAGATTGTTTGGATTTGGTCCTGTAGTGGCAGATGGATTTGGTATTGGATATATTATTAAAGATGACAAAATTGCAGTTAGTAAAAATTTTTATAATAATTATTATTAAGATTTTTTTTTTGAAAATTTATTCTAAGGCTGTATAATTTTTGTCATTTAGTTTTGTGCAGCTTCTAAGCATAGGCAAACACGTAGATTCCTTGATACATTAGAAAATTATCTTAATGATGTACAGTGTTTGCTTTTAAATGAAAGACGTATTCCTAATTACAAAAATGAAGAGAATGTTAGTATGCTTTCAGGTTATGGCTATTTTGATGCTGGTGGAATTGATCAATTAATTGAAGATCGTTTAGTAGAAAAAAAAGAAGAATTGAATAGAGTTGGGAGGGAATTGAAATTAATTGATAATTAAAGTTGGTTATTGTATAATTGATAGTAATCATAAATTAACTCTACATAACAATATTTATAAAATTTAATATATTTTTCTCATCATTCATTTTTTTTCATCAAAGTATTTTTTATTGGAAACCATATTAATAAAATAAATAAAAAGATTATTTATATTTATTAATAATTTTACAAATACAAAATTGCCAAAAATGAAATAGAATAAGTTATTGGGCTTATCTTATTATTGCCTTTAGCACTACATATTCATATACATATTATTTATGGGAATAATAAGAAGTGTTTTTCTGTAAAATATTGGGGTGTGCAGAAACACATATACGGGGCATACTGCAACAAAACCCAACAAAGTGAACCTGAAGATTTCAGGGATCAAAAGTAGCAATCACCAACATAATCCCTTGTTCTCTTTCCTTTCCAAATTGTATACAATTGTGTATATATATTGTCCAGTAAAGAGTTTCGTAAAGCTGGATGTCTTTCATCAGGAAATTAATAAAACCAAAAATAATCAATGTCCAATAATTAAATGATTTAATACAGCACCATGCCCAACCACTCATGTCTTACTCATCAAGTTTGCCTGAACACAGACTTTTCATCCATTCTTAATTTTAAATAATTTTTAAATGCAATCACTGGTTTTTAGTTCAGTTATTCACTACCAACCAATGTTATGTACCAAATACATACAATGTTGTTAGTATGCAAAATTTATATACACAAATACTAGCATCAAAAGAAATATATTTGAAAATTTAGCAATAATTTGTTATTGGTGTGTTTCTAGTAATACATGTATAATAAAATGAAAAAATCTAAATACAATAACATTAAAAAAAAATCATCTACATCTATTGCATCTATTGGTTGATTGTAAGGTTTCTGGTCCAAACTGTTTTCTCAAAGCCCAAACTAGTTTGGGCAATTTGGGCTTCTCAACATTTTTTATAAGCATAACTATATGAATCAATTTGTTTTAACTTAAACAACTTTAAAATAATTTCACCCAATTTTGGCTAATAACAAAAAGTAGTTTGGGCTTATAAAAAAATAAATTTTGCCCAAAGTATTTGGGCAATTTCGGCTACTAATAGAAGCAGTTTTGGCCAGAAACCTTAGTTGATTGTCATTTTTTCTTCTTTTCACTAATATATCTAGATAAAATATTCAAGTCAATTGAGATGAAAAAGTTTTTTATTATAAGTAACAATAATGTTGTCATTATCATTACCTTTTTCATCTGATCCAGCATTTTCTTCTTCATCATCAACAATTGTTTTAACTATCTTTTAAGCTTTCTTTTGTTGTTGGTTTTACTTGAAGATTTCATTTCATCAGATAATTCATTTTCACAGTCATAATTATTTAATGAATCATCCTGTAAAATTTTATCTCATGCATATCCAGATCTTCCAACCAAACATCTGTGGGTGTCAATACCCTCAGTTTATTTAATTTTTCCTTTATTTTTTTAATTTCTCCTTTACCTAAATTTCATTAATTAATAAAGCAATCAATCTTTTTACAACTTATATGCTAAATAAATCTTTTAATATATACATACCTCTTGTATACTAAATTCAACAGAATTCATATTTATTAAATATCTATAACCACGATATTCTGACATTTCTTTTTTATATATCCTATCAAATTTTAGAGATTCAAATAACTAAGGCTCCAAACAGATCAGATCAGATCAGATCAAAGCCAGACCAGATCAGTCAGATCCTAATAAATTGCAATCTGTTTTGAATCAGATTAGATCAGATCCCAGATAAAAATTCTTAATTCATAATTTCTTTCATAATGAATTTTATTATTATTATATATACATATTATCTCAGATCAGATCTCAGACTCCAGATCAGATCAAATTCAATATTTAAAGAACCAGATCAGATCAGCTTAAACAGATTTCAGCTCATCTCATCTCATCTCAGATCAGATCAGATCAGATCAGATTTCTTCTAAATCTGTTCTGTTATGTTCCGTTCAAAGCCTTACAAATAACCTTTATCAACATATTCTATAAAGTTAATGTCTTCTTATTAGCAAAACTTGATTTCATTTGCATCTTGTTCTAATTTTTTAATTAAGAGTATACATCCCAAATAATGTTCCATGCCACAATGCAAAAAAGGAAACAAAATGGTCATAAAGATGGTTGCAACCAGCAGTTGCAATCATTTTTATATGATACAAAGATGGTAGCAACCATCATCAAAAGTTGCAGCCAGTGTCCTTAATCCCAAATGCACAAAGCGAATTTGGGCCAGCCTGCCAAAGAATTCCCAAACCCCAAACTGCCTCATACACCCATAGCATTTTGTCTCCCAACCAATAAGTGCCTAGGATTCATGAAAGTGATCAGCAACCCTTTCATTACACTATATGCTTATTGGTTAGGAAAGCAGGGCAGAAAGATTGATCTACATTTGGGATTTGTATATACATTTGAGATTTGGGATCCTTGATTTTTAATTTGGGCAGCATCTATAATTAAGAGTGACTAATAAAAGTAATTTTATATAAATCTTTTTGAACAATTTGATTCATTTGAAAATTCAAATAATGTTTTGTTAATTTACTTTTCTTTTTATATAAAATTGAATTTGGACATAATAGAATTCATTTAATATATTGATGGCTGTATTCACAAATTGGGTTGGATTTAAGGTTTTGGGTGAAACTCCTCCAGAAATCAATCAAAAGAGTTTCAACAAGTTGCACATTAATTGTTTATTAGAGTTTTGTCAAGGTATATACTAATTGTACATTAGAGTTTTGACAGTCACTAAGAGGTTTTGGCAAGCAACCTTAGTTGGATTGTATTATCCCTTAAATTCTGTTCACAAATTTAAAGTAGGAACAATATAAACAATCTAATCCTAACCCCAGGGATTATCCTAGAATAATCCTGGGATAATCTTCTGATCCTACATTTTTGTTGGATTATAATGAGGATTTGCAATTTGATTGATTAAATTCATCTATGTTTTGTACTTTTTTTTTTAAAAAAAAAATATGGACATTACTGAATTTATAAATAGCAATGAGGCAAATTCAAAACCTTTAAATAAAAATGAAAGTAAGGCTACTTGGCCAGAACTGCAGTTATGTGTTTGTTTATTTTTTTGTGTACCATTGATTTTTGAATATGATTAAGATCCAGGATTATCCAATCTAATACAAAATTAAATTTGTGAATACAGCCAATATCTTTTGTAGTATAGTGCAAGACACCTAGTTCTTACAACTTTCTGCACCATAATGACAGTTTTTGAGAAAAAATTTACAATCAAAAATGCAATAAAATTTTTATTATCATGAGTTTGCAAAGATTGACATGTGTGAAATTTTATCCAGGTAATATGTACTTATAGATAATTAAGATACTATAATTATGTAGCAATTATATTAGAAAAAAGTAAAGTTTTGTTCTCAGATTTTTCTTAACTGTTATCATGTAGTGATGAGCATAAAAATTATTTTGAAAAATGACCGAGTTATTAAGTACTTAATAACTCTATTGGTGACTTATTAAGTGTTAAAATCACAAACATGCAGATCTCTTATTGGTAGCAAAAATTATTTGAATCTGTTTAATCAAATATTAATGATAACAAGTTAATAATTAATTTAGTACTGTGCATAAAATCCAGTGTGCACAGTGTGCATCCTAACCAAATTTGATAATTATTTTCCCAAATCTGCACATTCCACATGCTGAATTCTATACACTGGGATTGATTGACAAAATGGATCTTTTGGATTAATAACTCTCACTCAGAGTGCAACAGTTAATAAGTGGTTAATAACTTGGAGTTATTAAGTGTAGGGTTAAAATTCCCATCACTATTATCATGTGATAAAAGATAAACCATACAAATTTCAAAAATTTCAACTCTTCCAATTTGTTCATTTTTAATATAAAAAATTTGTGTATATCACATCATCTTGGGGGTTAACATAGTAAATTTGTTAAACTTGTACAACTTTGTGACTTAATTCCTCCACAACAACATGTCATATCAACAAAATGAAGATGTAATTTTGAAGCTAAGACCTTTCTGTACAGCATGTAACATAATAAGCCACCACATAAAAATGGACTAATTTTATAAAAAGAAAATATTTCAAAAAAAATAAAGATGATGTTTGATAGCTTTTGATCAGCTCTACAATCTATCATCAAGATAATAAAAAAATACTGCTTGGTTCAGGAGTCTTAAGCTTTTAAAAATCATGTGATTTTTATATGTTACATATAAAATTTTCCAAATTTGATACATGTAATTTTGGCCCGATTTATGTTACACGTGCCTAAAATTTTGGTAAAATCACGTGTTACACGATATTAACAAAAATTAGGGAGAAACGCGTTATAATTCAAATGAAATTTTATCTTTTTAGCCCTTTTAATCCTTTTTAATTTTTTGAAAATAAACTGCCAAAAGGTAACATTGCGATTATATCTGGAAAGGTTTAAAAGAAAATATACCAAGAGCCTTTGGTTCTATTCATTACAAATAAGAAAATATGCATTAAGATCAATAAAATATATGGGGTGTTATAGGAAAGGCCTATCAGTTTTACAAGCAGAGTATGCTTTGAAAAAAGTATAAATCACATAGAAGAGTACCTGATAATACTATGGAAGAAATTGATAGAAATAATGTATGAAAATATTGATCATGTGATTTGATTTTTTAACTGCATTTTTGTAATGAAAGTAAAAATTTTTCTTGAATTCGATACATGTGGCGCAGTTATTTGATGGCTATGCACTGTACAGATTTTCCATATGCATAAAAATAATTAAAAAAAAAATATACCAAATATATATATGTCATTACTTCAATATTTTAGAAGAACAATTTGTATCTTTTGAATTTTCAGAAAAAAAGTATTGACTCAATTTAAATATTCATTTCAAAAAGACTGCTATTAAATTATTAAATTTAAAAATATATACACTTTAAATATATATATATTTATATGTTTTATTTTCCTTTATTCAAAAAAATAAATTATAAATAAATAGTATAGAACAAGGAGAATTAGACAATTTGATTACTGAAATTTGGGATGAAGCATTTATAGATGAAACAAATATTGATGAATCATATATAAAAGATTCAGATGATTTGACAATTCAAGATTCAGCTGATGATGATACTTCAAAAAAATCAAATAAAAAAAGAAAAAATAGTGAATTAAGTGTAAACCATGTTAAAATGTCAAATAAAAAAGTGCATTTTAAAAAAATCAGGAGAAAATTTCAGCATGAATGATTAAACATATATAAATAGTTAAAATATGATGCAACAACAAAGAGAATGTTTTACACAATTTGTAAAGCACATGAAAAAAAATCAATTTGCAGGAAAAGGTGACAAATAAATATAATTAATTAATTTTGCATTCTTCAATTATTAATTTACTAATGTTATAATGTTAATATTTAGGATCAAAGAATGTTTCAAAATCTACTGCTCTAGCAACTTGTGCATTTTCAAACAAACATAAAGATGCTTTGCTTCTAGAAAAGGCAAGAATGATCATGCAAGAGTTTTCCAAAAAGCCATTAGCAATGGTAACAAACATATAATTAATATAATGAAAATGATTTACTGGATGGCAAAAGAAGATATTCAATTTCCAAACTTCCAAGTCTTATTAATCTTAGTCATGCTCTTCAAGTTCTGATCTATTTTCTTTAAATAATACTATTACATATAAAAATAACAAATCTGGACAAGAGTTATTAAAATCAATATCTGAATCTATTGAACTAGTTATTTGGAATGAATTGGAAAATTGTAAAGCATTTGGAGTTATGGTTGATGAAAGTACTGATATTTCCACAAATTTACATTTTATTATATATGTTAAGTATTGCTATGAGGGAATTATTAAAGTATGCTATCTTAAGCTTTTGGAAGTGGAAGAATCAAATGCTATAACATTCTATAATGCTATAATCAATCTTTTTGATAAAAATGGTTAGTTGTTTAACATTTATAATTCAACTCTATTATAATATTTTTCTAGTTTAAATTAAAAGAATAATGTTTATATTTATAGATATTGTTAAAGATTTGTTCATTTGCTTCAAATGGAGCAAGTGTAATGATGGGAAAAAATACAGGTGTAGCTATGAGAATTGCACAAATCAATACTTTTCTTTATATTATGCATTGCATTGCTCATAGATTATCATTGGCATGTGGGATGCTCAAAGACAAGTTGAATCCTGTAAAAGCGTAGAATTTGTCATGAAGAAGGTTATTTATTTTTTAGCAAATCAAGTAAATGTTGTGATTTATTGAAACATTATCAAAAATTTTAGATCACCCTCTATTAAAAGTTAAACAGATCTATGATATTTGTTGGTTTTCCTGTGTGATGCTGTCAAAAGTATTTGCTTATCTGTTGAACTCTTACTTGATACAATTTTTGAAACTTATTCAAATGCAACACCTAAAAAAAACCACCAATATTGAAGCTTTATCAAAAGTTACGCAATTGGAAAATATTAGCATTCTTTTATTTTCTTTATGATATTTTGGGATATTTGTCAAAGTTTTTCAAAAATGGTTTATAAGATTTTCTGATTTTCAACCCATTATTGAGGCTACATTACAAAAAATCCAACATGAACATTTAGAAGACAACCCTAGATTAGGATATAATTTAAGTAGATTTTTAACAAATGTTTCATCAACATCTTATCCTTACATTGGAACCATAAGCTTACTTTTAATAATGATTATGAGGATGATTTAATGTAGACATTTGTGAATTCGCATCATCAATAATCATAGAATTAAGGAAAGATTTCCAAATCCAAAATCATTATCTGCAATAAAGATGGCACCTCAATTAATTGCAACTAATCGCAACATATAAAAATTGAATTGTGGTTTGTGGCATATGAAAATTGAATTATGGCTAATTGCGGTTCCCATATTTAATCTGCAATGAAAATTCTTAATCCTCAAGAATGGCTAAAAGACAAGGAATCTTTAATGCTTTATGGTGAATTAGAATTGGAAGAATTAGTTTCAGTTTATGGGAAAAAATATTTACCAGATTATCCTTTAGGTGTTATAGATTCTGTTGCTGTTCAAGAAGAATGGTTTGGGTTTAAAATAGTGGTAGATTCAAATTATCAAGATTTAGCTATAGATGATTTATTTCCTTTATTATATGATAATTATTTAGATAGTTATCCAAATATCTTAAAACTTATGGAAATAGTGTACTCAATTCCATTTTCTAGTGTAGATTGTGAAAGAGATTTTAGCAAACAGAATATTATCAAAACAGATTTATGTAATGCAATGGAAAATGACACATTGCACTTATTAATGATGGTTGGTTTAGAATGCACTGATTTATCTGGTTATGATTTTAGTGATGCTCTTAGTAAATTTCTTCAAAGTAAAAACAGAAGAATAAAATAAAGAAAATTTTTAAATTTGAAAAAATATTTTAGCACCCAAAAAAAATTCTTCCGGAATATTTTTAGCATTCAGGAGTAACTTCCGTTTTTTTTTCAGACCTATTTCCAGCCCTGATTGTATTCAACCAAAAATTAAAGGCTTTGCTAAAATAAATAAATAAATTTTTTTTGGCTTGAACAGTCAGTCACCTTGGTCAAACTCCAAGTTTGCAGTCCAATCATATCATGTAAATTGCTGTAATCACACAGCCACCAATCTTCCATGTCGTCATCTTTGTATATTCGCTTCCATCTGTCCTTAGTATCAGTGAATATGAAAATAGAGAATTAATAAAACTTATGATTCGTTAGAAGAAAAGAAAGAAGAACTACACCTAAACATGTATAGTTTCCTTTATGATTGTGTAAAGTATTTTATGACAAATAAGCTAATTGAAATTCCAAAAAAAAATATTTATTATTAATTTAGATTGAATTAAATAACAAATGAAAGAATATATAATAAATGTGAGAGATGATAGATATATAAATATATAAATATATTTTTATTCAAAATGTTTAAATAATATGATAAATAATGATTAGTTAGCACAATTAATAATCCAATATTAATACAATTATTATCGATGAAGCTTTCATAATCTTCTTGCACAAGTTTCTTTCTCGCATATCTTTTTCAGATAATCTTTGAAACTATGAATCATTTGAGGTTAAATTTGTTGTCGAATTAGAATTTGCATTATATTCATCTGAATCAATAACATTAACAGTTGTAGAATTCATGGAAGTTTTAGATGAGGATGATGATATTGATTGAAATGTTACTAATTTTGGATCTTTGGGCAACCCAGTTTGTGGATCAATATTATTTGATTTGAATTTCATCTGTTGCCTATACAATCTAGCTTGATCAAAATTCAATCCTTCCCTTTTCATTATACGTCTAATTTCCGAGGCGTCATCAAGCCCTGATCGGTCGTCTCCATCCACAACATTTTGATGAAGGTCAAATGTTTCAGAACTTAGACCATGTTCAATATCTTGTCGGAATGAATGAGTGGAAAAAATTGCTGGTAAACGTTGATATCGTTGATTTAATGATGGCCAATGTGTTAATATTTTTTGACGGTAACGGAATGTGGCTTGAATATTCAAATGGAAGAATTTATTAGATGGTTAGATGGAATTGGGTAGGAGGTGAATGAAGGGAGAGGGAAGAGAAGAAACAGACAGGTACGTTAATAAATTGTAAGAATTATTATTAATAAAATCAAATAAATACTTTATTTTTTTACCTATTAAACAAATTAAAATTAAAAGTAACAAGTAAAAAAACATTGTTTTCTTTTCTCTCCCTGGAGAGAGGCTTTAAAAATGGAATAGTAAAAGAGTGTGAATTACGGTAAACTTCTTTTTTATTAAAAAGAAAAAAAAATAATAAAATAAGTTTATATATAAATTTTTTTTTGTCATATAATACCGTGTAACAAAAAAAAACCGGAAATCTTTATTTGTCTCTCAATAATGATTTAATGAAAATAAGAAAGCTGAAACAGAAGTTTGTTTCTATTAATATAAATTTTATATGAAACTTGTTTTTAAATTTGTTCCATTTAAAAATTCAATTATAAAAATCAGCAAATTCCCGATGCTTCAGGATTCTTCAGCATTTTACTCTTAACAAATTCGCCAAAAATTTTGATTGTTTCGATACATGAACATTGTTGAATAACATGTTTTTAAGTTGAATAAATTTTGAGCTTAAAATAATCGACCTTCAAAAATCCTATTTAATCAAAACAACATCTTAATCTTTGTGATAAGTTCATTATATATGGGCAATTATTGGCTTGCTAGAAAGAACAAGTTTTTTTGTTACACCAAGTAAAATAAATAAATAAAAGCCAAATTGCACAGAGTCACATGAAATGATTTAAACTAAATAAAGAATGCAGAAAGAAAAAATAATAATCAAAAGTATGAAAATTTAATAAAGAAAACTTTTAAATGAATCAGAATACTCTTCTGAACAATAAGCTAAAGTGTATTGGAATTCACAACTTATGTAATAAATTAAAAAGTCTCTGAAGAATTTAGGAAAAGAAAACCACATCCTAGAAATAAATATGAATTGGTTGCTGCATTGAAAGAAGAATGGGTAAAAATTGATCCTGAAATAGTAAAGAAATTATTTGATAGTATGTCTAGAAGAGCTGTTATTGAAATCCAACAATAATTTTATTGTGTAAACTATTTAATAATAAAAAATCTGCAGAATACAAATTTTATCGAGTTATTTAGTCTACACTTAACCATTTTAATACTTAATAGTACAAACCACCATTCAACAGAGTTTTTCTAAGCTCAAAGTGTTCGTAGATATTACAAGATTTTTACAAAGCTTTTAAAGCGTGCGCTAAGCCCGGTTCGTTATTTTTCAATTATGATCATCAGGTGATTGGGTATTTTGTGTGCACTTGTTTTACTACGCCAATTAGATTGTCTAATAAAAACGATTGGGCTGACAATTTTGTTCAAAATGATTATTCGCGGAAATTTTCAAAAAAAAAATTATGCAACAAGGAAAAGCTTTTAAATACGGGTTAACTCTAACCAACAAAAAAAACCTATATGATCGAATTTTTCCAGAAACAATTTCCAAATTTAGAAATTCTATAATGATTCTTTGTCACACGATTATATAATACAACATGGTAAATTCGGTATACTAATAATAAACTTCAAACGTTACAACTCCTCGTCTATCATTTAAAAAAAAAAATTTTTTATTTCAAAACAATTTTTTTTTCCTAATTGATTATGTCTTTAGATGATGATCTGCATTGTATTCACCAATTACAATTCATTCTCTATATATAACGGCCCTTCTATTTTTGCTGAAAAAATCCGTTATCATTATAGAAAGAGACCGTTATAAACGGTATATGAGATGTATAAACCAATTTTAATTGGGGCCAAAATCTCAGTCCGTTATAGAAAGGCCGTTATCATTATAGAGAGAGTGTGAACTGTATTCGGGTGAAAATTCTCAACATTCGATTAAGCCAATTATTGTTGTTGAAACAATTTCAACGCCTAATTAATTGGATAATTGATGAATAATCGGCGAATGTTATTCAACAACCTCTCTATACATGACAAATCGTCCGAGTTGTATATCAGATATATATACTTGTACTAAAATTCGAACCCCAGAAATTTATTTGCGCGCCAAGCAAAAGGGACACATTGCCAAAATCCCAATTTACGATATCTCAAAAATTTATTTAAGCCAAGCCAAAAGCCAAAAATGTTCTTCAAGAGATCACACTTACTAATACCTACTAATACATATAGATACGACATTAACGCAAAAAGAAGCCATTTTCTCCCACACGTATAGTATAATTCATTATGTCATTGTTTGATTATATTCTCAATTTGGAAAATTGATGTAAAATTTTACATCAACCGACATGACCAAAATTGTAAAAAAAGGGACAAAAACACGTGAAATAATAATATTTACATCATAAAAAACAAATAAATATAAATACCTTCCACTCTCACGAATTTATTATATTAGTAGCTAAAAAATAATAAAAATATGAGCTATAAAACTTTTGTTGTAAAAAAAGTAGCAAAACACGTTTTATCAAATAATCGTTCTAAGCAAAATGCTCAAGATCAAGATACTCAAAACATTATTTCTTCTTCTTCAACTAATCCAAATGCTCATACCAATAATAATGATGTCGGAGAGCATGGCGGTGGTGGAGTTGGAGGAAAAAGGAAAAAGAATAAGTGGAAAATACCACCAAATTTGACACAAAAAGAAGCCAAAGTTTTAAAACATTTTAAAAAAAGAGCATACTGTTATGATGTATCATGTTGTAATTGTTGTGGAATACAGATTGGATTGGATCCAATTATAGGTAAAATAAATTCGATTTAATTTAATTAATTAATAACAAATATTACTACTTAATGTTAATAACAAATAAAATAAAGGTCTTATACCATTTGTTGGAGATTTTATGGGAAGCTGGTTATCTTTGATGTTATTAAAATCAACAAAGGAATTAGATTTACCACATTTTATTATGATGCAAATGGCAATGAATGTATTAATAGATTTCTTGGTAATTTAACATTTAATATTTATTTAAATATATTATATTTATTTATTACCGTATATTTATATTATTTTTTTTTTAGGTGGGGTTGGTTCCGCTCATTGGTGATTTTATAGATTGTGTATATAAAGCAAATACCAGAAATTCTGTAATTTTAGAAAATTTTTTAGTTGATAGATCAAAAAATAGGTCAGTTGTTATGGAGAATGGGGCGGTGGAAGTTATTAGGGCTACATAACGATTTGTAATAATAATAATAATATTTATTATCAGATAAAGACAAAACCATTTGTATTATCGTCAACGTGTTTATAATAATATATAAATGCATGTGTGTGTGTATGTATAAACAATAAACAATATATAATAATGATATAACAAATTTAACTTCATATATTAAAAAAAAATTTATCAAAAAAAACAATATATATATAAATACAATAAATAATGACAAATAAAATATATCATAAAATATATATAATAAAAACAATACGATGACAAAAAGTCTTTTGATATAAATTATGAATTAATGAAAAATAAAAAAATTATATTATATTTATTTTTTTATAAATAAATTTTTTTTTTAAATTGAATTTTTGATCGATCAAACTACCAACCAAAACTACCACCACCACCACCACCTCCAACACCAAATGAATTAATATTACTATTATTTTGTGAAAATTGTATTTCATTGAGAGTTTTTGGTTTGTTTAAGGAATTATTGTTATTAGCAGGTTGTTGAATTTGAAATGGATTTTTACTAAATTGATTACTACTGATACTTCCACTATCACTAAAATCAATAAGTGTATTATTATTAGTAAGAGTGGATGATTGTTGAGAATTCGAATATGGACTTAATGAAAGACTGCTAGAGCTTTCAGCTGGGTAAAATGGATTTGATTGATTTGCAATATTGCCAGTTGAATTGGATTTTCTGGGTATTAGAGGATCCGAAGAATTTGCAAATCCTGTTCCGCTATTTTAGTGAAATAAAAAATTGTTTGATTTTTTAATTATCCAAAACATTTTTTTATATTTTAAAAATTTTAAAAAAAAAAAAAAATATATAATAAACTTACACCGGAACTCGAAGATTTCCAATATTACCAAATGTGTCCATTCCATCTCTAATAAAATATAATCGATTATATTAGGTGACCGATAACAATAATAACATAATAAATTTGATGATAATAAATATCTATTGTTATTAATTTCTTACTGTCTGTTTCCAAGAGCATTTGCCAAACTTGCATACTTTTCATCTTGTGGTTTGACAGGCTATTGTTAAATGTTAACAAAATGATATTAAACTAAAAAACTTTTTTTAACGATTATTATTAATTTATAAAAATAATCAATTACCATTATATTATTATTATTAGAAAATGATGAATTTAACGATGATGTGTTATTTATTAAATTTGGGGAACTAACTCCAACATTACTAAATGATCCCATACTATTATTTCCAAATGAAAGTTGTTGTTGTAGCTGTAATTGTTGTTGTTGTTGTTGTTGTTGTTGTTGAGCAAATGGATTATTTGAACCAATTGAAGAATTGCTTGATTGAAGTCCAAACTGTGATAAATGCTGTTGATTATAAGGATCAGTAAGCAATGATTGTTGCTGCTGTTGTATTAGGTTTTGATTGCCAATAAATTGTGACTGACTCATATATGGAATTGCAGTTTGTTGATTATCGATCGAATCAAAAAAATCAATGGTTTTATTGTCTGTATTACTAGAACTTCCAAATTGAGAATTGTTTCCAAAGAGATCTGTTTGTTGTGAAAATGGATTATTGCCACTTGGTCTATACATGCATGTGTGCGAGTATGTGTAAGCGTATGTATTAAATAATTAAAATATATCATTTATAAAATCCCCTACTATTAAATTGATATTTACCCAAGATCAAGAAGACTTATTTCAAGTTTTTTCTTCAATTCCTCTTGCCTTCGTTCTTCTTCCTCCTTACTTAACCTTAATGCTTTTGCCAATTCTTCATCATCCTCACTATAAAATATATTTTAAAAAATCAATCAATATATGTAATATTATTTACACAAATATATCTATATATCAGAGAAAATTTTTATACCTTTCTTTTAATCTTCTTTCATAATCTTGTGCAGACCTTTTGCTTTCTTCAATTGCCTTTCTTAAATCAGCCTCTTCATCAAAATAACTAGGACGTTCATATGAAGATGCGCTATCGTTATAACTTCTATCTGTCAAGGGATCATCATTGCCTGTCAATCTTCGTCTCAATTCAGTACGTTGTTTTCTTTCATGCTGTAAACGTTCATCATCCTGAAGGAGTTCAGTGATCTCCTTGGCCCTTTGTCGAACTAAATAAATTATAAAATAAAAAATTATTCATTCGTTTGTTGCATTTAATACAGTTTAAATAATAATAATTTTTTGTACCATTCTGGCCCTGATCTTTCAGATCATCGTCAATGTATTGGAATTCTCTTAAAGTTTTTACCACATATAAATTTTCTTTTGCGTATGAAACAACGTCTTGGGACCCCACATGAAGACAGTAATCTAATAGAACAAGTGCCTATAATAAGAAGGGGAAAAAATAAATACGAGTATACACTTTTAGATTGATATAATTGCTTTTTCATTAAAAAAATTTTTTTTAAAGAATATAACTTACTTTGAAAACATGCCTCCAATTTTTACCATGATCGTTTAACCTTTTGTCAACCATTTCCATAATTTCTATAAATTCATTACTAATTTAATTTAATTTAATTTATGTGAGTATTTATAAAAAAAATAGGAAAAATAATTTTCTTCAAATCAATTATTAAGAAAAAGAAAAAAGAGCGTACTGATTAAATGTAGCTTGAGCAATTTCAGCCATTAATGTACTATTTGGACCCCATGGATCGTTCGAAGTTGCAGATCTAACCTTGGCTTGGATATCTGAATATCCTTTAGTGTAATTTTTTCTATAAATCAATGTGAGTATTTACTTAGTTGGAATCAAAAGATGCTTTAAAAGTCATAATAATAATTTATAGTTTTTCCATGTTATTCTTCTTCTCATTGTCATTATCAATATAACTTACAATGTGCGAACGGCACCTTTTGCTTTATATTTTGACATTTGATTTCTTATTTTATTTAAAGATTGTTGTTTTGTGAAAAAAAAATTTTTTGAATAATTTTAATTTTTTTTATTGTAATTCGAAAAGCGTAAACTCAGAGTAACTTATTTATATCTCAAGTCACATGTGTGTAACATTACCAAATAAATTACTGAAAAATAAAAAGCCAAGAGTTGAAAGGTGCGGCGAGTTTATTTTATAAATTGTGCTTATTTAAATATAAAGATTTCACTGCTTGTTATAAATTCAAATGCAATAAAAATATAATAAGTACGCCTTGTTCCGATATTTAGTACAATTTTTATGAAAATCAAGGAAAATAAACATCGAGAACCAATTACGACCAATCTTAAAAGTTCATTATGAAAAAAATTATTTCATTATTTATAGTCATCGACCGAATCACAAACAATAAAAATTAAAATTCCCCGTTTATAATATCATAATTTATAACATTTTGGGTTCACCTTTAGTAAAAAACTTTTAAAAAATATGAAAATATGTTTTACGTTGTGAAACACTAAATCAATTGTACTATTGTTAATAGGGAATGAATGTCTCAACATTTTCAACATACTAATAGTGCCTAATTTTTTATAAAATACTCTTTCCATAAAGGCATAACATTATTAAGTTGCTTATTTGGGCCAAAGTTAGAATTAACCATAAGAGATTAACACAAGTCACCTCACCATCGGCCATATGCTTTTCCAATATCTTCTTCAAACGTTCTACTAAATCTAAAATGAAGACGCATTTTAATTTGTAAAAATTCCCTTCAGGGGATAAACTAAGATCATACCATTTCCACTCAGGTTTTTTAATGCACTGACATTATCAGCTAATATTTTAGGGGGGTGGGCAGCAGAATCTTAGGTTACGCATCATATTGTAATAATGAAATAATGTGATCATTATGGCTTAGATTTTTTTTATACTCGATATTTATAAAATTTATTTTACAAAATTCTTATATACTGTACATTCTACGTAAATGCTATATATAGCTGTATAATTGATCATTTTTTATTTGATATATATATATATTCCCTTAAATGCATTTTGTCAAAAAGAGGCCAAGGGCCTTCGAGTTTGTTCTTTAAGCAGAATTCATTGCTCGTTTATGATTCGTTAAATAAGTAAGAGTTGGAAAGTATTTATTACACTCGGAACAACAAAGATACAAATAGGTTGTTGTTTGGTCAAGGGATGGGCAATGCAATAAAAGTCGAACGCGATATAAAACTCTACAGCACATTTTATAAATGGTCATTATTGTTGTACAGCAACAATCAGCATAATAGTTTGATTTATTAATATTAATAAATCTAATTTATCGGAGGAAATATTATGATTCTTTTTCTTCATTTGTAAAAAAGCCAAATAATCGATGTACCCGTGATCAAGATATCTTACCTTGGGGTAAGCGCCTCTATTAAAATGATATATGTCAGCGCCTTTATTAAATACAAAGCAAAATTTCCATCAGCTAAAGTGTCGACTACTGTGTTTCAACATCATTTAATTGCGTTGATTCATATTTTTTTTTTTAAAGAAACAAGAGAGGACTATCGAAACCTGTTTGCATGTTGTGAAAAAAGAAATAATCGCCTTCGAAATTCGTTCAACAAGATATTGATTTGACCGAAAGATAATCCACTGTAGAAAAAATTGCTGATATCACTGAAGTTAAAGGCTTTGAAAAATAAAAAAAGAATTATATTGAAAAAGAAGAAATGCAGCATCCGGAAAGCAATAAAACCTAAGCCACAAGATTCTTTAATGGTAACATAAAATAATTTTTTGATCACGATCTTGCATTCTTATTGGCCAATTTAACGACCTGCAAAGTAAAAATAGTCAATCGACCGACTTTTAAGGAAGATTTTACGAAAACCACAACAACCGAATTTTCATTCACAGATCAATTAGTTGAAATCTCAAAGAACATTTTCGTATTGGGAAGTGATACCTTCAGAAAAAGTTTTTATAACAGAAAAAAAATTTCGGCTATCAATAGTAATAGCCGAAAAACCGTTTAAGGGATAATAATAAAACGGGTGTAACCTGCATGAAATTTATTGACAAACAGGGATTCATAATGTCAATGACACAAAACACAAGAAGACACGCGTGCATTGCAAATTTTCTGGTCACAGCAAGTCAATCTCATATGTACGCTGAAATGGATTTTATGGATCCAATGAAAATGATTATCCTTTATACGCAATTTTATTTTTTTGTTATCAGCAAATTTCTGGAAACAAACAATATTAGACTTTTTGATTCATAAAACTATTTAAAACTAGGGTTCCTAACCGTAATTATAACTCCATATTCAAATATTCGTAAATCCAAAATTACGAATTTCGAATATTATTTCGGATACTCGTAATTATTTCGGGTGCTTGTAATTATTTTGAATGCTCATTATTTCAGATATTTGTATAAATTCTAATAAACTATTATTAATTTTTTCTTGTTCTTTAATTGATAAAGTTTCTTTTTTGGGTATCATCAATTTAATTGTTTATTTCAAGCTATATCAAAAAATTATTAATCTTTATTATCTTTGAAAAAATGTTATTATATAGTAGGATAAGTTACAAATAAGTTAATACTATTTGTCGATAATCATTCATATATTATCATAATAAATGATTATATTCAAAATAAATACAAGTATCCAAAATAATCACGAATATCCAAAATAATTACGAGTATCCAAAATAATTATGAAATAAATTATATATATTCAAATATTCTTGAATAAATTGATTTTCGAATATTCGTAAAAAATTTGATTTTCTGTTAGGAACACTATTTAAAACCCGATCTAATAAAACCTTTGTGAGAAAATTTCTATAGCAAAAAAATCAAATTGAATATTTACGTGAGGACAAATAAGACATAACCAAAATGTCAGTTACATATCTTCAACACCAACATGCTATGCTAACAATTAATAAATGCTCAGAAGAGAGCATCAAGGAATGGTTCATATGTATTGCAGATTGAAATAATCTATGTAATGGAAAGGTCAGTCTAAGCTACCCGGGTAAATCTTCTAGTAAATTAAGTATCCTTCAAAGGCCCAGGCATGCTAAGAAACGAGCGCATGAAAAATGATGGAAAATAAATCAATTAATGCTATTCAAGTGTCGGTTATGGTTTTTGAGTTCACTAATCACCTCAGGTGAAATATAAACGTAAACATAACACTTTTTTCAACACTACTGGCAAAGATAGCAAGATTAAGCCAACTAAAAAGCCAAGGAATTACTAGGATGAAGCAAAATCATAATTGGCTACGAGAAATGTCCTTGCTTAGTAATCTCAAGGAAGCCACATGCTATCATTTCCAAATACTTCTTCAGTGTGATTTAGAGAGGTGCAATTAGAGCAAAAACATTAGGTGGGTTATTTATTTACGGAAAACCAGGGAATGTGATGAATGTTTTTGCTGGGGCTACCATTTTCGACCCATTTTGCTATACTTTATAGCTACCTCCATTCATAAGCAAAATTTCATATAGGTTCCGATATCAACGATTGTCCAACTAAAGAATTATTATTAGCGATCCAAAATTGCTTGACTGCATATTTGCCATAGAAAACCGATGAAAAAGGAACCGCACGTCCATTTCCCGAAGGGATGATAAGCTTATTTAAGATGCTAATTATGATCCCATCAGGAAAATAAATCTCATGTAAACCTACGTAGGGTTTAAAACTGACCAGCATTATGCGGAAATGTTAACAGAATTACCAAAATATCGACATAATGCTGGCCAATTCTGAACCCTACGTAGGTTTATGTAAGATTTATTTTCCGGAGGGCCTCCGGAGTGAAGCATCATAACCAAAATTTCGAGTTAAAAATAACCGGGTGTAAGATAGGTCAAATAAAAATTTCATGGATTAAATTTTTCATCAATAGATATAAATCAGGCAAAATGTATCATAGTTATGATAGCACAGATCTCTTAGTAGAGGGCGGGAGGAAGTTGAGTACATGACAGTGAGATACCCAGCACCCATTTCATATCTTCCACCTAAGCTTATAGGAAAAATTATAGTCAAATAGAAGATCAGTTAAAATAGCAAAGGTCATACGAGTTAATTCCACATGGTATTGGGAAGGAAAAAATGATTATGGAATATATAGTAATGAATAAAAAACTAAAAGACTTAAAGAATCGAAAAATCAATGAAAAAGAATGTGATGAAGTAATACAAAAACTAATATATCATGATAATAATCTCATGTTTTCAAATTTAAATCTTCTTTCAGATGAAGTTAATGAAGTCAATGAAGCTAATGAATATACCGAACTTGAAAGACCACTAGACGACAAGTCTGAAAGAAGAGCCGAATTAATCAAAGATATGCATGAGAAGACAGGAAATTTGATGTTGCTGTGGAAACAAGATATTGTTAGATGAGCAATAGTCGCTATTCTATCTTTTCGTACAACTCAAAGTCTTGATGGGTAATAAGGATGATAAGATATAAAATTATTTTCCGAATTAAAATTTTCTTTTTTTTATAAGACTACATGTTGATAACCAAAATTTTGTCCAAGATACATGTATATCTTGAAAAAAATGTCACCCATATTCCCACCAAGCTTTTCTGGTCCAAACTATTTTCGAAAAAAAGTAGCTTTGGGGTTCTCAATATTTTTTATAAGAATAAACATGAAAAAACAACCCAAACTGCTTCGGCAATTTCGGCTACTAAGAGAGGTAGTTTCATCGGTGGAATCCGTGAAAGAATATATGGTATGGGTTATATATGCTGCCCAAATTAAAAATCATGATTCCCAAATCCTAAATTACTTTGCTAATTTATGAGAACCATAGAAAAAAAGGAAAGAAATGAAACACCTAAAAAATAGGGCCCCGTATTTGAAAACGTTTACCTTGTGTATGGTTGACAGCACAATAGCTACACTCTGCAGCTTTCAAAGTGGCATTCAAAATGAAGGGTTCCATCAGAATCTCATTTTTTGTTTTCGGAAATTCTTGGTTAAATTTTGAGCCCTGGAATTTATCCATTGTAATATATCTTTTTTTAAAAAAAAAAAAAAAAAAAAAAAAAAAAAAAAATGAATATAGATATTGATCAAATTGGTAACAAGTTGTTTTGTTAATTAAATTGAGTAAAATTGACAGCATTTCAATATTAATTATTTATAAATTTGTTAGCTGTTGAACATTTAACTGCCAGAGAACGTAGAAAATATAATGAAAAGAAATTAACAGAATTAGGAGCAAAAGTAATTATTTATTAAACACTAAATTTGTCAGTAATTTTATTGATTTAGTCAATAATTTATTTAAATTTGATTTTTTTTAAAGAAAAGCAAAGGTGATAAAATACCTATTTCAGTGTCATTGGGTATGAAAAAGAAACAATTTAAAAGACAAAAGAAAGAGCTCGAAGAGGTAATTAGTAGTTTATTGAGTAATTTATTGATTTATAAATTAAATTAAAATAGTTTATTTTGAAAATAATTAGGCAAAAAATATTGGGCTTTATCATCATACAATTAAACATAATTGGTTAATTTCATCATCGTCTACATCATCTAATACTACTGCTACTCATAATAAAAGAAAGAATTATAAGAGAGATAAAGGTATTAAAATAGGAATTGGTAAAATGGAAAATGGAATGTTGAAATTAAGTTCGAGAGATATTAAGAGAATACAATATGATAAAAACAGCAAGAATAAAAATAGAATTAACAAAAATAATAAGTTTAACAAATTTAGGAAAACCAAGAAATAAAAATCTTTATTATTTATAATAAACATTATTGATATATTCTTTTACTTTTGCTATAAAAAGTATTTTGTTACAATAAAAAATTGCAATTTTTTATTCTTAGAGTTATCAAATTTACATACTGACTGTCTTCAAGATATTTGGACTTTTTAAAATATTGGTGTGAAAGCAACATTGCAAATTATGGAGACAATCATTAAAATCTTAAAATAGAATGCAAAAATTAAATCGAGTTTTACACAATTATGCTAAATTTGCCAAGGATCTTTATTGTATTTACAAACAAGTGAATTAATCAATGCAAGTGGTGAATGAAACAAAGAAGCTGATCAAAGCATTATTAGAAGTAGCAGTAAAACATTCAAAAATTACCAATATTCAATAACAAACTTGGATAATCATTGTTTAAGTAGATCACTATATTTCAACAAATGGTTTTGAAATATAACTGTTATTAAGGATTTATAAAAATATATATTAATCCCTTGAATGATCTAAAAAAATAATTTATACAAGAGAAAAGCTCAGTATCAAATGAAATTCTAGATCAAATATATAGCATCACAATCAAACTCATTAATAAAATTTGGTGGTATTATGTGATGGGAATGATGGTTTTGTATCAAAATCTAAAAATTTAGAATCATTAAATGTAGCTTGCTTGGTTAAAAGATTTTTTGGAATGACTGCCAGAAGGTATTAAAAAATATTAGTGGGTTAGGTAAATATGCCTCCAAAATTGCTGATTTTATTAAAAATAGCTAGTGCTGGAAGTGCTTATTATTAATAAAGGAGAAAACTGAAAAACTTTCCTTCCTAATTTTCCAATGTCTATTTAACTTTAAAAATATTACATTATTAGAATTAAATGTCAGCAATCTTTAATTTAATTTTAGCATCTTTTCTATCAAAATAAATGGCAGTGTCAGAAATATTTGGACAAATCTTTGGTATTCAACAACTCCACAACTTTTTTAATTGCCTTTTCCATCTCCTCAAAATTTCTTGGTCAGTTTTTCTCTGTTTATTTATTGTCAGTTATGTTATTTTTGTACATCAGGAAAACATGATTTTCATTCAAGATCAGATGATACTGCAAGTTACATTTTGGAAAAATAAAATATTATTACTATATATATGACTACCAAATTACCAAGGACAGGTTGCTTCTTCAAAAATTTTCTTGAAAGCAACTTTAATTACCCACCTAGCCCACCTGGTTAAAAGAAAGATCTTGTTTAGCAATTTGGATTACAACTTTACCTTTGAGTGCAGGTATAATGTATGGTAACCATTTTTATGACTGATGATTTACCTATTTGAATTGTATTTGTATTGGTAATCATTTGATTAGTTTATGAAATAAGGGTTTCTTATTTCATTCAGCATTCTAAATTGTTAAACAAATGTGTAGTTTGAAAGTAAATTCTTTACACCTTGACTGGTTATGATATGAAACCATATTAATATCACATGAAAAATATCTCAGTATAAATTTTATGTATATTAAAATATCAGTTATATATCAATAGAGATTTAATTTTCTTGCTTGCCTTTTTTTTATTAAATTTTTTGGACATTTCCTTCTATAACCTCTACTACAGCACCAGAATTCTTCTTCTAAATAAAATGGTAAGTTCTAAAAAATCAATTAAATGAATCCATAAAGGGGTGCATTTGGATAAGTAGCCTTGAATTTTTTCCCATAGTCATCCTTAAAATAAAGGATCGAAAGGTTGGTTTTGGAATCAATTTTATATGAGCATTGTCCTTATCTGAAAAAATTTCTCACACTCCTGATTTTTATTTCTGGAATTCTATTGTAGGTTTTCTTGGAGCAAAAATGTATTCACGGATTAATGGACCTAGATGTGTTGCTGCAATTATTAAATTATTTGAAGCCTAGAAAAAAATTTGATTATGAATTTTTTAATAAAAATTATTAACTGATTATTCACAATTTTTCATTTGAATTGAAATATTAAAACCACCCCACAATTTATTTTGAAGTTTGGAGTTCTTTTCTGATAGTTCCACAATCAACTGGTTATATGTAACACCACTTGAAAGATCAAAGCACAACCATTTGATGCCTCCTTTGCATGTGTCTATAATTCGTTGATTATTAATAGAAGGTTAATAATTATCAGTTATATAATAAGAAAAAATTTGTTTAAAAATTCTCACATTTGATATGTTTTTTTATATTAGTACATCCAATGCTTTTCAACATTATTCTCTATGCCCTCAATATAGTGTCAATAATTTCAAAATTTGATAAATATATAGGGGCAATACATGAATTTAATTCTATAACAGTTGTTAAATGCTTCTCAAATGTGGGTGTCATAACTGCAAAATGATTTGTCTCTACTGTGGCCATCACTCCAATGTTTTGTACATGGTAGGACTGGACACAGCTAGTTTTCTTTGTGATTTAATTCAGCACCTCCTGATGTACATATTTTGTGCTTGGATGATTGTTGGCATGATGAAAATTTTAAAATTAATTCATGTATCAACCTTGCCTGAGTTTTTACAGTCTCTGCATTACTTTGTGAAATGTTTAATACATGATCAAGTCTGTGTTCGAATTTGTCAGACATGATAACAACAACAATGATTCTTAATATAAATATAATAAAAAAAATTATATATAATATATAATATAAAAAAAAATTATATATAACATAAAAAAAAAGGTTAAGACACTTCTTTATAATAGTGTCATTGTTGGTTATTATATTAATAATTATTATTCTATATTGTTGTTGTTGTTAAATGTTAGTTACATTGTTGTTGTTTTTAAATGTTAGTTATATGTTGTTGTTATTGTTATTTACTTAACTACATGCTATGTTATAAATTTATCATTTATTGATTATTATATGAGGAAAAGGAATGACAGACAAAAGATAAAAGATAAAAGATTAAAAAGAGATGTTGATTGATATATACATGTAAACAATTCCTTAAATATGTTTATGTCATACCATATTAATATAAACAAATCTATTGTGTAGGAGGCTCCTCTTAAATAATTTACATATGTATTATGTTTATATTTCCCATACCCTCCACCCACCCATTAAAAGGAATAGGGCAGGTCTAATGTGTAAATTAAAATATTACATAATTATTTGTTTTTCAAATTAGGAATTTTATAAATATAAATGCCAAAAATAACTTGTGAAAAATGGAGGGAGGAAATCATACCAATTGATATAACATTTAGAACAAGCCAAAAAATCTTCCATTCCTAGATATCAAGCCATTGATACTTTTGGTATAACAAGCCATTGTAATTCAAAATAAGCCATTGATGTTTTTGGCATATATTTTCAATGAAGAAAAAATGGATTTATTAAATTACCATCCAATTGTGTTTCAGACATATGACCTACTCTTTTGTTTTATTTGAAGTGAAAAAGGAATGCCATTTTTGAATAGTCTTAGATTTATATAGAGAAGACCTTTCAATATGAAAGAGTATTCTTTAAGGGTAGAGTGTAGTCATGTGATTTTTCATAACAACTGAAAGGATAAATTTTTACAGTGATGATCATTTTCTTATGTCACACATTAAAATAAATTATAATAAAATAATTCTAAAACGATCAAGTTTTTAATAAATAATTACATCCTTTTGATTTAGCTTCAAC